GTATGTATTGATAAAGGAAACCTGTTTCACATTTAGAAAATTGTCATCAAAAATTGATGATTTTAGCAAGACTATAGCCTTGGTTTTTTTTGGCATTTTTGGACGGTTTGAAAACGGAAAATTCCTGCCCAAAAACACAGTTAGATGACTTTAAATATCATTATGATCATAGTAGTATTTATTGATAAAGGAAACCTGTTTCACGTATAGAAAATTGTCATCAAAAATTGATGATTTTAGCAAACTATAGCCTTTTTTTTTTGGCATTTTTGGACGGTTTGAAAACGGAAAATTCCTGCCCAAAAACACAGTTAGATGACTTTAAATATCATTATGATCATTGTAGTAGTATTTATTGATAAAGGAAACCTGTTTTACGCTTAGAAAATTCTCATCAAAAATTGACGATTTTGGCAAGACTATAGACTTGCTTTTTTGGCATTTTGGACGGTTTGAAAACGGAAAATTCCTGCCCAAAAAACACACTTAGATGACTTTAAATATCATTATGATCATTGTAGTAGTATTTATTGATAAATGAAACCTGTTTCACGCTTAGAAAATTGTCATCCAAAATTGATGATTTTAGCAAGACTATAGCCTTGGTTTTTTTTGGCATTTTTGGACGGTTTGAAAACGGAAAATTCCTGCCCAAAAACACAGTTAGACGACTTTAAATATCATTATGATCATTGTAGTAATTTTTATTGATAAAGGAAACCTGTTTCACGTATAGAAAATTCTCATCCAAAATTGATGATTTTAGCAAGACTATGGCCTTGGTTTTTTTTGGCATTTTTGGACTCTTTGAAAAATGCAAAATTCCTGCCCAAAAAACATAGTTAGATGACTTTAAATATCATTATGATCATTGTAGTTGTATGTATTGATAAAGGAAACCTGTTTCACGTTTAGAAAATTGTCATCAAAAATTGATGATTTTAGCAAGACGATAACCTTGGTTTTTTTGGCATTTTTGGACGGTTTGAAAACGGAAAATTCCTGCCCAAAAAACAGACTTAGATGACTTTAAATATCATAATGATCATTGTAGTAGTATTTATTGATAAATGAAACCTGTTTTAAGTTTAGAAAATTCTCATCCAAAATTAATGATTTTGGCAAGACTATGGCCTTGGTTTTTTTTGGCATTTTTGGACTCTTTGAAAAATGCAAAATTCCTGCCCAAAAACACAGTTAGACGACTTTAAATATCATTATGATCATTGTAGTAATTTTTATTGATAAAGGAAACCTGTTTCACGTATAGAAAATTCTCATCCAAAATTGATGATTTCAGCAAGACTATAGCCTTGGTTTTTTTTGGCATTTTTGGACTCTTTGAAAAATGGAAAATTCCTGCCCAAAAAACATAGTTAGATGACTTTAAATATCATTTTGATCATTGTAGTTGTATGTATTGATAAAGGAAACCTGCTTCACGTTTAGAAAATTTTCATCAAAAATTGATGATTTTAGCAAGACTATAGCCTTGGTTTTTTTTGGCATTTTTGGACGGTTTGAAAACGGAAAATTCCTGCCCAAAAACACAGTTAGATGACTTTAAATATCATTATGATCATTGTAGTAGTATTTATTGATAAAGGAAACCTGTTTCACGTATAGAAAATTGTCATCAAAAATTGATGATATGAGCAAAACTATAGCCTTTGTTTTTTGGCATTTGCCTTTTTGAAAACTTAAAATTCCTGCCCAAAAAAACATAGTTAGACGACTTTAAATATCATTATGATCATTGTAGTAGTATTAATTGATAAAGGAAACCTGTTTTACGCTTAGAAAATTCTCATCAAAAATTGACGATTTTGGCAAGACTATAGACTTGCTTTTTTGGCATTTTGGACGGTTTGAAAACGGAAAATTCCTGCCCAAAAAACACACTTAGATGACTTTAAATATCATTATGATCATTGTAGTAGTATTTATTGATAAATGAAACCTGTTTTAAGTTTAGAAAATTCTCATCAAAAATTGATGATTTTAGCAAGACTATAGCCTTGGTTTTTTTTTGGCATTTTTGGACTTATTGAAAAATGGAAAATTCCTGCCCAAAAAACATAGTTAGATGACTTTAAATATCATTATGATCATTGTAGTAGTATTTATTGATAAATGAAACCTGTTTCACGTTTAGAAAATTGTCATCAAAAATTGATGATTTTAGCAAGACTATAGCCTTGGTTTTATCGGCTATTTCCGGATTTTTTGAAAAAGGGAAATTCCTTCCCCCAAAAAAGATATTTAAATGACTTCAAATATCATTTTGATCATTATTATATTAGTATCTATTCATATAGGCAACTTTTTTTGCGTGAAAAAATAGTCATCAAAAATTGATGATTTTGGCAAGTCTATAGCCTTGGTTTTTTAGTATTTTTAGATTCTTTGAAAAACGGAAAATTCCTGCCTAAAAACGCATCCACCTGACTTCATATATCATTATGATCGTTGTAGTAGTCCATATTCATTTAGGAAACCTTTTTGACAGGAAAAAGTTTTTCATAGAAAATTTAAAGTTTTGGCAAGTCTATATCCTCTGTTTTCAACGCATTTCGATCATTAAAAACTCTTTTTCCATATTAAAAACCTTTTCAGCTGAAAAAAATTTCGACCGAAAACTGAAGCATTTGGCAAGGCTATAGCCTTAGTTTCACACGCATTCTGGGTCCTTAAAAAAATGGAAATTTCCTCCCTAAAAATGACGGCAACTGACTTCAAATATCACAATGACCATTATAGCTGTCTTTTTTATATGGGAATGCTTTTTTACTTGAAGAAAAATAATCATGAAATTATACGAAAGGAGATGCCTAGAAAGAACCATTCGGCAAGCTTTAGAAATAAGACTGCTAATTTCTCACTTGGAAAAATGTTTCATCTTTTACTTTACTCATATAGAAATGCCTTTTGTTGGAATTTTTTCAATAAGCTTATATCAATTGTTTCCATCTACATAAATTTAATTGAAAGTATAATCCAGACATAAAAGTTTGTTAATTCACTTAGACTCTACAGAAAGCAAAAAGGATGCTGGCCTTGTTTTTCCCTCACGTCATTTTCAATTGGTACATGGATATAAATTATCGTTATTGGGTCATATTTCGACGCTCTGTGTTCTCAAGAATTTCAAAATAAAAGCAATGGTTTCGTAATACGCGTTTTATTTCTATTTGTTTGTGCCATTTCGAAATTGTACAGCATTAAAGTTCTAATGTCACTTCTCATTTATAAACATAATTATTTGCCAGTTTGAAAAATGCAAAATTTCAACTATTTACATACCTCACGAATATAGCCTGCTTTGATTTGTCAACAAAATAGCTGTCGGATAGTTTGGTATTAAAGGCAGTCTGTCCCCTCCGTGATTTTTTAATTCTGACTTGGAAGTCTCGTCTTCAGAAGGTCTTCCTCTGCCTTTTTAGCATCAGACATTAGTTATTGTAGGTAAACGCGACAAAAAATGCCTGATCTTTTTATCATCGAACCTGACTTAGACGTTTGACAACACAACAAAATTCACTGCAACTCGCTCATGGAAAGTACACTTTGGTGGTGCTTCATTATGATTGGTTACTTGTGCGTTTGAATATCGTGTCCAAGAAAAGAAATTCTGAGAACAATGGGGGGGGGGGGGCAGACTTCCTTTTAAGAGAATCAAATTGATTGGCTTTATCGTTTGGAACCAAAGGAATGAAAGCCTGCTTAAATCCCTGGCCTTTCAAATAGAGGGTGTGAAAAAGAGAGCTTTAATTTCACTGCGCTTAATGTTTGTGTGAACTGGAGGAGGCGTTTTTAACCCAGGAATGTTTAATAGGGGAAATACCCTATAGGATAAAGGAGCCAGTTTAGACCCGCGATGACGTCACTGTGATAAAAACATAGATGTAGAACTCTTAGTCCTTTCCGTGACTTTACTTTTAACACAAAATACGTCGATGCTTCTAAAAACCCTAATGTAAGTGCTAAAGAGAGTTTCCATGCCTGTATTGCAAATGACTTGTCATTTGATACAGATTTACATGCACGTCATTGAATAAAAAAATATCTACATATCTTTGTGTCGCTGGAATTGGAATTTGCAATTGTTTTTTTACCAAGCAACAAGAAATTTCTACAGGCATACCGATCAAAAGGTTGTGTTTCAACGGGACCTGATTTTCACTGAAACCATTTGGGTTGGGTTTCAATTTGCATTTCCACAGGACCACAAAGAACGATCCCATCATAGGATTCCACTAAAAACCGACACCGTATCTTTACTGGTGCAAAACGAACCACATATTCCACAGTTTCCGATTCTTCGGCACTGTAAGTGCATATCGGGTCGGGTGCATCTTGATTTATTAAATCCCAATTTCTTCCAGTTCTCTTTCTAGCTCATCAAGATCATCAGTGACAATCGCTTTCTTAGTCTGCTTCACAGCGGCTTTGTTCGGCTTCGGTCTCCCAGCTCTAGGGGCCTTTTTGCCGCCGCTATTACTAAGCTCTTTAGGAGCTCCATCCTTCGCTTCACCATTGTCATTTTTACTGATTTTGCTAGGGTCAACCTTATTTCTACCAGTCGACCTTTTCCTAGTGTCGCTAGGTTCATTTTTAGCTTTCTTTATATTTGAAGCACTGTCTGTTTTATCTACAGTTGTTGCTTCGTTATCAACCCCGTTAATATTTGGCTGCACCGCTCCGTGGGCGTCTAACTCTGTTAAAGACCTTTCGGGGTTGTTATTGAGGTCATCATCAATCACGCTAGGTGCTTGATGATTAATTTGAAGTGCGTTTGTAGGAGAATTTGATGTTTTTTGACTGTCATCAATTTTCTTTTGCAGCAAACCAAGTATAAGATTTATTTTCTCATCAAATGAGTTTATTTTCTCGCTGACTTCATTTACATTTGTCTTGACGTCTTCCCTTAGGACGTTTAGTTCTGTGAATAAATCCATCTTATCTACATTCCAGTTATCCGCAGCAAAACTGATCTTCCTTTGTGCGCTGCTACTGGGCTTTAAATGCTCCATTGAAACTTGTCCTTCGACCATTGTCTGATCATGGCTGGCTGTGATGCTCTCCACATCTGACTTACTTGAAGTAAATGACGTTTCATCCTCACCAAAAACAGTGTACTTCTTCCCATTTGACCCGTAGACTCGCATCTAATTGGGCAAAAAATAACATTCAAAGCCTTTGCTGGTGCTTAATGACGTTTACCTATTTAACATTCAACTCCAGAAGCGCCCCAGTGAAAGAATAAACTTGGAAGCTTGGAATGTCCAATTTATAAATTAGAAATGTCCAAATGCCATTACGACAAGAATTGTTCATGAAAGCGTTCGTCTTCGGCTGTCACCAGTAACTAAAATTTCCTTGCTCGACACTAAGATGTATTTACTTTCCATCAACAAAGAATAACCAAAGGTTTGAGGAGGTTAGTTATATGTAGAATGTTCAAAGTATCAGTGTATATATTCCTTTAAAAGCATTGTAATTTAACAATACTTGAGAATCAACAAAATATAATATGGTTCCGCACACAATTAAAAGCGACTTTGAAAAGCCTTGACGGATCAGAAGAAAAACAAATAGGCCTTGTTTACTGGAAAAATTAAAAATTTCTCGAAAAAGCGAAACCATTTTACAGAAAAGTGAATCTTTTTCCAACTCGCTGGTGTAATTATAAAATTCAGCAAAAAATAATCGATGAATAGATGGCTTTTATAGACTCGCTAGGTTTACGTTTTGGAGGAACGTTTAGTCATCATAAAGACTTTCACTCAACCCAAAAACAGGTACGCGTGCTCCAGTTGCAATAGGTATTTACGAAAGGGAAAAAATTCGCATTTCCATACCTTCTGACTGAGATTAAACGAGTATGTCAGCTCCCTTCTAAACTTCCTGAAGAAATCCGGAAACAGCGCTAAAGCATGAGTCAGCGAATCGACTTTGATGGTGTGTAAATCAGAGTAAGTTAGTGTGTGTATCTCGTACATTGCTTTGTCTATTCTGTCCTTGTTGAGTGTTGCTCCAAACACATCTCCTGGGCCTACAGATAGGCAGTAACACAATTCAATGAAATAGTTAGATTGCAAATAAGAATAAATAAGGCAATTTTGCGACGGCTAAAAGGGTTTATGGACAGTGGATGGAAATGCAGCACCACCTGGTATCATCAAAGGGGATATCAACGTATTTAACAAGCAGCCCTACGAAAATTAAGTACCACCCTTTAATACAAATGTTTTCCTTTGTATGATGGATGAATTAAATTTCAAATCTGAAATAGTTTTAGGATTCATTTAGAATAAACAGCTTGCTTATCTAACAATTATCTTTAGCGAATGTCTAATGTCTAAAATTTCATTTGATTGGGTTGAGAATTGAGCTATATGGAGTAAAAAAGAAGTTTCATTATAACAGTGTACCAACTTAAAAATAGGGTGTTCGCCACACTTTTAGCTACCAATGGTCCTCTCAAAATTATTTTTTCTCACTCTCGCAACCTACAGTAGCCTTTAAAGCATGTTGCACCTAACCTAATGTACCTTACCTAATAACTTATTTTGTATAAACCTGTATAAACCCAAGCGCACTAGCAGACAAGTAATCTAGAGCACCTTTCGAAAAGAAAGGTGGACCATCTTTAACTTTCTACGTAGCCAAATTTTTGTTTTAGGGACCTCCCTTTCTAAAAATTTATCGGGCCCCAAGGGCTTGCCTAGGCTTCCGACCCTGTTGTTGCACCATGGCCCCGAGTTTTATATCGAAACATTGATAAAAAGCACAGGGGTATTACAAAAAGGCAAAACAAAAAAGAAGCTCTGAAGAAGATACCAAGAATGCCAACAATTTGATCGCTCTTTCGCACTTCAAGGGAGCCTCGTTCAACGAAAAAGAGGCTTTCAATCGCTTCGCCTTGTTGAATAACTTTAGCACCAGGAGGAGAACGAGTTGCTGAATAATAGCGGGAAATATTCCGCAGAGCTGGCAATGGCGCTGATTTGAATTCCGGCATAGTTTCGAATACAACCTTGTGAATCTGCAAGCATGCATCTGCTTGTAAGTCATGAGGAAACAGATGGAGCACCTGAAATAGCAGCAAAGAAGGAATTAGTAGTGTAACGATGATTTAATGAAATTCAACTAGGCCTGGGTTTGTGAGGAAGCTTGTTGTTAGTCGCTTAACAATGGTTTTCATTTTATTTCTTAATTCCTGTGCGCATCATTTTTCATGACTAAGTTGTTCATACAATGCTATTGTGATAGTTTAGCAAGCTGATTCTGCATCATAATTAACAGTTTAGAGAGTCGTTAATAATGACATTAGTAAATGATACTTGTTTGGAGACCAACGATCAAAAGTCTTCTAATGTGCGAGTCCGCTCCCTGTTTAGGGTCAAAGAGCATGCGTAATAATTCGTAAATTCGTGCGCATGCTCTTTGTCTCCAAGACGGGGTTATTATGCTCATCAAAAGATTTTCTCTAGTTCATCTCCAAAACGTATATAGTGTGATTAATGGCTTCACCTCTTCGATATCTAAACCCTTATTAGTTGCCCATGTGGTCATAAAGTAGTCAACAAGCCGGCCTCCGATTTCTTCTGGCACTGTGTATAGTTTGATGAATCTGCGAATGCTGTCAAGCCGTTGGTGGTAGTCCGAGGAGGGTTTTTGCAGCTGCTGTATAATCGATGTCACTTGACCAAATATAAAAGCATACAAAAGACCTGAAAAAAGAGAACTAAAATGAACACCTGTTACATCTGGGCCGTCGGAAGCGGGGATGCTGAAGTCCCCCCCCCCTCCAACAGTAATTTACCTTATAACAGTGTACTGAATGGCAAGTAATACAATGGGCAACCCCCCCCCCCCTCCAAATATGAATTTCGTTCCAACAGCACTGTAAATGTCATGAACCTTACTTCTTGAACCTTAGATAAAAAAACGGGTTTCTATCATCAGCATACACTAATTTATTTACATAATAAGGGTTCGAAAGATCTGCACTGACCAGAGGACATACTTAGCACGCCGGGGTAGCAAGCCCAGCGTTTTTATTTATCACGGGGGATAGCAGGTAAACATGGTAACATGGTAGGGGACAGCAAAATTTGTCTTGGACTGGCAGAGGATGGGTAAGATGGGACCGGCTAAACTGGCCATTAGAGAGGACTTCCCTGCCTTTTAGGCGGGGAAATAAAAATTTCAAAGGGGTAACTCAAGATCGAAGAGAGGGGGGGCGTGCAAAAAATCTCAGTTGGCACTTGCAGGGTACGTTGGGGAATAGGAAACATGCACGGTCAACAAATTTTTCCCGGGGGACGGTTTTCACCGCATTTATTGCACAGGGGCTTACTTACAGCCAAGCAGCATTGTCACGCAGCCAAAAAGTTTTTCTGCAGTGGTATTTGGTGCTATATTTCCAAAACCACATGTCGTCAAACTGCTCATACAGTAATACAGCGCTGACATATAGAGAGAGGGAATTGAAGGCCCAGACCCCTCCACAGCTACACCATCTACGACCTTGTATGGTTCATTTGTTAGATCTGCTAAAATGTAGATCCAACTCCATCTTGTTGTCGCTTTGTCGTAGTTTTTGGCAATCACGTACCTAAAAAGAAATGGAAAATTGAAGGACTTTAATACTTGGTATCAATAGCAAGGACAAAGATAACAGCAAGGTTGGCGGTGATCAAATAAACATGACTTTCTATATACGAAACATCCTAATAGCAACCACTGGACAGTAGAAAACATTCAGAAACTTCAAAACTCGATGTAAACAAATCAAGGAGCAACTGAACTTTCCAAAAAATTTGCCAAATTCTTTTTATTTTGCATAAATGCAGTTGACTTGTTGGCATAGAGCTTTAGATGCAAAACCAAGAATGTCTTCAAAAGTCTCCCAAATTCTTCACAGTCAATTTGAAAACCAATATAGCAAGCAAAAAACTGATACTGAAATTTATTGGCACTTTAAGAAGCAATGAGTGTTGCAATATTTCCCAGCGTTGAGTAGCTGGAGTAGAATCTGCACTATAAAAATTCGATGATTTCATCCCACCTGCCAGGTAATGGGCTAAGAGGTGGAACAAATTTGCTCCTATAAACATGCACTAAGTAACAATCTTGAGAAAAGACTAGTCAAGCTTTTGCAAGCAAGCTTTCCGGTGGTGTTTCATAAATGCGATCACTTGACTTAGATAACGTAAGCAGTAATATCAAACTTCATGTCCATGGCTGATCTTCAATTTTCTACGTAATTCTTACAGAGATATTTCGATATTCAAATCTAAAAACAGTATGATTTGATATTTATCAAGAGGCAACGTACCAGATACATGCCATCCAGTGACAACAGAGACAAAACAAAAATAGCCACAAGACCAAAGTCATGGCGCCAAACTTGAGGTAGTGATCCAACTTTCTTGCGACTCGCAGCAACCGAATAAGTCGAATGACTTTGATCACATTGATAATCTCAATCCACTAGCAAAATAAACAAAAAAATCTTGAATAAGAAGCAGCTTGGAGAATTTCATGATAGAAATATCGGTGAATTTGAAGCAAAGATGACTTAAAAAACCACTTGAAGAGCTGTGTGTAAGCTGTATCCATACAAAACCGTAACCTATTAGTGGCAGTGAGGTTAAAGGGCATTCAGCAGATTCCTCCGTCCCATGAATGTTGCTAAGGTTGAATGGAAAAAGACAGCGATCCATTGAATAGAGTGCAGAAGGCTTTTTTGATTGTAGAATGGTTTTCATGAAAATGATATCACTCCTTAAAAAATTATAAAGAGCAGTTCAACTCATATTCCTGGCCGTCCGTAACTTTTATACTTTGAAGGATGTCCGACAAAAAGTACTTTAGGCCTCCACTTTTTAGTTCTATCCTCCGATTTTGCGGTACCTTAGAAATTTTCAACCATAATGTTTGAAATGTTATACGTATATTCTGACGGCTAATTTGATCGTTTGAAGATGGGGTATCAGTACAAAGGTGCAGTTGTCAGGAGAGTATTTGCCTGCCATATTTAAGAATTTCAGTATCAATTGTACTTAATCTATGCTCATTTTCAGGTCCTTGCTATCATGCCGTGATCAGTTGTACCCACTCTGTTCCTGAACATATCCCTACTAGTCTTCTGCATTTTTATACTAGCTTTATTCAAAGATTAAACGCATTATGAATACATAGATCATAATAGGCAGCCACCACCTTTACTTTCAACCACCCCCTTTCCTTTACTACATACAGCAACGTACTTTACGACAATATGATTATAAGCAATAAGGATTGAATCACAATGAAACCGAGAGAATAAGCCAAACGCGTACCCTTCCGTTTGGATCTGTTAGATTCAGGATGCCATAAGGTAGGGCGGCGATGAAATCAATAAAAAACCAAGACCTCAAGTAATTCATGCATATCATTCTTGAATCCAAAACGATTTCACCATCCTTAGCGCAATACGTCGTTTTGAAGTTCATTATGACGTCAGCAATGAAAACCGAGTCCACGAGAAGATTGAAAAAGAGCAACGCACTGTTGGTGTAGTGAAAACTGACAACAAAAGGAACGACCACTGCCGTGTACAAAGTTAGAATCAGAATTATCCAGTCCCATATTGTTTTAAAAAGGCTGTAGTGAAATATTGTGAATCTTGGTACTTTCTGTCCTTCCCAAGAGTACTGAATGCTGGACATAGCAGAATTGGACATTAGCTACAAAAATAATGAAATTCCGGTAATAAAGGTGAACGAAAAATGATGAATCAAAGAGCCAGATTCAAGCATTGCAGCTGAAAATTTTTTTAAAAGTATGTAGAAAATTTCAGCATAACTAGCTTGATTCAGTGCTATTCCAAAAACTGTGACGACGATTCAGTGCTGTTCTAAAAACAGAGTCTGTCGACAAAGGATAAAGATGACGAGTTTGTGACAGTGAGCTTCAAATACTCATTCCTATCGTGTAATAATGCTCATTGAAAAATAGGCTCACAAAAACATATATATATATAAATATTGTTATAGTAGGCAAAATTTTGAGCCACTATAGGTCTAGCATGCATTGTTATATGATAGAAATTTTACGTGAGCTAGAAATAAAACCAGTTGGTATAAATTTGTTGTGACGTCGAGGCAACAAACGAAAAACACTTTATAATCTCCTATGGTTAGAGAACAAATAGACATTGCAAACCTGGGCAAGTTTCTGCTTTTTGTTTGAATCTTTTTTTGTAAGTTGCAAGAAAACTGAACGAGCATTGTCAGAAGTCTTTGTCAAATGTTGCCTTTGCTTCTCAAGAGATTTCTCTACAAGTCTTGACCATTTTTTCACTGTTGGCTCTACAATGTAAATATGACAAATGATAAAGAGTGAGCGTATTAATCACAAACTAGGACCCAGCGCCCAGAATCACTTAATTGCTTAATTTTCAAAAGGTATCCTTCTCAATACAACAATGCTTACAATCCTTAAAATATACACTATCAATGGCAAACAACATTTTTGTTAATAAAATTATGTCCCATTGACGACTTAAAACCATTGCGATCCTAAAAAGATACTTTATTTTACTGCTATAATGCAAGATTAGAACTGAAGTAATTCAGATTTAGTACATAAAGTACATAAAGGAGGTACGTAATATGTGCAATCACAACTATAAATTTGATAAGTGTATCTAATGTCCTTCCAGAGTACTCTTTCTTAAACCACCATTTATAATACCTTTAAAATTGTAAAAAAAAGTTTCTTGAAGCTACAAATTAAGAAAGCAAACTCCTAAAAGTAACATCTATTCAATTAATATTTGCTTAAATTTCAATTAATTTATTCAACGTTTCCCGAGAATTATCATCAAAATATTTGCAAGTGTTACGGCCATTATCTGTTTAATCAATAACAAATTTCACCATCATAAATTCTAGCGCATGGTGTTTGCTATTTCCCTTCGTTCGAATAAGGTGGTAGAAATGCTTCCATATTTTAAACGACAGGGAAGTCTTACTCCTTAAGCGTCTGTTCCGCTATTGTCTCACTTGACGGACGCTTTAACAGTTTGAGCGCTTTAACAATTCAGTTCAATTCAATTCAATTCAATAATGTCACTTGTGACTCATTGAGCAAGTCTAGAAGGTCAGGATATGAAAGCCAAAAATAAAAACGAAGCTTTGGTTACTTAAAGACACACACCTGCGATTGGATCCTTGAGATGACTTATGTCCTTGAATGTAATCAAAAACAAAATGACCGTATCGTCATCGTTTTTGATCGGTGATATTTGAAACAGGAACCAGCACGGCTCTTCTATAAAAAGATAATAAAGATACGTTAAACTTGCTCCTGAACTCAGTTATCGTTGCTGACATCATCAGGAACTGCCATGCCAGCGCTCCGAGTACGATCCCAGCTCGCGGCCCTCAGTTCACTAAGCTGAAAATGAGTACCTAGTTGAAACATACTAAGGAGGTAAAAGCGGCTTGGAATGGAACTGGCCACCCTACCACACAATGCCACCACACAATGCCGTGGGTCAGGACGATGCGCCCCTAACATTGCATTATCCAACATTCGATATCGAATAAGTGACCTTTTTACTTGCCTCAGTAAACTCATTCTTCCTACACAAAATGATACTTGTTAAATAAAAGGGAAATATCAAGTTTCAATTAAGAATATTTGTTAGTAACATCACATCAACTGTCAAAGAAATAGAAAAAGCGACTGCTTTATTCTTAACGACGTATTTCTCTTTGGGAAAATGAAATCGATACTCAACTGTTTTTCTTGTATATAACGATCTCAGTCTGCAGGCTGGTTTTGGCATCAATTGTGCCAATTATCTGCTTTTGTGTCTCCTTGCTGGTCAAAAAGCCCCATAAGAACTCACAGGTGGAGGAACGGTGTAGCACTTCTGGTTTTGTGTACTCCGTTGCTCTGGAGAAGCTTTCACTCGAATATATAATTGGATTGTGTCTGAGAACTGCATTTCCGATGACAAACGTGAGATCTATTTGTGTAAGAAAATTTATCTTGATTCACCACAAATGTTTGTATATTCATGACAGCAACAACAAAAAATCATAACTTAATACCAAAACCTGTTTCACAAGAAAACGAGGTTAGGCTAGTACATTGAGGATGAAAACAGATATCAGTATAAAGTGTTCAATCCTAGACAGTTTGGTGGCCAGTGTTATTCATAACAAGTTACCTTTTAATAGACTCGACAGGTGGAAATCCACTCAAATTGGAACACCAACCTGTTCGACGTAACAAACATTCGGACAGTAATAATTTTCATCAGCTTTGTCAATAACATCAGAGTGCTAAATAATACAACTTAAAGCATGCACCAGGTAATGACTGACCTCGCGTGCTTTTTTTTAAGAAATTCATTGTTAGCTTGGTATGAAAGTTGCCAAATGTTAGGCCATTCAACATGTTAGGCAATGTTAGGGAAATTTGAAAATGGCGCAAAAGAGCGGAAACATGTCATACTAAAGTATTTTTCGTCCAACAAACTCAGTTCGACTTCCGTCTACTACAAAACTAAGGACCCCGACTTTTGTAGCTAGAAAAAGGTCTGACATTTATGTCGGATTGAAATTATGACGTTTATGAGGATTCTCGGACGAAAGATCTTTACTATTACTTGTTTTCAGATCTACTGCGCAATTTTCAAAGTTCTTATGATAAACCACGAGTAATTCAGAATGTCACCGAGTTTTCTTTAGTTAAGATAATTATTTATTTGCACTTTGATTTACTGCGACACGCATAAATGCGTCTATTTGTCAAGTATATTTGTGGGTGAAGTTTTTGTTGCCAAAATCTATGACTAAATAAAGAAAAATTTAGGTCGATGACTAGATTTCTTTATTCCTTTGAAAAAGGCCCTGGCGTTCTTGTAAATTTCCTTTCTTTAGACAGTATGCAGTTTCTTATTCACGTTATTTTTTTCACCTAGTGACATTAAAAGCAGTAGTTTAACTTCACCCTACTGTAGAGAGAACCGCGTAGTTACAATTGTTTCCCTACTCAACTGATCTACAGATAACTTTGCTTTTCAATGAATAGATCTACAGATGATTTATATATACCTTTGCGAAAGTGTGTTCATTTATCTGTGATTATTGCTATGAATGCTCTTGTATTTATGTATAATAGTGCATTACATTAATCGTTTATAATTCCTTCATATTTTGCGCATACTTTGTTTAAATCAATCTAATCTAAAGTTATAATTCACAGTGAAGTCAATGTGATACAGCCCCATAAACATGAAATGTTTCTTAGCAAATAATGAAATGAAAGTATTAAATATAATTCACACAAAAATATAATTAACTTGAAGCACACGAAAAAAGAGGCCAATTACAAAAGAGAAAAAAATGGTAGTGGCAAAAATCTGAAATTCCTTCTAATATGACGACTCGTGTTTGAAAAGAAAATGCCATATGTCGGGACGATTGTCAAGAAATGCAAATAATACCAGAATAACACCTTAATTATTACTCCAAGTGCGAAAGCGAACTACTGGTACAAAAGCTAACAAACAAACATTTAAAAAACACAGATTTCTGTTGAAGACTTCAACTAAATCAGGCAGCAATCGTCACATTAAAGAATTTGATCAATTTCAAAAGGTTTTTTGACGTATAGAGTTTCATGATGTCATAGTTTCACTGTATGTCTCTAATTGACGGTAGTTCTAGCCGCCCATCATAAAATACTCTTAACAAATGCAAAATATGTTAAGTAAATCAACTTTCGACCAATTTATCGCAAATTAAAACAAATCATAAAGGGTAAGTATGCCTAAAACCAAAAATTTTTCATCTTATCTATATGCCTAAAACACGTTTCCAATACTCTGCAGTGAACTTTCTTTCCAAAGGCTACTAGTTACAAACCCTACAACTTTTATATATATTAATTTTTTAATAAAAATTCGGAAATATTTGAAAATCTCCCCTACCATCCTCAGAAAACCTCTCCTTATTTCCCTACAAGGTACAACACCACCCAGTTAACGCCATCATTTCGACACCACCCTAGCAACGCCGACGCCGCTACCCTGTCAACACCAACATAAAACGTCGCCTTTTCAACGCAACCTATTCAAGGCCCTACAATCAATTCCAGAGAAATGATGTGACATCACTGAAAGGAAGTTAAATCAGCCTACAAGTTGCAACAACAGATATCAGTAGAATTTGACAATTAGTATTCAGTATTCTCATCAGACTAGGAGACTGATGACAAAACGTTGAATATCCAATGACACCAACAATGCTCATAAGTGAGAAAGACGGATTATCTTCAATTTTAGCTGTTTATGTCCCAAATTCTAAGCATTATCAAAGCGCAATAACTCGAAATGAAATGTTTGCTAGCCTTCAAGTCATTGATTTTATTTAAACTTATGTAAAAGGAATCCATAGCGGCCACAGACATCGACTATCATATTCTATTGATCATTCAGGGTGGTGGTACACGCTAATTGAGGCCGTAGAACATCGTAAATATCGACCCAGTAGTGCTAAGCAATAAATCAGTATAAACATAACACTATATTATGCAGGTAAGATTCAACGTAACAGGTAAACAGAAAAAGATCCTCTTGAATGGTAGAATGTAACCCCAGAGGGTTTGATTTAGAAAAAGAACCTCTCTATTTGACTATGCATCAGCTCTTGGCAAAAACGTGCTAGCTGGCTTGAGGTCCTTATGTAACCACTGATTTTTCACAATACAACCCTTGATGTTTGATGGTGACAGGGTAGATGCCCCATCACAGTATTGTTTTCACTTTAGCACCAGGTCTATCTATACGCTTGCGGTAACGAGATGCTCGAAATGGCGCGCAGTCTTTTGTCTCCTGTGTGCTTTTGTTAACATGAAAAAACACTGTGAACATTCGTAGAGTAATGAATTAAAATCCAGCATTCCAATCCACTGAAAATTTTTTTTGCAGAAGACAGCAGGGAATAGAGAAAAGAGTAAACGCAGGTTGTTATTTTGAATAGCAATCATGGGGTGGAAATTAAGGCCATTTTCATAGCTCTTCAATAACCTAACCGAAAGTGTCAATTTTTTCAACGCACAATACCCACAAAACCTCCCTCTGAAAAACAAAGTAAACAGGGCTGGGCTTTGGTATGGCACTTCTTTGGCTTTAATTGACCTCTTTACAGTTGTTGACCGTTTACCGGGTTTACCGGGATATGCATTGGCACAGCATTATGCAATAGTCTGGTTATTTTGTTTCACATCAAGGAAAAAGAAGGCATGGGTGTGCATGGGTTGCCCACATTCCGTGTAGCGGTGTCCCTAAGTATTTTTCACATCTAAAGATTCAATTCATAAATTATTATGTTCAGTAGGCCCTGGAAAGTTTTCATCCATAACTGTAATGGAAACATAATATAATTCTCCCATTGATGCTTTATTGAAAAGAAAAAAACAGCAAGTACTTTTAAGAAGTACAGGGCAACTGAACCATTTCTCCAAAAAGGTTGCAAAAATTTGTTGCCCTGAACTCATAGATTCTTCTTCGTTTCTTGTTTGTAACAAATTAGGTTTGAAAATGAGATAAGAGCAGCCAATGCTTAAAAATATTAAAATTAGTAGAAATGAGATACTCATGGGGCTGAATCTGAAACCGATGAAAGGTATCTGAAAACACCAAAATGTTTCTTAAAAGGAGAACTGCAAACAATGAGGTTCATCAGCTATCTGCTCATAATAGCAAAGGTTCATTAGCTAGCTTCGAACGTTAACTAGCTCCTAGTCCATAACTTCTTGGCTAAATTGTGATAATGAAAATGCTTTGTGAATGCTAGCGATTGCCACACCTCGAGTGCCAGTCATTTATAAATAAACAGCTTCATATCAATTAAGAGAAATAGGTTTTATCCTCTTCCTTTAAACACAACATTATATATCTGGTGGAACAGAGCTTGTCGATTCAGTCAACATAAGCTAGAGATGTACTGACAGCTCCTCTCCTTTGAGTTTACATGAAAAGGCGTTTTAAACATGTCTTGACATTTGCGAAACAAACCTCATTAAGGCTGCATATTCACAAAAGGCACACGTTGCTAAGTGCTTTAACGGCTTCAGCTACACTCAAGACGGACTAACTGTCAAAAAGCGGCTTCAGTTTTGTTTTCAGTTATAATCCCTATCAATGTCCTTTTGCAGTATACGCAGATTTCATATTGCCTGATCGGCAACTGTGGTCTGCATCACATCTAAATCTAACCAAAACTCGATCGTTCGGCATAGCTACTTGCCGTATAATAAACGATTACAATAAACGAATGTTTAATCTTGTTATAACAGATTACTTCGCCTGCTTAACCTAGGACTTCGAAGCTTCATGGCTGTTCTTTCCGAATTGGGAGTTAAAAAGTATTATTGAATTATGGAAATTTTTGCTGCAGGATGAAATTTTAACGGACTCACCGAGCTCATATGAACGTCGAAGAACACTGTCGAGGAAGGTGTTCTGTGGCGCAACGACGCCGTTCTTCATTCTTGGCAATGACCAAGAAGCCTAAGTAAAATTTGTCCTCTGAATATCTTCAGACTGTAACTTCACTTCCTGTAAAAATTGAGAATTTCAGCCATGAGCACAAGTTTGATACGTCATAACTTTATAAAAACATAGATATATTTGCAAGAAAAAGCAGATGAGAATCCTTTAGACAAGCTGGTGACTGTATACAAGTCTCCGTACTTCATTCATATTTCATAATCGCGCATAATATCACTCAGTTATCACAATTCAATTAATACAACTTATTGTTCAGAATAACTAATAGCGACTATCCGAATCATTCATATTTAAAATACATCACTGCAAATAACACACACTGAAAAATAGCATATCGAATAAACAGGGACTTTTACAGCATTTGTTATTTTACTTTTCAAGATGCAAAGTTCGGTTGCTAGCTGGTTACACCTGACTTCAAAAAACATTTAGCTCATTACAAAATTATTTGCATTAAGACTTCCTTGCAATCCTTTCTGCCTGTTTGATAAATCTTTATATTTGTCTTTGCATTCGATCTTAAGGTGCATGCATATATACCAACCACGTAGTTGCAGGGGGCATGGGGGGCTGTGCCCCCCTAAATGAAAGTTTTGATAACAACTTGCCCCCTCTGGCTACAGTTTTCCAAATGATATTTTGAAAATTTGACATATCTATAATTCCATGACCTTGATTTAGTCCAAATATATCTGTTTGTTATGTCTCTGTTTTTTTGTTTTAAAGCCTGCCCCCCTCAGGTATGGTTCTTGCTCGAGTTTGCCCCCCCCCCCTAGCCGCCATCTACAGCTACGTGGTTGATATATACATCTCCATTGTTGAAAAGACTATTTGACTCGGTTACCTGCTTTGCTTCAGAGCAGTTTCAAAGCAATGTTAAGCTCAAAGTGAAGTTTTCATTAGATTCGATTCGACAGGCATACTTAAAGTCAACATAAAGTTCTACATTAAATAATGATATATCCTTCAGTATTTAAACAGAGGGAATCTCGGTGGCCAGAAGCGTTTCCAAGCAATTTCAACGAGATACAAATTCTTTGCAATTGACTTTTCCGCCCATTCAAGAATACGAATAACTGATAAGAACGATAAAAGTACAGCGCAAAATCCATCGGGTATGGGGGTATTATATTCTAAAGAGATCAAAAAAATGTTTTTATTGCACCTACTTGCTTTGCTATAGAAGATGTTTGTATTCTACATAACTGCCAAAGGTGATTGTCTAAAGCTGCCGGCAACAAATCATAAAATATAATTGCACGTATCTAGAAGAGGTTTTCTGAGGCATTCATCTCTTTTAAGAAGATTTATACCAAAATATTGCTGGGCAATGAACTTTTTGTACCTATCTGCATTGTCAAGCAAGATGAAAAAGTTTATTAGAAATTCATGAAGTGCCAACAATACGGCTGTTATGAGGGTGCTTGGCTAGGGTTTATGTCGGGCTTAAGTCCCTCTTTAACCCCTTGTTGTACCACCATTCATTCTATTTTCGTTTAACATTCTCTATAGCGTCAGAATTTACATCTCTGTTAATAGCCACAAGAATACATAGGAGATATTACTCAGTCATCGACAGGTTCTTCGCAAATCTCTTTTGAGACCATGTTTTGAAATAACAAAGTCTGTTTAGGTAGCACCTATGAATACAGAGTATTCAAACGAGAAGCTTCAAACAAATCTCCATATAATACAATTGTTAGATGTCTAAAAGATACACAATATGATATAAAGTTTCTCCAACAGCCTGTGGCTGTCAACATTTTCAGGCCCCTGCTTTCGCTCACACGACACTGCTTTCGTTACTAACCATTTTGGATTTCAAACTGGGCAAGAGTGGGTACATTTTAGCATTATTATCCGGCCATAATACATCTGCCTTGTCACTTCAAATTTCATTCATTTTTGCTGCTGGCTGTATTTTACGGATCTAGTTGGCATTACATCGTTATTGTGTTGCCTTCTTATTAATCTCATCAATCCTTTCGATAACGTATTGAAATACATACGTTGCATAAAATTTCATGCTGCTGATCTAAACAAATTTGTGTTGAGCATTTTTTTAAGTAGCGGTATACACAAGTACAATTTTTAAACTATTTTCCAAATCACATTTGAACAGGTACCCATCTATAATATTTTCATCAAAATTCAACACTACCTGGTTTAATTGATTTCTAAAAAACGCAAGCGAATGCCTGAAATACGCCTACATTTGAAAAAGGGGTCCTGGAAACAATTTAAGAACCAGAACATAGTCAGCCATTCCAAATCCCTAGATGTGAAATATCTTTATTTGGAGAGACTGGATAGAAATATCATACAATTATTTAAAATTTCCAGGCTTAGCAAAAATAGAAATTTGTAAAGCCCTAGGTATTTCTCTAGTATCCAACATTATGTAAGGTTGACGGTTTAAATAATAAAGGTGTTTCAAATAAACTGGAAATCTCGTTAAATTCGATAATAATAAACCAACTTCATGGTTTTGCTCGAACATTTTTCTATTTATTTGTACAAATGTAGCTCTTATCATGGTAATATCGTTATCATTTTTTCTTTGCTTTGAAAAAGCTTTAAATATTTAGGGACAGTCTAGCGTATCAAGCCTGAAATACAAAACTATTCTCAACATAGCCGGAGGTATGTCTTGATATTTATTTTGCTTATGTAACTGTAAACTTGGAAAAAGTAAAAAACCCAGCTGCTATTGTGGCAACAGATCATTGGCAACAGACCACTGGCAACAGACCCCCGAAGAGCTCATTTTTCTAGCAACCAGACGGGTATTTTAAATGTTTATCAAATCTGGAAAATGCTTTATGGCCAATTATGACGAGCTTCCAAGTTCTTTTGTTCTCCACAAACTTCCATGTTCGTTGACAGCGGATATATTCCCACACTGCTTTGACGAAGTCTTCGTATAAAAGTTACATAATTCCCGTGATTTGGAGAAAAATGCTTCGATGTTATTAATGTGTCATCAAAATGTTGTGTTTTGTTTGTTGCTAGCTAGCTACGAAATCACAGCTAGGTCACAAAGGTACTAATTGATCGGTCAATTTACCTAAGAAAACCTCAGCACAGTAGTTGAATCTGGGACCAGCTATCTTGATCAATACCCATTCAGTGTGTCATACGAATGGCCTCTGGTTGCCAAACAGGGTACGACATAAAAAGAAATCAATTAAATTTGCTTGTGCATCGTATTTGAAAATTCAAATGACAAAAATGTTAGAAAGATTGCAGGATAGCAAGGTAATGCTACCAACCCTTTCATAAAATTGCGTAGATGGTTTCACCCAGTGTCTCAATAAAAATTCAGCCTAAGTACTTTTATCATTTCTTGAAGGCTACCTTTGAACGTAAAACAAAAAAATCAGGTAAGGTTTGCAAAACTTTTCTAATAAACAATTTTGCCAGTCAGTTTTGAATAATCTCTCTTAATATTGCATCAACATATGAAACCAACGCTCCTGCGCATTTAAAAACTTCCATTCGCGCAAGGCTAACCAAATGGACGGTCAGAAATCTAACGAAACATCCCTAAACTTTTTCAAAAATAACCGGCTTTTCAACTAGAAGGTCCCCGTCGTTCAGATGATGACTTTGGTGCTATTTGAGTATTGAATCCACGACCAGAGAAAGGTTCTTGAGAATTTGAGAATCTTGAGAGTTCTAGCTGCAAGATACAACCCTACTGAGGATACTTCAGCAACGCTTAAGTGTAATCATGTGTCAATATAGGTACATTGATAATATGATAAGCTTTGATTGAAAATCGAGCATTATTATTATTCCTCTCATTTTTGATCCCCAATTTCCCTGAAAAAATGCCTAAACAAGACACACAAATAAGGAATTGAGTAGGAATGGAGTAGGAATTGAGTAGGAATTGAGTAGGAATTGAGTGGGAATTGAGTGGGAATTGAGTAGGAATTGAGTAGGAATTGAGTGGGAATTGAGTAGAAATTGAGTAGGAATTGAGTGGGAATTGCAGTAGAAATTGAGTGGGAATTGAGTAGAAATTGAGTAGGAATTGAGTGGGAATTGAGTAGGAATTGAGTGGGAATTGAGTAGAAATTGAGTAGGAATTGAGTGGGAATTGAGTAGGAATTGCAGTAGAAATTGAGTGGGAATTGAGTGGGAATTGAGTAGAAATTGAGTAGGAATTGCAGTAGAAATTGAAACTGGTTACAACTCAGCTAATATAGAAGCCAGCTTGATAGTTTAATAACAGTCTACATATTAAATGGCTCTTTGTCATGACTATCACATTCTCGTGCTTGAGTGTTTATTTGAAGCATTGCAGTATTTAAAAATTGTTTTTCATTTCATTTCAGCTTTTTGATGGTCTCTATTAACATCAGCATGGAATAACCAAATATTTATCGAAGCATTAACGCCAAAAAATCATTTCCTATGGGGGAGATCTCCCAGGTTCGTATTTCTTTTTCGTCGCCTCTGAATCTGGCTCGAGGGTGCTTGCATTCTCAGCATTTTCAAGATAAAAATGCAAAAAGCATAGAAATAGTTCATGATGTATTCATGAAACACATTGGTTGCTTTTACTTTATTCAGGGTTTGATATTGAATTAACCAGATCAAATCTTGAGTTAATAAAATGTTTCTTGGCTTAGGCAAAGCACCAGTCCGCCGAGGCAAAATGAGTTGTGCTTTATCAATGGTTTGATGCTTCGAATTATTGAGTGGTGAAAAAATGTCACATTTTATTCAGTTTATTCCTATAAAGTGCATTTTTGCCTCGCTGATAATTCTGTCAATATTTGAAAACAAAATCTGAAGTACAACGATAAAAGTAATTGTCCCAGCAGGGATAAATTCGAGGTTTTTTGTAGTAGCAGCATACAATTCCCCTTGAACACGACACCGCTCTCAGAGCTTATCTTAATCGCATAACAGTTAAAAAATAAATTTTGTGATGCCGGAATAAGCTACACACAAAAGAGGTTATTTAAAGCATGTGTTATATTATGCCCTTTCAAAGTTTAAATCTTGAAAAACATGCTCAACAAATAAATGAATAAAACTAAATTAATCTTTGGAATACACAGGTTTCTCATTTTTTCTATTTGTTTCTTAAAACAAAATACAAAAAATCCCATGTTAAATCTACGTGCAAGAAATGAATTTTGTAAGTTGGGTCAATTTGAATATTAGGCAATAGTGGCAAAACTTGAAAAAGGCCACCGATTTTTGCATAAAGTCTAGCGCGCACCCAGTGGCGGCGCCAGCTATCACAGAGTGGGAGAGTAATGGGCGCGGCCAGTGGGACCACGCCCACTTTGCCTCGTTTCAGTGATTTGTATCAGGTTAACTTTCTATAAAAAAATTTGATCTACCCCTACCCAGCGCTTTTTAAATATTTTTAAAAAAGTGAGGGGAGGTAATTACCCCATACTACCCCTTGGCGCCGCCACTGCGCGCACCGCAGGTTTTCACCTGTGATCCTGCGATTTTCATCTTTGGAGAAGATCGCACATTTCACGACTGTTATGGTTTATTCTTGTGCAGCCCAGTCTCGCTTGACGCAAATCGTTAAAACAGCGAATTTATGTTTTATTGCCGGAAATCATGGCATCAAAATTCAATAAGCACGTTGCAATGCTTGTCTTTCAAATACCCATTAGAAGAAAATAATGTCACGGGGCAAGAATCTTTCGGTACGCTATGAACACATGAAAAATACAGCAAGTTGCATATTGCAAGAACTGCACGAACTTGACAAAGCATTCAACGACATCGCTGGTGTTATTTTTCAACAGCAGACCATTTCGTCTTGTGATTGGGCCATATTTTCAATTAGCAAAATAAATGGTGCTTCTTCGCCTGCTAATTTTCTATCCTCCAGAAATGTGCCTTTCCTGCCTTGTCATTATTGGTTTTCACAATAATCCGAAACGATTTTAATCGTTGAGCAGCGCACACAGCAAGATTTTTGTCTCTCGTCGTAAGCGACAAAATCGTAAACCTTTCATCCCATAAAATCGTTTAAAAATTTTTTTTCTGAGACATTTCGCATCGCCGATAAAAATCGGCAGTGAGCGCTTGGCTTAAGGAGATATTCTCTTGAAAATATTGGAGAAACGCAATGGAGAGTGATCAAGTTGCCTTTATACATTGTTTTTAAATATTATAAATAAAATATTTCTAATCATATCTTACTTTTCTAAGAAAAATAGGTTCACTGATAAAAAGTGGGGGACCTTAAACTACTACTGAATATTTTCCTAAGATGCCAACTTCAAATATTTTTTCATCAAACAGGATAAAACTGGGTTATATTACGGATCATTCAGACATATTTGATTTCAAGAATCTCTAAAGCAGAAAACTAAATAATTGATTTATAAAAGTATAAAAAGGCTACCAAATGTTAATAACTTGCAAAGATTTAAAAGAGCTTCCTTTTCTTGTTCAGCTTAAAACCAGATACCAAATAATCCCAGAAAATGTCATGGAAATAATGATAATTATGCAACTTAAAAACAATGAAATCAAAATACGTTTATTATACATTCATTCTTTCTTGGCTGTTTGGTCCTTCTTCGATTTCTGTAATTTTGTATTTCGCTAATAGGAAAGTACAATTGACAATATTCAATAACTGCTTTTCTTAGATGAGATCGCTTACCATTTCCTATATTGATGAGATGCCAATATTTACAATTAATCCACGATTACAGGCATATCTTCGTCGTCTTCCAGTTCTAAATTCCAGTCAAATGTTTTGATAAGGAGATCCTTTAACATCTCTGCTTTCTCGAGAAGTCTTCTATTAAGGTTAGTAGAATCTTTTATAGTACCAAACATAATCTGAAAAAAAATCACCTTTTTAACTGCAACAGGTAACAGACCAATGCTAACAAAAGAAGACAAATTTTAATCTTTAGTTTGCATCTTAAACAATAAAACAAAACCTGTAGTATTTAACTGAAATCTTCTAAAATATCAGCTTGTGTTCAGCTCAATTTACATCTGGAGTTTACAGAGTTAAACAAAGAATACCCAACTTCTGACATCAAAAATCTATAGATATTTTATACGATTAACACTCAGAATTTGTGTTGAAGGTAAAAGTCAGAAATTGCTTTTGATATGCGTAAGTATATTCACATGGTTAATGATTAGCTCTAAAAACAAATCTAACTCTCGACTACCAACAGTGCTTTCAATCTAGCCGCTAGGAGAAAACATTTTAATCTTATGGTAAATTTTGTTATTGTATCCAAGGTGTATTTTTATAATGCATTCCGCTGCAAAAGACTAAACTCATTAATAATAAAAGAACACTTATAGGAGAACGATATCGTAATCTAGAGTAAAACTGTTCAGAGATTTTCCAAAATGGATGCCAAGGAGCGACCAAGAGGGGCCCCAAGAGATATCAACGAGCTTTTCAATAACATACAAGGCCTGTCAAAAGTCTTGGAACACTGACGTCATTTTCCAAGGTCAAAGTCAATCATCCCCCTCTCACTAAGCAACAATGTTGGTTTACCATGAAACAGGTTAGGATTTTAGGAAGCACTTTCTTTTGCGCTGCTTTTATGATACTTCTCTAAATCATCAGCATTGTTGTAAGGAGAAGGGGGCTGAAATAGTATTTTTTTTCGGAAAAGGAATGAAAGATATGAAATGCAATGCAACTGGGTGTTCCAAGTACTTTTGGCAGGCATTGTAAGCATATCGTGTTGATTGTAATAAACTCTTTGTGCATTTACCCGATAAAGCATATAGATTCACCAGCTAACAATCTGGGGGTTTAAATTTACCTATGGAGGATACTTCAGTTGTAACTCTTCTAAATGCGTGGAATTCAATGTCACGTTTCTCTCTCGGCAATTTAGTACATCCTTCGTTTAGAATTTAAATGTTGAAAATTTAAATGTTTGTCCTTAGCACCAGCTGCATGCGACTAGAAATTCATTAACTGCCACCTTAAGATACTCAGGCACATTGTACAAAATCTATCAGAAACTTGACATATGTTTCCGGCCACATATGGATTTTGTTTCTGGTTTTTGCTAATTTCTGTTGATCAACTTACAGCTTTCTCTAACAAAGTGCAACCTTACAATTCTTCTGAATCATTATAATTTTAATCCACTTTAATGTTATTTATTTTTTCATGTACATGTCCATTAATTGAAAAATGAAATACCTTTAAACCTTAAGCATCAGAGTGAAGTACTAACGTTTGATTACTTCTTCGTGGCACAGAAAACAATATGGGTGTTACAAACAAAATGTCATTCTTGAAGTATTTCAGCACTAATAATGTAATTTTCTCTTAACTTTACCACAAAACTTAACTGCGAGCACAAATAAGACTTTTTCAGAGAGGGATAGCTTTACTCTTAATAAATTGCTCTTCATGGCAAGAATTTTGTGTCACTGTTTAGTTTTAGGTCAACTAGTCCTTGCAAAAAACTAATGCAACCGAATCAGGAAATTTTCTACAGCTAAGAAAAATTTGGATCTAAATTTTCTACAGCTGAGAAAAGTAAATACCCTCTGTAGCCAAAACAACTAATAGCTGCTCTGCTATCACTGGAAACACAGTTACATCTCTATTCTTTTTCTTTTCTTTCAGATACATGTCCATTCTAGATAGATGCATTGAAGCGAATGCATATAAAGAGCTTACATTCTGTTGAGTAATCAGGGCATGGACTTATCCCGTAAAAAGAATTGAATTCAAAATGAAATGAAAATCAAAGACCACCTCCAAACTGGCCAATTATAGCTTTCATTTTCAACTGGGTTTTCTGTAAACAACCTTTCAAAAATTTAATAGATTCATTTTTGAGGCAGGCTGAACAGCCCTTGTAAATCCTATGCAGCTGCGAATTTCACATTTATATGCAACTGTGAAATGGTGGTTAATTAGATTTCTTAATCAATAGAAAGAAAACTTAGTCTACAAAAATTGATAACAAAAATAAATTTCCTGTCTGATCAAAAACAGCTGTGGCTAAATGAAGCAAAATAATAAAGACAATCCTGTGTGTTAGCATAATTTCCTGCTTTATGTAAGCAAAATTCAGAAGAGCAATTAATGTCCTATATTATATACCCTTGACATTCACAATAACCAAAAGATGACGTTTTGAATGATGACCTGATAAGTTACCAAAGTGAATACCCAGCAATATTTGAAAATTATAATATAAAAAGGAGTTGTGTTATTGAATCTGTGTTGTAACTGAAAAACATCCATTGAAGACTAATTTTTTGTTTTAATGATATTGTACCACACAGGAATAGCAAAAAGTAAAAAATTAACAGAAGATAAAATCAAATATTTTCCTTACATTACTGTTTTACAATTATCCTAAAAAGTACAGAGAAAAAGATAAGAATTTTAGGTTTTCTAAATAACACATTTATGTCTTTTATTGAAAATATTTAATCATACTTAGAGATTAGAGGAGTATGATTCATATACCAAGAATACCGCAAAAGTTTCAATCAGTCAGATACCTCAAAACCTGAGGATATCTGCAAAAATGAATGTGTTACCTTCAAAGTTTGTACAAGAAAGTTACGTTCAGCCACAATATCAACAAAGAAGTCTTCTGGGATTTCCTTTATTTGAAGCATTATGACATCTGGAATGAAAAATGAGCTTTAATAACTAATTACATACCTGTTATATTGTTTGAGAAATTCAAAATACAATGGAAGAAAGATTCCTCATTCTGTAGCAGTGATTCAAGTTTAGGTCCATATTTAGGAAGTTGTCTGATATAAAAACAGGCCAGCAACATAAAATAAAAAGTTATGACTTCTTTGAATAAAAGAGACCTATCGTTAACCTTCCCTTTAGAACCAAATAGCCCTTAGTCATTTGTTAGTTAAACTTTACCACATTACCACATATTTATTTGGTTATAAGCAGTGGCTTTTAATTGTTTTTTGGCGAGATTTGCTGCTATTTATATTCAAGGTTGGCTTATAAACAAGGACAGTCTACAATATTTTTTGTATATCCTGCCATGTTTTCTTGCTACCTTGAAGCTGAGGTTGATAATGCAGAAGTTGGAAAAGAAATACTTTTGAACAATATTTGATATTCTCATGCTGGATGACAATGTTGTTGCTTGAACTTGTAAGTCTATTTTTCAGTTTAAGTACACAATCAGCTATTTATTATTTGTTGGATCCATCATTTCAAACCAAGTAGATTACATGGCTTTGTGGGTGCCCCTTATTACCAAAGGTGACTTGCCTTTTTTCAAGAATCCAATTTGCGGCAGCTTAGGCACCTGGATGGCTTATACCCAGGGAGGGCTTATAACTAACTAAATAGGGTAGCAAAGCTTGTTTCATTCATTTACAGAAGAACTTAAACACTATATAAGAATTGGGTTCAAAAGTATAAATTGATGCTTAATGGGAATACTTAAACGAATGGGACATCACACAGAAAAAAGTTTCCTACATGTTACTTATCTTATCTAACAGAAAATGGAAAAAATATAACCAAAAAATGGCTGTGATAGGGATCTTGGTAAATCTAATGTCAAATAATTGCACTTTATAGAAGAATTTTTATAATTTCAGAAGAAAAGATTTTTTTGTCAATCCATGAACTTGTTTTACCAATCCATGACTGTTGCAGGCAACTACCGAGCCAATTATAAGAAAAAGCAACAGTGGAAATTTTTCAAAAAAAATCAAAGGTTATGCTGACTTATTAGGTCAATTAAAATTATACTCCTTGGTGCAAACAAGGGACAGATACTGCACCATATGTACTTGGAAAATAATGAAGAATACGGCTTGTCAAACTGATTTGATAATTGAACAATCTATATAGTGTGGATGTCTTTTGAAGTTGCCTCTTAAGTATGGCAGAAGTTAACAGAGCTTTAGAGCTACAAGAATATGGAATGAACTGCAAAAGGGTACCAGGAATGTCTCATACACAACTGTGAACACATTCATACTGTGAAGGTATTCATACTAGGGTTGGGCCAATATTTGCACACTATAAATGATAAACCTCATCTACTCAATGATGGCAACAGAGATTGTCAAACACCTGCACATGATGATGAGGATACACATAGAAGCTTTTCATGGGTCACACTGCCAAAATATTTATTAATCATATTTACCTTTAACTTGCTTCATTTTCTCTAACTTAATAATACTTACATACTAACCATTGTTAATGTTTATAGGTTAAGTTACAGTAAGTAATAGAAGAAAGAGGAATACTGGCGAAATTCTCAATCTGAATAATACTGTGAAAGTAGAAGAAGCTAGCAAAGTGACAAAGAAAGTAACAGACAAAAACCTACCAAAAAATTTAACAAAAAACATTGGTCTTGTAGAAAGTGATTCATCACACTTGCATATTAGCTGCATCATGGCCTTCCAGTGTTCAAAAGCATCAAAAACTGCAAAAGAATTGTCATTTACTAAACAAGGCTTCATTAGAAGAATGAACTGCAAGTGCAAATCTTCATTAAATAATAGGAAAATTTCCAATTATGATGATAGTAACAAACAGCAGTTACTTAGATAACAAACCATACAAACAAAACTTTGGAAAATGTGTGTGATTTGGCATTTGCAATAGACTTTACTTGCCCTACTGCACATGCAGGGGTCAATGTTATATATGCACAGGTCTTTTTAAGAACATTCTTATTCAATTCACTTTGACTCATTCCCCAATGTTTTTAACTATTTACCGCTATAGAATAACATTGTGTCAAAGAGATAAATAGTTTTTTCAAATATCATTATAAAAAGGAAATTTCAGTTTCTTTTGACAACAAATGTTAACAAACTATAGCATTACCTGCTAAAACTAGCAATGGGATAGGAAATGATTATGCATGAAAGGAACAAGAGATGTAAAATAGCAAGAATGAGAATTGTTACATAAGAAAAGAGTACTGGGCAGTCGGAAAAAATTAAAAACTTTGTTTCTCAAAGCAAAACAGAAAGAGTGTGTTTTGCTCTTGGACTGAGATTGGTCAAAAACATAGAACCAACATTCCAACTTTCCAATCTCTCGCATTAATTTTGATCCACTTAGAAATTTCTGCTTACTTTTTGACATTATTTGACGTTTATACTTTGAGGGGTGAGAGACAAAAAGAGCTTCAATACAATATGTTTCCACTCCTCTGTGCTATTTTCAGATTAAGAAACACTTAAAAAAGAATTGGTATGGGATTTTCCTACACCATTAAGAAACTGGAATACTCTAAAGTTGACCTTCATTTCTTATAGAAATAAAAGTGTATTTTAGTTATATTTTCTGGATATTTTCAATGCAAATCAACTTAATCTACCCTTTAAAGACTCATTGCTTACAATGAGCCATTGTGCTACACAAAAATCTCAATGCATTTCCAGACAGTCTTAAATAAATTTTGGCTAATAGATAGAGGTTTACTGCCTTTGTTTGGATTGTGCCATGCACCCAAAGGCCCATTGTTAGCAATGAGTCTTTAAATAACATTCATTGCTCTCTATTATTAATTGCTCTTTATCTTTTGAATAAAGATGAGTTTTGTTGGATTCTATTCAGTAAATATGTTTTCCTACACAAAACTTTGCAATTTTCCAAAAAAAAACTAGATATCCCTTTTGTCATTGTAAGGAGTAGTTGTAACTACATATGCACAAAAAATGGAAAGGGTTGTTATGTGAAGGATCAAAGACTTATGTGTTGAGAAAAGAGATTTGAAAGGCAAGAAAATTATTAATCACATCAAAGTAATAGCAAATGAACCACAGATGTTGAGGATTCCTTAGGATTTCTTGTCAAAATGTCAAAATCAAGTGACAATGACATGACAAATGGAAAATCAGATGTATAATCAGCTATTAGGCAGTGCCCAGGTGTCATTTTACACAGTGATAAAAAATCTATTTAAACATGAATTTCAAGGTCATACAAACCTTGCCCAATCATGAAGCAGACAAATGCAAATTGAATTTCACCAAGAATTTCATCCTCAGCTAAAACGCAATAAAAATGAGTAAAAATTGGCCTAAAACTTTGTCAGAAATATTTCAACAAGGTTTCAAACTTAAGCAACATACTCTATGCAAAAGCAGAAAAACAAATTTATTTCGAATAACAAAATTACAAAAATTAGTTCAACATTACATCAATCATTTCAAGATATTCTCTCAGTTGTTATATATCTTTATACAACGAGATTTGAAAGGTGTATTGCATTCATAAATAATGCATTCAGAATAAAACACTCCTATTAGCAATCATTGTCTGAAATATGTGTCATCACATGTGAATTGTTGCACATGTACCAATATGACATATTTCCTGTTATTAGTAATACCCATGTCAGAGGATTAGAAGGATATTCTTTAGAAACAAGCAAAATTAGAAAAGTCATACCATTGGAGCAACTTAAACTGCTTAACAAACTTTCTAGCACAAAGCTGTTGTCCATGCTATACTTTGTGATATCTGAAGGGCTGGCTCCATCTGGAAATTTCTTTTCTGGGATAACAGTAAACCTGATTTTCACATTTTGAAAATGCTCATCTTCTTTATCTGGAATACCAAGTTTCTGTCTCTCTCTCTTCTCTAGCATTTCAGTGCAATCAACTTGTGTGGATACTGACAGTCTACCACATAAGGGGGATAGCCTTGACACAGTATCACCTTTTATGTAGCAAGTGAGATTTTGCCATGTCCTGAGAACTTTATTGTCTGGATAAGGTGCTAGCAAGGCAGCTTCATTATCTATCTTAAAACAAAAAAAGCCAGGTTCAAAGAAAATTTTTTGAATTGGCTAAGCATAATCAATACAAATACATTGACTTAATTATTGGTGGAATACCCTTGATTTAAGAAAATTAGACTTCAAAAGAGCATTAGTGGTGAAGTCTTACAACAAATTTGAGAAATTTTGTCTTTTCATAGGGGAGAATTATATTGACCAGGTGGAAAATAAAACAAGACAAGAAAAAGGATGTAGCATTTACATTTACCTAAACATTTTGCTTGAAAATCCAGTTTCTTAAAGTGATGTGAATTGAAAATTTTCCTTATCGTTCATATCAAAGAGCCATGGCGCTCTGAAAAGGATAGGCTGTAAGTGTAAAGCCTGTTTCTTGTTAGGGAGCCATACTATTTCATTTAATTCCATTGTGGGACTTGAGATTGTTCACATTGTTGGGCAAAACTTTGGTAAATTTCATTGTTATATCAAGCAACTTTGTTTAACTGCGTCAGGGATTGAGTTAACAAGATTGAATAAACCAAACTGAATTTGAGTTTTAAAAAAGGAAAGTTAGCCCGCATACCCAACAATACATCTTCAATTTTGCATTCTGTAAAAGGACTGTATAGCTCTTCGTTTTGTTCATCCCATTTGGAGCGGAGGACTACACCTTTGGTTCTTGGATCGTCAGGGAAATACAGAAATTGGCCATTTCTTGGTGCGTGACGCTCCTGTTGGTCAACCATACTTGTGAAAATGAAATGTAGGCCACTGGGAATGTCTTTCACACCACGGAAATTCGGTCCCACATACCATGGGTTATAGTCAATTCCAAGCTCTGTCCCTTGTGGCACGTTCGGGATGATGATTGCGTTGAATTTTCCACTCATATTGCCTAAATTACGCTCTTTTAGAATAGCAGACGTTTCGATACATGAGGACGAAGATGAAGGCGAAATTTGGCGGGAGCCTCGTTTGGAAGCAATGTCAACAGACCACCAAGACCAAAACCAAAATATCGTTCGAGCTGGAGAACAGCGACAGCCACCGCTAAGACTGTCACATCCCTTTAATGTTTGGAGTGGGGGAGGGGGGGAGGGGGGGTTCAATGATTTGCACGAGACTTCTGATAAGCTGAAAAAATCTTCTGATTAAAACACGTAAAAGTAGCAAAGATCACACGTAATGAAATGAAATGAAATGAAATGAAATGAATTGAAATGAAATGAAATGAAATGAAATGAAATGAAATGAAATGAAATGAAATGAAATGAAATGAAATGAAATGAAATGAAATGAAATGTAACATGCGTTCGGCATTTCAGGGTGTTTACAGGCAATGGAAGCTAAGATTCAGAAAAAACAACCAAGAAAGTCAACAATTGCACTCTTTTAATTTATTTCGCTGAGTAGATTTTTTATTTCTAAGAATTTTTTCTAATTACATTTTGTGAGTTTCGATATGAACCAATAAATTTAATTATCGATCGTTGTACAGTAATTTGTTCGATTTGCAAAGCCATGCGTTTTGCAGTTTTCTTTGTAGACTGTTTTTTACACTCCATATGCTTCAAAATTGCCAATATTTACGTCTCTGTATAAGGTCCACGATAAAAATGATTTAAAGGGTACTGCAAAAAACAAAAAAGACGGCGAGTCCATGACGAAGTTGAATGCTTAGCAATCGGCATTTCAAGAATAGGGTATTACCAAGAATAAAATGTTTCTACTTTCGCATAAAGCGGCATTTTCTGCTAAAGACAGAACAACATTGTCTCCAAACTTTCTGAATTATCAATAATAAACTGGTCAATTTGGGAAAGCTTTGTCTGCAAATGGCACTTACACTTTGTATCAAACTGAAGAAAGTGAAGAAATTCACTTTCATTCAATCAGAAAGAAGAAGTCTAACAACTTTCTATTTAAAATGAAACTTTGGATATTTTAAAGTAATTGCCTATTGTAAATTATTTAAACTTTTTCTACATATTCTTAGACAGGGAACAAGCAAAGGTTTGACTTTCAGTTGTCTTGCACTTAAACCAGACTAAATCATTCAAGCTCAAATACTAATTGGAAGTTAGTTTGTTTGTTTTGAAGCAGATGGTGACTTGATATACGGTTCACATACCTTATTTCACAAAGATTTATCTCCTGTAACAACAAGTACTGCACTTTCTTGTTTGCAATATATACTTCTTTTCAGGGCCGTAAATCCCGGGGGGACGGGGGGGACTGGACCCCCCCCCAAAATCTGGAGCAAAACGATTTTTTTCATAAATTATCATCATTTTCTTTGAAAGAAACAAATCTCTGGTAGCTGGGTTTGAACCAAACTACGTTTTTCTGTGTTATTGCAACAAAACTCAGCCACTAAGTCATGGTGTCAAGTGCAAGTTGACTGATGCTGATAGCCGTTTTTTTGCAAGCAGAGTAGTTTTTAGCTGTTTTTTACCGTTTTATTTTTAAAAACAGAATATGAAATAAAAAGAAAGCAAATAAAAAAAAAATTTTATTTGACCTATTTACCAACTTATTTACCCATATTTCTATTATTTGTTTATTATTGGCTTTTATTTAGTGAATCACTTTCTGTATCATTAGAATGTTTTCATGTTTGATGTGTAAACATGGCCTACTTAAAACACTCAAAATAAGGAAGATGCACATTTCTGTTCAGGAAGCAAAATTTTACCAATCAATGCAACATCATCTCTACTTTCCCCAACGTCTGTCACCAGAGTTTAAGCATGGCTCTTCCCCTACACAATTTGGCTCAATAAACAATAATCTGTGTTCTTCTGAGAAACGTCAAAATTTCTATCCTGAGCGATCTAGTATTTTGTTAAATTTAGTCTGGGGGATGCTTTTTTAGCCTTTCTAGAAGGTATAATTTCAAAAAATTTCTTTTGCGTCGGACCCAACCATGGTGGGTCCTCCTACGTCAATAAAAATTGATTCTAGATCCAAAGGTTAAAATTCGTGGGGCCGTCTCTGAAAATTTTTATCTATCAAATTATACACACAAGTCAGATGTACTAATTCCTAGAAATACCAAAATCTTGACTTTTGTTTTTCAAGTCATTTGCCCCTCAACTGTTTTCATAACATATAACACGGCACACTTTAAATTGATTTGCTCTGCTGACCCCCCCTGTTAACATGACAGATTTACGGCCCTGCTTCTTTTAGTTCATACAAAATTAAAGAAATAATATACAAATTCAAAAGAAGCTTCAATGGTAATCCGTGGCGTAGATTACATCCAACCTATAGAAAAAACCACCAACGACTTTTTTCTTGCATAAACGATCTAAGTCTCACAAAACTCGATTATGAAAGGAAAAGCAAGACTCTACTGGCTGATAATAGCCGATAATTTCTGCAACAGTTATTATTTGTGGTACTTTTCGCATTTGATCGCATAAATGTTTGCGGACAATTGAACTCCAAAGACCTAGACAGTTTTTTCTAAGAGCTGCTTTGGGGAAAATCAATTGTATTTTAAGATGAAAAGAGATCGTTTGAAAGACTTCCGGTGATAGATTATTTTAGCTTGTAATTTCTAGCTACTCACCATGGATAAAGACAAGCTCTGTGACTGAGCACTATTCAACTGTATTGTGTTATTATATGTAAAAACTGTGACAGAAAAGCTTTTTCTTATTTGTAGTTGTTTCTTCCTGGCATTTGAAGGTAGTTTTAAAGGGGAACTGAAGTGAACAACGATTTTTTTACCACTGATAAAGGTTTCCGTGCTGATTCCAAAACCGTTCGAATTTTTTAAATACGTTATGTAGTTTTTAAGTTATTAAGTTTTTAAAGTCGAATTTTGCGGAGCGGAGCGAGAACGCGGTCAGACCACTGTCTCACGTGACCTTGTGACCCTGGATGACCCTGGATGAACGTTTGGGCATGCCAGGGGCTCGAGCCCCAGGCCCTTTGGATCTGTAGTCTGAGCCTAACCACTGAGCCACCTTTGCACCTAATTGGTGTTTATGATCCCGTTAATTCTCAGAGGAAAGCTACGAATTCAGTTTATATTTTCCATAGAGCCCTATTCAAAGGTGAATTGGTGTCTTCGCGAGGATAATGTAGACACTGCCTTGTTTTGGAAATGCAGACACTGCACAAATTACGTGGTCATAATGGAAAGACTATTACACTAGCATCCAAATTATCTGAGAAAAACATGAATTTACTGCTTTTTACTGAATTCCTGAGAACCAGTAAGAAAGATTCCTCGCTTGTTGCCCTGATCCTTTTGACCTTGATACTTAACAGCATTCAAATCAGAAGAAAATAAAGCAACCTTTAAACAGTTACCCTTCTGACAGTTGTCCAGCTGATGGGACCGAGGATTTTTTCAGACAAAGATTTATTTGCTAATATTTGATTTAAAAACACTTTGCGTTTGAGCTATTCTAAAATAACTCTTATACTTTTTTCTTTATTAAACAAACAAATTATGATTTGTAGAGCTAAATGTGTTTGAGAATCAGATCTGCATTTGAGCCACATCAATAGATGAAGCTACACAAACACTAATAAACGTGACAGTGATAGAAAATATTTTGCAGACTTCGAAATAGAGTTGAATCAGAATTCATATGGCCTTAAGACAATTGTTTGTAACAACTGTATAAAAAATGGCGGCTTTCTATAGTTCCACATTGAGGAAGAAATTCTATAAATGTAAGATAATCATGAAACTAATAATTTCTGGATGAATCTTGAGTTAAATCTTTTTCGTTTGTTGCCTTAAACGTGCTTAATATCAACAAAATTAAAAGATCATAACTTTAATTGTTCTTAGAGGGTCCCGTGGCCTACACAATATCTTTGAAATCCTCAAAAACTTTTTGTTTCTCTTGCTAACAAAACATGGCACCCCTCTCCCCCCTCCTCCCAATACTTCTATCCGTCCTACTGTATTAAATTGATAGCTATATGTTTGAAGCTTTGGCAATTTTATGACATAAACAAGCTAAGATGCAGATTAAAGTGAAAAATTAACATTTAAAAAGCCCCTGTGAATGAAAGAGAGCAAAATGAAATCCGTGTATTTCATGCGTCTTTCTTTGATCAAAAAGACAAGATTTGTGGCAGGTTACTTGTTAAATGACGATAGCAAATAACGATTGATTCCTTTAATAATCTGCTTTGTCCATCGACGGATTTGTCATTTTCATACAATCCTTTGTTGTATGTTATTTACAATTCGATTGAATTTCTTTTAGAAAGAAAAGCTTAAAAATAGATCTACTTATCTGTCTTACTAAGACACGAGTTCGATGTTGCTAATAGCAAGGTCGTCATCTTCGAAGACATTACAGTTATTTTTTTGGTTGCTAAGAGCAACATGTACTCGTAATAAATCAATAAAAGAGTCCATTTCTCTTTGTATTCCTCCCAAAACCTCGAATTGATCTTTGAAGTAGTTTCTAGAATTTTCAGGAGCACTTATGGATTGTCTTTCAATTTCTTTATGTTCGCCTTCAAGGGAAAACAAAATGTGATAATATAAGTTTGATAGAAGTTGATGGCATTTAAGAAAGAATAACGATTAAAAGCATTAGTGTTTAAACTCAACATGAAACCAAAACTGAAACATTCACGTAAATCATGGTTGTCATTTCGAACCTGCATATTCGGAGATTTGGAGGCTGACAAGCATAAGCCCCTATTTAGCTTGCCCTAATTTTCGAAAACGTCAGTTTGTGTGAACACCTGATACATTCTGCCTTTGCAAGCTTACAGTCAGTATGATTATAATTATATGATTATCCAATAAAATCTGTTCATATAAAACCTGTGCCTTCAATCAGAAATTGAGTATCAATCATAACCAGTAGAAGAAACTATATCCTTTTCTCAGTTTTGAGAGGCAATGCTTTAGAAAAATCTATACTCTGCTTGTATTTCAAAATAATTGGGTCTTCACAACAGCAACAAAAATTGAAATAAAGTCAAACCATTACAATAGGGTAAAAATTACTTTTCTGTTCTGAGCATCGTCTTCGAAGATAAGTTTTTTCCCATAACAATCCAAGAATTGATAAGATCAAAATCATTGACATAGTTCCGACCAGTGTTGCAAACACAGCCTTATTATGAATGCTCAGGAGGCTATTTGATTTTTTCTCAGCATCACTTCCAGAATCTCTTGGCTAGAAAAGGATACAGCATTAAAATATTTTCTATTCTTACAAATAATAAGAACTTTCTACACTAAAAATGTTGTGTGGCCTTTGTGGGCCAGTGGCCAAGGCGAAGGACACACGATTGTGGTTCTGTGTCTAATTTAAATCTTATAAACGATTTGGAAATACCCTGATTGAAATATTGCGTTGTAAAAATTCAGCTTAATTGCTTTGCAACGAACATTCCCCATTTTCTCAAACAAGGAGTGATTGTATTTTCGTACAGGGTGGATAGAAAAGTGTCATTCCTGAAACTTTTCAATAATGAGCTTCAAATCTGAATGGCTCAAAACATTTGCAACAGCTGCACATATTATAGGACAGTAGCATGCTAACCTTTAGAGGTCGTATTGTCATTGACATGATTTTGAAGAGTTTCTCCTTATTGTTTTGCATGTAGCTTCGAATGTTAGGCTCCAGCCATAGCCCTTTGTCAGACAATACAATTCCATATGAAAAAACATGCTCAATTATTTCTACTAGTCTAAACTTGATAAACTTCTCTTGGAAATGCCCTGCAATAAAGCTATCCAGCAAAGCAGCTTGGTGTTTTGAGTTTGTTGCCGAAGAAAGCAAATGATCAATAGATGTGTGAGCTGCAAAACAAGGATATGGACGATATGATTTGATAATGTCATGAAAATGAGCTAGCAACAGAAACAGCAATAGATGAAATCAGGAAGCAAGACAAGGTCAGCAAAGGAACAATAATTGACGTCACTTTATAGAACAATCAGTTTATCATCTAAAAAAGAATTGCCTTGACTTTCTAATCCATGTAAAATTTCTGTCAAGCCAAGGTTGCATTGTCCATGGGCTTCATCGGTTTACTAGCAAAACAACTCCTCAGCTCTTCCTCTCTTTGACATTTTACATGTTTCAAGAGTAGAAAACAAATAACAAATGGCAAAGCAATACCACAATACACATTCTTAAACCTATAGACAATGACGTTTTTACACCATCATAAATAAAACATTTACGGCATAGGCGTAAACTTAGGGGGGGGGGGGCTCTAGGGCTTCAGCCTCTCCTGAGGAAAACCAAGGGGGGGCTGAGCCCCCCTGGAAAATAAGGAAGTGCTTCACCAATTTTTAGATTAGTTTGTTATATTATTGGTTCCACGCATAAACATTCTCGGTGCCTAAATAGAACTGATGATCTCAATCTAAAGAAACTGATTATGATTTTAAAATACCCTTTTATAATCTCATGTGTGTTTCTTCTTCTTCGATAATGAAAAATGCACGAAAAAATCGCCTTTAAGCCCTTAGCAATTCATTTTCTATCCTGTGACACCAGCAGCTGCCATTAGGAATTGTCATTAATTTTTTGAGCCCCCCCCTGAAAAAAATGCAAGTCTACGCCTATGATTTACGGCTATCTTCATTTGTTGTGACCATTTAAGTGGTTAAAGAGAGCTCATTTCGCTTGTTTGAAAACAAAAAAAATAGTAAAATACCAATTGGAAAGGCATTTCTTTTGACAGCTAAGTTGTACTCGATACTACTTTCCAAAACTCCAACCTAAAATAAGTTGAATAAAAATGTCAGACGTGTGTTGTTTATTCGAGCCATTTTATATATTCAAATATTTTGAGGGGCCAGTCGAATTGTTTAGAATCAAGTGCCAAACTAGGGAGATATTATGTGCTAAAAAACAAATTTTGTCAAAAAAAAAGGCCTAACTCTAATCCAGTCAATATGAAAATTTAGTCTAGTACAAAGTATATGGTACACAATATCTTATCTTTATTATTATTATTTTTATTATTATTATTATTATTATTATTATGTTTATTATTATTATTATTTTTTTCAGAGCTACTCCCCTTTCAACGTTGTTTTCTTTTTTCTCATTACTACGATTGTAATAGTTTTTATTTTGTAAACACAGGCTAGCCAGTTACAAATTACCCTGTAATAGTGAGGTTTGTAATTGTAGTTTTAAATGAAAAGTTTCCATTATTATTATTATTATTATTACCATTGTTATTGTTATTATTATTATTATTATTATTATTATTATTATCATTCTAGAATATTTATACAGGATAATACTTCAGTAGTGATGTGCATATATACATATTTACACTGCTTTCCTAGTAGTTCTGGTAAAATAAACAAACATAAACAAATATAAGATCAAAAAATTAGTTTACGATCAGCATTTATAAAATATGATTTGAAAGCGGATAACAAATCCGGACAAGGGGGATGAAGAAGAGTTATATAAAAAAGAGTTAAATCATACATTTTTATACATCTCTATATAACAGTATATTTCGATAAATATTTAGGGGAATGTATTATCTTACCTATGTTAACTGGGTTCAGAAGGGTCAATACGGAGAGTTCTATTTACTTTCATCATCATAGTCAAAATGATAATTTGCAGCTATATAAGTTTAAGGAAATTTTATTCGTAGGGATAATGGAACTGAGGTTGCATGCTGGGAAAGCTAATTTTGCTGTCATTACACAAACTCAGAAATTAAGGTATTACAAAATTAAAACTAAAACTTCTGTCTTACTTTCTTTCTCAGTAGACTTTGTAGACTTGGGTTGCTCATCGTTATATTTTCAAATATACTTTGATCAATAATATTAAAACTTTAAATTTTAATGTAGCAGCCCACAAAGAGAAAATCAAAGGCAACGAGCTGCTAGATGTAATTTGCCAGTACTTACTGAAGTTCCACTCAAAGAAATATCACTTGCTAAGACAGCAGCTAATAAAATTGTTGTTACTGTTGCTGTGAACATCGATGTGATTACAATGCCCATCAAAATCCACAATGTTGCTATGACTCGACCAAACGAAGACCTGGGATAGAAATCTCCATAACTGGGAACAAAAAAATGAAAAGAAATGATAAACAAAAAGAAGAAAATTTTAATATAAGAAAGTCTTTAAGCTAGATCAGATATATAAGAAACTTTTCACATCTTTATGTGCTTCAGAAGAATGAGATGCCGTTTTCATTTCTGTGATAATCAGCAAGTCCGTTTTGTAATGATTTTGCTCCCAAAAAAACAAAATATTATAAACAAAATTTGAGTACACAATTCATTCAAATAGTTTCAGTACTGAGGATATTCACATTTTTTTACCTAAAATTATTTTACCTAAAATGTTATTTACCATAATAGCGACAGGACTACCTAGTAAAAGATATAATATCCTTATGTGATTGATAGTGTAAAATTATAAGCTTTTTATTTCAGAACATAGCATTTTTGGTTGGGTGAAAATAAACATGCGTTAATTTAATTCTAACAGCATTTATAGTTCTACCCACATAAAATAGGCTTGTATGTTTTCTCCTTTTAAATATAAGATTCAACAGGTGAAATCAAATACAATTTAAATGATTTTGCGTTACTATAGGTTGTATACATATTAATGAAAGGCTTTTGATCATATATGCCATTAAAGGGGCTAGGAATTCCATAGTCAGTTCCTTAAGACATTGCCATGAACAGAAATGATGTAATTCTCCACAAGTGATCTTTTCTGTATTTATAGTTCCAGCTTTTGTCGAGCAATTGAACAGGCTGGCTAAAAGATAATCTTTAACATTTTCTAGAGCTGTTCAGAGATACCCACAAATCAATAAAGGTATTCTGCTGTATTTTTCTTCAACTTTTTATTTGTAGCAAAACTGGTAAAGTTTCCATCTCGTGTCGCTTGGTTCCTTAAAAAAACAACAATTCGTTGTTGCCTTTGCTTTTAGCACTACAGTCACTTAACTTTTCCTAATACAAAAAGTTAGGCCGTCCTTTTAACTTTGCATTTTTCTAAGATCCTCTCCCTGCTTTCCTATGAAATGCATTGCACATACCCAACGGTTGTCATAGAAACCATTGCCCAATAGAATCCCCTGAATGGACCTTCGAAGAAAGAGGCTTCCCTTGACTGCATCTTTTTAGGATTCCACCACTGTTGCACAAGATCCTGGCAAACAGAAAGAACGGTTTTATAATTCATTCGCGAAGTAGTTGACATCTAAATTATCAAATTGTGGTCCTACAGTGCTGTAAAAGAATGAAAATACATTTGGGGTTTTTACAGCAAAAACTTGAGAAATAAGACTAAAAATCTGAATTCAAAAGATGATGATCTGGCAGAATACTTATGTTGTCAATAAATTTTAAAAAGTCTTCTAAAATTCTAAAAAATGAAAAACTGCCCACCATATAAAAAAATCAAACTCAGACCTATGACAGATATTGACTTCGTGAATTCTCTAATACAATAATCGTTCCGCGTAAAGTCTCTTCGAGCCAAGATATAAATGAAGAAAATTTCTGATTCAAGAAGATGTTGCTCAAATGAAATATTTCAAATGATAACACAAAAAGCTAGGGATTTTTAAATGGAAGCAAAAGCACCTTAAGGAAGGATTTTTTAGGAAAAAGTGATCCTAAAAAAAGTCTCATTTCATGGGAGGGCCAGCTCTCTTTCATTGAAATTTTCTTAACTTTTACTACTAAACTTTTCGAGAATCTTGCATCTTTACAGCAATAACAATTTTGTTTACTAGTTTTTCTTTCTAAGGCCTTCATTGTGAAATTAAACGAATTTACTTTTAGGATGGCATCTTACCATTCATATCAATTTCGGCCATAAACGCATTATAAAGTTTCCTAAAAATAGGTAACAAATTGCTTTGCCCAGCTATTGTGTAATATTGAGCCAGAAAGTGTAATATTATCAACGATAGTATTCGCGATCATCAATATGATTCACTCACCGATATCCAAAATATCATTCCAGCAATTAGTGCAGACATTATTACGATAACCAAAGCAGGCCAGCCGTTCGATATAGCATCTGCTATTGCATTTTTTGCATTTGGGGTCACAGTTGTATAAAAAGCAATGCCAGGTGTTTCAACTAAAATATCAAAGAGGAGTTCTCAACAAACGCGACTTCGGCTAGAAGGGAAAGCTAATGTTTGATTGTGAAAGAAATTTGTCTGTGCGTGTATTTAAAACAGGGTCAGACACTTGAAGTTAGGGGGCAAGCCTATGGTTTTGATAAGATGACGCCACATTCTCCCATTGGTTTAGAACAAAAGACCATTGCTTTAGAACAAGCGACCGCCTCCTCGCCCCTCGCCCCTCGCCCCTCGCCCCCGCCCCTCGCCCCTCGCCCCCTCCGCCCGCCCTCACCCCCTCACCCCCTCGCCCCCTCGCCCTCTCGCCCCCAGGTGTCCGCCACTGATGTAGAACAGCCTATTAAAGATGATTGCAGGTGATTATGCGGATCATATCAAGACGAAGAATGAGACATTTTGTCTGAGGTTTAAGAATGTAAAGTGGCACTGGGAACGAGATATGCTATTTTAAAACAAGGATTTAGACCTGGAAAACAAGGCAGGGCATAAACTGCTTTGCGTTGGTTACGATAACGATGTTTTTACGTTTTTTGAATCACGGAGAGCTTGCCGTCTTTGTCTTGCGACAATGAAACGTGAATCGAAACTGTCTTGTAGCAGATATTGGGCATGCCAAACAATTTTCACTATAATAGATCGCTATTTAACATCAACAATTTTCAGTTAAGAAAAGTTTGTAGCACCAGGTTAATGAGAAAAAATGATAGATTTTAAGATCTTGATTAACTGAAAAAGAGACGTCGAAACTCGAATAACAACTCTGATATAAACAGAATAAACTAATAAGACCCAATTTGAATCCGATCTCAAGTAAGAACCTAGAACAATTTGCATATAAATCACATTTTTATCATGAAGGTTCAAATCCCAGATTGTTCTAAAGATATACCTAATACTTTGTTATACCAAAATACATGCTTAACATGATTGTCGCAAATCATGCAATTAAGTAACAGTAATACATGTAAATCACTTGGATATCGATTATAATCAACACAAGTCTTTGTTGGAATGAAAATCGGAATGAGCGTCAATGCTGTTAATCAAAGGCTTTTTTTAAAGCCAGAGAATGGATTATTGAAAGCTGCTTTTTCAATGTAAGGCAAACAAATGTTTAAAACGACTGTTACAATATTCTGTATAATGCTTGTTGTTCGGATAGATCTTTTTCTGATAGGAAAGGGATTTTAAATTTATAAAGAAAACTATAACGATAGGTAATCGTAATATACTAACAGCATGCTTTATTATTCTATTTGAAATGCATTTCCATGTGCTGCTTCTTATTCTTTTGCCAATTTGTGTAGGAATGTTTAGCTGAAAATTGCAAATGCACACTCACCGACTGGTATGAAAGGCCTTCCAATGAAGAACTTCTTGTTCAAGGCGTACGGAACAGGGAAGATGACGTCAGCTGTATCGTTCAGGATTTTCTCTTCAAGACCAACAAAACCCGTTGTAACCTCCGTAAACGTTATATTAGTTTGGTCAGGGCACCAGAAATTTAGAGCATCTGTTAAAATCTTGACGAACACTCCACTTACTGCGGAACCCTTTTCTTTGTATACATATGGTGGCATTTTAGCAAATGCAAGGTTCAGGCTGTCAGGGCACCGGGCTCTCATCGTTAACAGCTCTGCCTAAATAAATATGGCATTTATTATGATAGATCAATATATGATATAAAACTTCGGCAGTGCTTGTATATAACTTTGGCAGTGCCGAAAAACACATTCAAAACTGAAAATATTTTTACAGACTATATTAGATAAATACTAGGTCTGAAGAAAAAGCAATAAATGATGAGTAAAACCTTTGTGAAGAAACGCCTCACTTTTGAATAACGTATTGAGTTGCAACTGGCTACAAAAAAACAAGCTTTTGATTTGACCAAAGCGTTTGTAAATCGTGAAGAAGTTGTGTCTGCGTGTGATAAGATCCACATACATTACAAACCAGTATTTGTATCAAAAATAGGAAACATAAAACAGAAAACTGACAACGGAAAACAGAAATAAAGAAAATCGAGGAGTAGGCTGCAATGCAACAGAAATTATCACATTAGCAAGTCAAAGGGCCTATCAAAAAACACCATTTGAGCAAATAAAGGCTTTTGTTGTATAAGATTACTCCTCTAACGGAATACGAAAATTTTCAGTAAAAGTTAGATCATGTGAGCTGACAGGATCCAGGGCTAGATATATCCTGCTAACCGTCGCCCTTCAGCTCTAAAACAATCCAATGTCTTGTAGAGATTGTTGACAGGTTGTCAGATGCATTGGTATCTTTTATACTAGAGATGCTGTGCGAAACCTTATTGAATGCTCAGCTGTTGAATACATTCGATTTATAAATTGAATGATTAATTCATATTTGCATTTAAACAGCCCAATTGTGAATGATTTAGTCAAAGTAATTGAGATCCATCAAGCAACTAAAACAAAATCAATATAGGGTCCACAAATTTCTAGCTCATAAAGGTACAAAGAATAACAAAGTTATGATATAGGAACAGAACGTGGTACCTGAGTACACTAAACATATAAATATTCTTTCACAATATGTAGAACATTGTCATTGAGGACAGACAAAAAGACAAACAAAGCAGTGGTGCTGTCAGTTTATGTGGAGGCAATAAAAAGAAACAAAAGCAATTTGATTGCTATTATGGGCTCCACAAGCACCATTTTTCACATTCTACATTATACAATTTTAATTGCCCTCTCTTTCATCGTCGTCTTAGAGGCTTGTTTCTATTTTTATTGCAAACACTTCACATGACCAGAAAAGAAGTGGCCTTTTTCGACACGTTGCAGCTTTGCAAACAAAAGCATAGATATAATTTTCTCAGGAAGAAAGCTTCTAGATTAGAAATATAAACAAATTTTCTGGATACCTGACTCTGCACCTTAAAACCTTTGCTTCTGAATGGTAATGGCAACCGATTGATTGGGGATAGTCTCTATTTGCATTGCAAAGAAGTCAAATCGACAGGTATCAACCAACCGCAATGATAATTCAAACAGAAAACTCAAAATGGCTTATTAACACCGTGTATGATAAGAAAGCACCGCGAATCTATTACTGCTCGCTGTTTTGTGTATTTCAGAAAGAATATATATTGACGAGTTTCCCATGGCACGTATACCGTAAAAGACAAATAAGATATTTTCTGTTTGAGGCTGAGCGAAATCACCAACTTATGAGATTAAAGAAGTTGCAGGCAATAGTCTTTGTATTTTCTTCATTTAATCTTCTAATCAAAATTGCCTTTTAATCAATCTATCAAAAAAATTATACCAAATCCGCTATTGGATAAAATGTTAATGAAATGAAATGTCCTCTTTTAAGATATTGCTTTTCAGGGAAGACAGAGTAGTGAAATACCATGGGTACTCATATCCATTTGGTTAAGTAGTCATTTTCAATCCTGACTATAGTTTTACTTTAGCTCGCGTCAAAATTGTAGCATGGATAATATTGTCTCAGACCGGTTTTAGCTCAGAATATCAACAAAAGCTCAATTTTGGGTGGTTACTGTCTAGAGAGGACGAAACTTTTGATTCTTCTAATTTCAAATATTATGCCTTTTTGCGCTCAGTGTTCTTATCTGGCGCACATTTCTAGGGAAATCAAGGGAACTTTGAATTCTGAAAACCAAACGCGGAGAATCTCACTATAGCTCAAGTTACAATCGTTATAATCTGGATCTGCCCTTGTAAATGCATAAGAAAAGATAAGAAGAAATGAATAAGAGAAATACTTGAGCATTAGCAGGTTGTTTGGTTGTTTGCATAAAATAATAGTATAAAGGAGAAACTCGTTATGAGTTTTGGTAAACATTTGACGATTGACTGTCCCCTAAAGTGCAGAAAAATGAAGTTTACTTTTGGTATCATTAGAAAACTAAGCTATAACCAAAAATATCTAGAGAAAATGGAGAAAAAACTATAAGAAACCTTAAACAAGCTGCAAGTAGTTTAGAACGTAATTGTAAAACAAAATTGTCTCTATGAATAATAGACTAATGTGGTTATGTAACGTATGAATATTAAATATGTGACAGCAAATGTGACGTAACACACCACAACAAACGACTATGTCAAAACTTGGTCCTTGCAAGGATTGCAAGACAGAGATATATACATCTGGGAGAGATATTGTTACTGGCAAAGTGAGAAATATAGCTGGGAGAGATATTCATGTTGTTAGAGATATTCATGTTGGGAGAGATATTCTTGCCTTTTATGAAGAATATAAGGCTAAAACTGAAACATAATCAGCAGAGTACAAAATGATATTAACAAATGGCAGCAAGTTGTATGATGAAAATGATAACGTAAGCTGTTTTGGTCGAAAAAAATCTAAAAGGCATGGCAAGCTTGATGATTTATTTCTAAATATGGTCAGTATTCAAAGAAATGAAAATATTTTTGGTAGCTGTACGATTTGATTGCTAGTAGAAATAAATAATAGTACAAATAATGATAATTGGAAACAAATCATGCTGTCACCATGGACATATCCAAAGTACAAACCTGGAAGCAACAACTAGCAACCTTCACAAGTCGGCGAAACAGTTGAATGATTCCTTATGTTCTTTTATAGAATTGGAAGACGAGCCCAGTTGTTAAGCTGATTCATCTGAAAGCGGATGCTGTCTTGCATAAATAAACTTTTTATTAGAGAGCGTTTACATTGACAGGATCGATATGAGACTTTTAAGATTTGAATTCATCAATCCATAAATGTTACATGTTCCAACATGTAACCAGCATGACGCTGCTGTTACATAATGATAGAGTTGCAAAAGGATCAGACGGTGTAGATAAAAAGTATGTAAAAGTACCTGTCTCTACAGAAATTAGAATTGAAATCTTGAATGTTTTATATGGATATATACTTCAGATACCTGTTAACTGATATTTATGAACTCATTCGAAAGAATCACTATTGAACTGTTACTAAAAGGAAAATCAGTAGATATCAGATAACAACTGGATTTTTTTAAAATCAGCGAGAAATGAACTGATTTCTTCATGTAAGCAGTTAATAAGAACAAAATAACACAGATATCTAAAAGTATCTTAATAAAAAAGAAATATTAAGTTTGCATAATATGATGTAATGAAGGAAAGAAAGACGAACAGAAACACCGTAGTAAAAGATATAGCATCCGCAGACACAGAAGACATTGCTATAAAATAGATTTATCGAAAAAGATGTTTCAAAAAACTTCAGAGCAAAGTATTAGAAAGCTGGGACCACCATTGCTTACAAATAACTTTTACTAACTTGACTAAAAAAACTGAAAGAGTTCGATCTGCTTTGCTCGCGTAGTTATTTAGCTTAATGCTAACCCTAAAAGCTATAGAACGAACGTTTAACGATTCATTCCATATTCTATCAAACAAATCTTAAAACCAAATTACAATTCATAGTTATCAATGCGTAATTAAAAATGTCTAGGTCAGTTTCGATAGGTCGCACCATCCTTTTCAGCTGAAGGACTTAAATGAGCTCTGTTAGCCATATTTAAGCAATTTATGGTTAGCAGGTTCCATTTGAGGTTTCTAGTGTGAAATATACATTATGTATAGAGAAGTAAGAAAGTGTACAACGGCTCAACTGTTATCCCATTTTTACTGGAACGAAAGCAAAACATTCACAGAAAATTTTATTCTTTGAAATTCTCTTTGTTACTATCCAACAACTTAGCAGTTTTTGACTATTTTCATAAATCTATTTATGATCTGTATTATTCTTACAGATGATAAGAGTAGAGACAAGAGGAAAACTCGAAAAATATTGATTTTGTCATTGCATATTCCAAACAGAGCCCTAGACAAGAGACTTGTATATCGATATACTAGTTGCACGAAGCACTGATTAGTCTCAAAGCAATTCAAAGTTTCAATTTAGGAAACTCTTTGAAATCAAACGAGGCCAAACAGCAAACTAAATTAGCCATTCCTGTTTATTCAAACAAAGCATTTGCAGCTAAAAGTCTTTAAAATTAACCTTTACATTTTGGCAAAAACTTTTGAGACACTCACTTTAAAGAACACTGACTAATTGCCCTGGGTTTCTTTTGACAAACTGGTAGGAAAGCAAATTATTACGGTCTGTGCTTTCATTGCCTGCATGAATCCTCCCTTTCTGTGTGTTAGAAATCAGGAAGAGGGGTGACAAAATTGACTTGTACCACAAGAATAGTGGATATATGGCTTTAATTTTACTAGAATTTTAGGTCAAAAATACATCCAAAATGAAAAAAATGTGTCCTTAACAATTCAAAAGCAACAACAAAAGAGTTTCTCTGCCCCGTCCAATCAAACTCAACATTAATTTTGACAAAAGCAAAATCAAAAAAGAGTTAAACCACTAGAGTAGTAGCTAATTTATAGATCTTCATGAGAATTATTGTGAATTTTAAAGAAGTAGAGTCAATCAGGACGCATCTATAAGACAGTTATCAGTTATAGAATCTTTTTTAAATTTGTCTTTTTTCTTCTGTCCTGTTTATACAGTTAAGAATAATTAAAAGTGTGGCTTTCTGTAAAGTAATATTAAACTTTCAGTACTCACCTTATTTTATGATAACAACCAACGTTGTTGATAATGATCTATTTTCACAGAATGATGTCTCCAACGGTTTAGCCCTCCTGGTAGCGGTATACAGTTTCTATAATGTTCAGAGTCAAATGATTTGCTTTCGCGGATCCACCTGTTAAAGAAATAGCTGCAGACATTCAATCTCGTATTAAAAAGAGATTTCAGCATCAAAACAATACAGGTAATTGAGAAGAACGCTTTGCAAAAGATTATGAAAATTTGCACAACTATTTATTCAGACAGGGTCTTTGAGAAGGTGTCAAATATCTGTTCTACAGTAACCTGCTATCTTTGCACTTCCACGTAAATTTTACCGGTAGCAACAACAGCTTGTCAAAGACATCATGCAATACACATGTTAGAGACACCAAGCAGTGACTTTAACAGCAAAACTGTTCAATGTACAATGATTTGTTCAATACACAATGATATGTGTTACTAGCTGCCAACAGAGGAGACATTAAATTTCGAAAGGCACTAAAGTTAGTGATGAAATGAAAAGATCAGAAAAAAAGCTTCTTCAAAACGGTTTACTATGGAATGGTGTTGTATGGTATGGTATGGTATGGTATGGTATGGTATGGTATGGTATGGTATGGTATGGTATGGTATGGTATGGTATGGTATGGTATGGTATGGTATGGTATGGTATGGTATGGTATGGTATGGTATGCCATGGCAGTCTTCTTTATTTTGCTATTGCTTTGCCCTTTTCCTGGCGCTTTTTGTCCTACCTACACTACAGCTCATCCGACATCATTGTTGTATGGTGTGGTGAGGTTCTGATACCTGGAGATTTCCGAGTTTTCGATACCACACCAATCTTTTTGAATAAGGTTTTTTCAAACTGCAGTTGAAGCAAGATTAGTGGAACTCTCAAGGAAAAAATGTATTTGTTCGACTTATTGAGGTTTAAAATTGCGCGGGAATGTTTGCTTCCTAATTCTACTCAACTGATCACAGACCTCAAAAAAGCAAATTTTAGCATTCTATCATTGTCACCTAGAAATACTGCTTGCTTCTTCACTTCAACCGTGCAAGTTCCATGCTATTTACTATTTTAGTAGTATATTGGTTTTGCAACAGTTTTGGAAAACAACTGGATTAATTTTTTAAATGATTTTGCATGAAATTGTGCATCAAAACTTCTTATGTTACAAAAACTAATCGCATTTCTTTGAACTTGCCAATACTGATTGACTTTTGGAACTGCTTGTCAGCTGATGTTGGTATCTGATTTCGCCTTTTCCATGTGAAATTCTATACAACTGAGAAGTAAGAGACTTCGATATAGCGGGAGTTTGAATTAAGTAATAGTCAAATTATTGAGGTTGACAGCACACAAGGAATTACCCTGGGTGCCAGAGTCTTCATTATTCAGTCGCAAAAATATAGTTAAAAACTAATCACAGAAAAATTTTCTTTAGCGAGGATTTAAAATAGAGAATTTCCTTTACTTCCTTTCTCTCCCCTGCATCCACTCATTCTTTTCCACTGCAGCTGTCTACAGCACTTATCCCTTGATTCATGAGGCTCTGGTACCCAGAGTAACAAGCATTGTCCTTTGAATTTGCAGTTTGTGAAATAAAGAGTAAAGATGAATTTGAAAAATGAAGGTGAAATATTTCGATCCATCCAAGGAACTTTAGTTTCATGTCGTCCGAAAAAGGGCCGTATTTGAGAACATACCGTAGAAGCTCTATTAAGCCCCCGGGGGGCTTATTTATTTTTTCAATCCTAGAGGGGGGTTTAATAGAGAGGGGGCCTATAAGAGAGGAAGGGCTTATTAAAAATTTGAAATGAAAATGTTTTAAAAATGCCCTTGTCTACTTTTTCGTTATAAAAATGTCATATAACTTTTGTCATATAACTGTGTCCTCAATTAGCTTATAAGCTAAATATTTTTTTGACACATTAATAAAATTTTTGATTGATTGATTGAGAAAACTTCACTAGCAGCTTCGAAAGTCTAATTAATCACTGATAAGGTCCTCATCTTCATCAGAATCGCCAGGGTCAATTGATAACCCTGGGCCTCTTTTAAAAAAATTTCAACTGACTTTGTTGGCGGACAAATGAGTCTTTACATGGGCCGTATTTAACGCACACGATCTTATTATCATCGCAACCGACAAGAGACCAAATAAATGCGCATGTTTTCATCGTTTAACAACAAGGGCTTAATAGAGAGTGGGGGCTTATTCTAAATTTTTGCTTGATAAGGAGGGGCTTAATAGAGAGGGGGCTTAATAGAAAGAGGGGGCTTAATAGAGAGAGGGGGCTTAATAGAGCTTTTACAGTAAACAAGTTTATGTACAGGAACCAGCACTAGTTGTCACCTGCACACTTCTTGGAAATTTCAAATTCTCCGTTGAATACGTCGAAGGAATTTGAGCGAATGAAGAAACAAGCTCGACAAAACGCATAAACCTACCCATTAGCCTCAGAGGCAAGGGGGCTGAGAGGATTAGACCCCGCTAATATTTCCTGGATGTACTTAAAACCATCTTCTTGCTCTTAGCAAATGAATCATCTTGCTCTTGACTTCAAGTATACCCCGCGATCTTTGCATTTACTTTATCAGCACTGATCAAGAATTGTATGACCCCGTCATATAACCTGTTGATGAAAATTTCCATTCCCAGTAGCTTTACTCTTTGTTTCCAAATAAGTTTTTTGGTCCAGTATTGAAACTTTATTGACCTCACTGCCAAAACTTTCTTGAGACGTTCTTGGCAAAAATTTTGAATTCACGTGTTTGCGAATGGGGCAGTAATGACAGTGTAAAGGGCTGCACGGACGCTTCATTTACATTAAAAAATAATCTTGAGATTGAGATAATAACATAAGATAAACTGTTGAAGAAGCGCAGACATATTAACGTAAAGAAAAAAAAGAGCGAACATGATGAAATGATGGTGGGCTTGCGTCAAATTTATCATTGGGACTTAAATATCTGAACTTCTGGACTTTCTTAGATCTCAAAAATCAAGCATTGAACTTACTTACATCTGAAGGAGTCGAGAACTGCCTTCTTATAAACAACTTTTTTATAAAAAACGGGAAGCAGCCAAGAAAAGATTTAATAGTAGGACCAGCTGTTGTAGAATGACATAATTGTCAAAATGAAACATGGAAAGGCCTTGATATTGTTTCTTTATTGGCTCAAATTAACAGTGCTTCCTTAATTATCATAGGCGTGAAAAGTTTTTAATTTAATAAAAACAATCTGCATTCAGCTATTCTATGTTGTGATTTTAGCTTTCCTTACAACACTGCAGATATTCATGAAATCAAATTGACTTTCACACACTAAAGAAAAGATTTGAAATGTCATAAATTATAATTTTCTGCAAAACTCTTGAATCACATTTGTTTTCAGTAAAAACAATTCACGCTTAACGTGTTTTGACAACATAGCATTAAGCCTATAAAAGTTCAATTGCCTCATTCTGAGAGCAAGTTAGATTATTGGTGTCAACTGAATCATTGTGACGACATATGCAACACATTTCTTAAAGAGCTTGTCCGCGAAGCACTTGCAATGATCAAAATGGCAAAATAATATTCTTGGCAAAAAAGCTTTCAGTTATACATTTAAATAAATACACCTAGTTCAGATCTGATCTGTGTTTCTCTTTATTTTAAACTGTTTATTGAAATACATCTTCTTTGGAGATACGTGAAAACAAGCGTTGCCTCTTCTAGCCTGTCTTAAGATATTTTGCATGGCATGAACATATCTTTTCTAGTTTGAAAATATTTAGTTTGAAAATAATCAACAGTGGTCTTAGTTCTTAAACACTTCAATATGGATCTTATACACATACTATTTGAAACCCAAATTCTCTAAAATCATCGAGGCTTTCAACTAGATGGCGAGAAGTGTCCATAAAAGAAATGTCTCTGTTTTATGTTAGTTAATCTTTATAGGCTTAGGGGTTGTCGAGTACTTCACTTTTAATCTTAACTACTTTAATGACCTCTTAAGGCGTTGACTACCACAAAAATCGATCCGAATAATTTAGGGAACAGATTTTAACACACGCGGTGCATTTGTAACAATGCATTTATTCAGGTGAAACAACCAGCAACTCCAACAATTGTTTTTATATATACAAAGGCTGGTCTTGAACAAAATTGAAGGAGTCTTAAAAGATTTTAAAATTATAATTGAAACCCTCAGCTCTTAATAGCATCGATTTTGCGAAAAGTACTTTAAGAGTTTTACTTTTTATGACGTCTAGGCTTAGATAGTGGGATTTGACTCAATCTTTTGAAGATCCCTCAGATCTTTTCTGATAAAAAACAACGCTTGTGTGCTGACATGCTTCAGCCTAAAAAATATTGCCAACTGGTAAAAAATTCGCATAACGAAAAATGATCTTGGCAAAAGCTGCAAGTGGAGTGCAAGCTAGAATGAGCAAGATATCCCATAGAATTCTGTCAAGGACCTTTATGACCGTCAGAAAATCAATAACTAAGAGAGTGTAAGCAGGAAGCATATTGCAGTTTAGTAGGCAACTACTGCAGCAAAATCAACAAGATCTGATTGACAGCGCAAAGTTAACTCTATTTACATTTGAAGTGTTGCTTCTCGATTGCTCCAGTATGTTTGCGGTAGAACTTACCATCGCCGGTTTGCACTAAAGTACCCTCTCGTGTTTAGAAAGCAATAAAATGACCAACTGATCAAGCACTGCATAGTTCGCTTTACATTAAGAGAATCAATGGCAGACGGTTTTATAAAACTCGGTTAGCCAACTTAAGTTCTTGGCATTGGCAGAAGCTGCTTATTTAACACTGCAATTTGGAAAGAGGCATCACTTAAATGTTACACTTCTGTGAAGTAAATTCTTTTGCTGTTTTATTACAGACTTTGAAGTTTGCAAGGAAAATAAGAAATTTTGTACAAAGTATTAATAAAATGAAAAAATTTAGCTAGAAATTTGCGGCTCCTATTCAAGGATGAAATAAGCAATAAAAGATAAACGAATTTATAGCTATTCATACCCTGCTGTAAATACAGTACTATACTCGACCTTGTACTTGGATGCAAGGCTTCGTTATATTCAGGATTACGTAAGACGATAAATTTCACCAACAAAACATGCAACTCTTAAGACCAATATTATCGTCTGCTTTCAGAACTCTATACTTGTATACCAGAACTCCTTATAAGAGAAGAGATAATTATTCTTTATTCGTTGGTGAGAAAAAGCAGCTGTGTAATGAAATTGTTTACCGAAGAATTGGAAGCACAACTTTCCGGTAAATTAATTTATCTTGAAAATTTTCTAAATTTCATAAACACCCCGTTACAGGTGAACCGAATCCTGAAAGTAGCATCAACATTCTAAGAAAGTGTTGAAATCTTTTAAATACTTACAATTTCGCACATTCCCGATGGCATAACTATCTCATTTTCGTCAGTCAAAAGACAAATCTTGTTTGCATTTTGAGGCTTCCCTTCTTTTGCTGTATGTTTGCAAGTTGAAATGAAGAGTCTGCGCAATAACAGCATTTATATGGTCAAAAAGGTAGCGAAATTTGGCAAACAGCAGAGCCTACAAGTTAAATACATCACGAGGTTAAAGCAACATGGCTCTCTAAAATAGAATAGAGCGAGATAAGCATTCTCCAGTTGGAGGCGCACTGACCCTTTGTCGGCGACGTGTTATCTGCTGACTAGCGAACGCTGATTCACATATATCCCCCTATCAAGCGACTTTAGAAGATTTCTGCCTTATTAAAAATGGATGTTTCGACAAAGCTGTTCGTGGAACGTCCTCTCAGCTCAGATCGGCGAGAGAATCTAAAAAGGACGGTTCGACATGATTTGATTAAAACAAAATCAAATTTCATTCATTCCGTAGTGACTCATATTATCGATCGTCTTTAATGATCTACGCCAAAAAGTTTTCAGTCTCCTTTATTCATAAAAAGCGTACAAACTGTAGTTTTGTTTCATCGTCTTTCTGGATTTTGGGATTATGACATGACACATCTTAAGGCCTGGTTACACGAAAGAATATTCAACAGGAATAATGATATCATTCTTGCTTGTATTCCGATGAAGAATTTTTCAAAGAATAATCTCATCATCTTATTTTTCCATTGGTAGAATATTCTTGTCAAGAAATAATAAACTCTCTCTAACCTATATATATAGTGGACGCACCGTCGTTTCAAGTATGGGTGGTTGGTTAGGTCTACCTCAGGACAATATTCATAAGCTTTGAAAGCCTTCCCAAGAAATAGATAAGTTGGTCTCGAAAATCGCACTTTAATTTGTTTTCTATTGGCCTTCCTCGCGTTTATAGACCATACGATCGCCATGTTTACTGGGCTATATGAAAAGGAACGTACAACAACGTCTGGAACGTAATAAAAGCTACCCTAGCGAATCGGGGATACATTTTTTGGCAATTCTTTCCTGCAAGAATATTTTAACAACATCTTGAGGACATTCGCGGGGTCCATATTCACTCCTGTTGCTCAAATTGCATACCAAAGCACTGAAAAGTTCACATCCGTACACATCCGCATTTCTATTGTCTGAATATTCTTCAAGTCAGGATTAAAATCAAACTAGTCGGAATACAAGAAAGAATATTCAAAGAATAAATTATTGTGCGTAAGATAGTATTATTCTTGTTGAATATTCTTTCGTGTAGCGGGGCCTTTATGCAAGCTTTGAAAACAAAACATTAAAAGTTGAAGTTTCTTTGCATAAATATACTGCCTTTGATTTTCAGTGTCTGCATTCATTAAAAACTATTCACATTTAGTATACTTTTATAAATACATGTAATCGTTAAAAAAATAATTGTTAGGTTGTAATATATTCAGCTGATAATGTTAAAAATAAGTAGACTTTACCACTGGGTTAAACTAAAGAAACAATTAATGGAAATTGTTGTTAATCATATCAATTTTCTACCATCAACATTCCCTATTCTGTTTCAGGGAAGTCCTCGTTTGTCAGTTTGGAACATACAGGCTTTTCTACATCACACCACATTTATATAAACTGGGTGGTTATGTAAAATGTGAAACTGTGTTAACTCTTTGGAATTGATTCTTCAGTACCACCACTGAACTTTTTTCAAATTAATTGAATTCTGCTTAGTTTTTAAGTTATGTAGCATAATAATCCTAATAGAAAACATTGGCTTGACATTTAAGTGAAATGTGCCACATTTATGCAGATTTTTAACATCAGAAGAGACCAGCTCTGTTTAAGTCCTTTCAAGTGTGATGAAACAATGCTTTGAAATTACATGAACAAAGTTTCTTCACTGGTTAGAAATTACTTGATCACTAAAAGTGACAGGGAACAAATCTAGGATTTTTGGAAAACTGGCAGTATTCTTAGCTACACCTACTATCAACATAATACAAACTTACAAATGACAAGAAATGCATGTGCACTTTCATACAGCTAACATAATATGTTGTCATTTAAATAGAAAATTCTATCAAAACACTCTGTTATTGGTTTTGTATGCTCTTCACATTTGATCATACAAAAGAAATGACACTAGATTCCTTGGCAATGGCAGCTTTTCAATTTTATTCATTGGTGTTCTGCACAGGATTGCCAATCTACATATGTGCTGCAAATTCAAAATTCTTTGCAACTGCCATATTCTGATCTGCCCATCACTGTATGCAGCTACAAGCTCTTGACAAGATTTTGCAAAAGCCACATCAAATACTGCCTGGGATAAAAGATCAGGAATCTCAGTAGAGGCATCAAGGCACTTACATAATCTCCCAGTGAATGGGTCAAGTATTAGTATTCTTCCTTCAATTGTTCCAACAGCTAACATTGACCCATCCGGTGAGAAACTAGTACAACTTGAAAGCAGATTTTCCTCCTCTAAATCATAAGTAAAAGAACATATTGCATCACTTTTACTTAAACTGAATAATTTCAAAGGACCATATCTCCATACCACTGCAACCATATTGTTTTGGGTAGGATCAAAGTCAAAGTCACAAGGAGAGTTTAAAACATTCATACTGTTATTCTGATCTATTGATATACAGCGCTGTCCTAATTCTGAATCAATAAAGATGCAATGCCCATGACTTGATGAAATTCCAATTACTTCTGAGTTTGGGGAAAACCTACAGTTTGTGACAGCATCTGCAAATGAGGGGCACACAATTTGACAACTAACTCCCCATATGCATTTTATCTTATCATTTTTGAGAATATCCCACATACAGATTTCATGAACAGCCCTATCCCTGTATGAAGATAAGGACACTTTGCTGACAGAAACCAGTTTTGTGCCACAATTAGAGAAAATGGTACAGAGAACCCTGCCACAAAATGTTGTACCCCATTGGCCTCGAGGAGTGTATGCAAATTCTGAAAACCATATTTCACCATCCTCCTCACCACTAGAATCACATTCTAAAGCTATTATTTCTTGATTGTTATAACCATCCATGTCAGCATGATTATTCTCAGCATCGTCATATCCCTCTCCTGCATTAGTCTGGTCTTCCTCATCTACTACATCACTATCAGTACATTCTCTTCTCATTAATGTTAAGGAATTCCTCCCAGAATTCAAAATTGCAGTTATAATTTGGCCATCCGGGCTAAACTTGCAACATGGTTGGGGCGAATACGTAAATACAGAATGCGAGCATGACTCGAAAACGTACCCGCCACCATCTTCTGCTCTCCGGTACCCTTTCTTTATCAACCACAATGTAACAAACCCCGCTGTTGGGAGAGCGTTAGAAATTGCATGTTGATGTAAAGCATCTTGTTGTATCACTTGGCGTTTGATAACCGATGTGCATGTGATTAAGCTATCGTTGTCAGGGCAGAAACTGCAGCCGTAGGCCGAAAGTGGCGACCCCTGATTAATTAATCGTAAGTCATCATTGCAATTACTTGCATTTAGTCTTGCAACTATGCTTGGAATATTAGATACTTCACTGCTCCTTGGAAACGGCTGCCAGCATCTAGCAGAAGTTTTTTGTGAGTTGACAGCGCAATTACCATTTTCTGTGACAGGACCATGACCAGTGCCTCCTATCCCCATGTTTTCGTCAACTGTAAGCCATTATGCATAAGCCTCTATTGCATGCGAACTCAAAACAAAAAACCTAGTTCGTTCCTCGTCGTTTCGTCACGCAAATTTGCGTAACGCTAGGATAGTTCTTCTCAAAAGACCTTTTTAGAAATAGCCCATTTTGCAAATATTTTTTTACATATAAAGCATGCAAAAGGTGGGAGCATCACACCCCTAGGAGCAAGGGTCTGCAAACATATCGCTGCTGCCGTCATGTAGAAATTATCCAACCCTGGTATTACATCCATCAAAAGTATTATTTTATTTCCTTCACCCCAGTGAAATCCTGCCCTTACAGCCCTGGGTGTGATTATACATAGTAAAGAGACTAAACCACTGATCAGTGGTCTAAACACGGAACTCTGTGGAATATGTCAGTCAATAATAGCCAGTAGAGTTTTGTCAATTTGCTCCCGTAGCTACGGAGGAGCCGCGCTCAAGCTAAAATAGAATAAAACATTGCGATTTATTCTGGTAAAATTACCATATTTGAATACAAAAGGTAGATTGAAGCATGCCGATTCCGATTCTGTGGTTTGTTTTAAGATATCAATCTATTTCTTGAATTATTAGCGATTTCCCTATATGACCACTTTTTCCCCCATTTCATCCCGTTCGCTGCCAACATGATTGCGGTTTTCAATCCGTTCAATTAATTTATTGTGTCATTAGCGGTTGGTATTGATTATTTAATATCGTGAATAAGTGTAAAAAATCAACTTTTATTAATCTCCCGTACCCACCCTTATACCACCCTTGCCCTAGCTAGAAATTCGGTCCAGCCACCCAAAACCGCTCCGCGTCCACCCATCGTCTCGTTTCCATGGGTGAAAACAAACTTTCGAAATGGCGGTTAGAGTCGCCGACGGGCAGCTAAGAAGAAGAAGAATAGGTACATAACATGTTGGTTTATAATTTCAAAGGTAACATGCAAATACATTAAACATATTATTGCGATCAATCCTACTTCTTCTGGTGTTCCTCCAGTTATTCAATATGAATTAACAAGACTGATCAAACCGCCGGTATTACTCTAATTTTTAGGCCGATTCTCATCATGATTGTAATTTGCTTGTAAAGACAACCTTCCTGTCGTCAGTTCTTCTCGATTCTTATTGTTAAATAGTAAATAGTACAACAAGTTACATAATTCTTTCGGTTCTTGAGTGTTTGATTCTTCACCTTCGGCGTAACGTCTTTTTAATAACTCGAATTTACATGTCAACAAGCATCAAGCTACATATACATAAAATATCAAATTATCAAACTTTTTATTGTCTTATTGGCCCAATCCAGATATGAAAGAATATTACAAGATAATAACACATGTAAAAAAGCAGTTAACTTCACCAAAAATTGGAGGAGAGATACCTACATAGATCCTTCTTTATCAAACCACTTTAGAAGGTCTAAAATTTGCAAAGACAAAGTCAAAACAACAATATTTTATTAGCAATAATTCAGGTTTTTCATTGTCTGTACTGATCACTTTGCTATAGGTTTAACTGGTCTTGTCATATGTGGGATATTCTGTGGTGAACATTTGGATTTTATGCTCTAAGTTTTAAATTCTTTAAAAATACTTTTATGATATAATCACTGAACTACTCATTGGAAAGCAATTTTTAGAAGACTGATAGTTTTTCAAATACATTTCCAAAGAAACCAGTTGGGATATTGTTCTCTCAATCATTAAGTTCATGCTGATTGTAGACATTAAATTCTTTCACTTATGGTCAGAGAATTATATTGACAACAACACATTTAGTCTCCATTGATGTGCATATTTAACTAATATATTTTTTGTGTTTTGGATTCTTTATAATCTACCAATTGTCTTCAGTGCTGCCTTTGCATTATTATGATGTTTACACATAAAATATTTTCTGTTTTCACTTTTAGATTGATCTCAGGAAACATGACAACTTCTAGCAGCCATTTTTTGACAACATTCAAGAATAGTTGTGTTGCCAGACCAAGGCACCCTGATACAAGATTACCTGTGACTTCAAATGAGGCAGTAAATGAAGATAATGGCTCTATAGGGACTAGTTATCAGAGCAAAGCAAATAAATTGGCACAGAGCCTTTTAGAAATTAAACTAGATGAAGAGTTAGAAAGAAACAGATTAGACTGTAATGCATTAAATAGTAAAGCTTTGGATGAAAGCTCAACAACTGATAAAGGAAAAAATAACTTAGTGAGTTATGACCAGGACCTCTCAAACTTATTGCAAGATGATGACAAATTTTATAAGCACCTAAAAGCTCTCCGCCATGAAAACAAAAGAACACTGAAAATGATGGAAAAATATTATTACACCAGACCGCGAGAGAAGACACCACAATCAGCAAAAGATTTGATCAGTAAAATGAAGCAAGAAGCTGATTCAGAAGAAAGTCATTTATTTGTCCATAAAGTATATGATTCAATAACAAATTCCAACCAGGAAGATAATGCTTTAAATCAAGAAGATCTGGAGGTTGCAGAAGATCAAGTGCATGATTTTACTGCATCAGGTAAATTTTTGTCAATATTTTCTTCAATTATGTGATGTTTCAGGAGATTATTTTTTAGTTTAAAAAACATGCAGCAAATTATTTTATGTCTTCTTTTCATGGGGAATATTGTTTTTATTTAATGGATGTTTGCTGATTCGATTCATGATTGGTGATATATTCTTCGAATCTTCTTGCCATGAATAGCTGCCTTCAATTCTATCTTTCAGAGCAAATGAATGATTTAAGTTCATCAGAATCAGAAGAAGACCCTCGAAAACAGTGGCCTAGGCATTATACTGAAAATATTCTTCCTGATGATTCTGAAGAGAACTTCAGGGGTAGAACATTCTCCTATGATGTCATTGATAATATGTGGGAAAATTTCTCAGTGGAAGATTATGCTCCTGTTGAAAGGAGCATCAAAGATAACACCCCTAAAAATGCAAAATGGACTCCATCAATAACCATCCCAAAGCCATTTCAAATGACTCTAAGAGAAGCATATAAAGCCAAGATCAAATCGAAAAGAAAAGAAAAATTGGAGCAAGAATTGTTGGAAAAAAGATTGGCAGAAGAAGCAGAATTGAATAAGAAGTTTAAAGCAAAGCCATTACCAGCAAGTACATTTATGAACCTTTATGCTGAAAAGAAAGTTATTGAAGAACAGAAGCGAGAGTACAAGAGGTCTCTAAACAAGGCAATTTTAGAAGCAACACAAAAGCCATTTAGTTTTGTTAAGCGAGAGGAGGAGAAAAACGAGCTACGACGAAGCCAGTCTCTAGAGCGTATGAATAGACAACTTTCTAATGAAGATTCAAAAAGTTTCAAAGCAGCCCCTTATCCTGAAAAGTTGTTCAACCTTTCTCTAGAAGACAGGATTGCTGAGCAGGAGGAGTATCGTAAAATTAAAATGAAGATGAGAGCTCAAGAGATGATGGCCAGCGCTTCATTGCCACCAAATATGCAGGCAAGAGGCCAGAGATATAAATTTAATAAACGTTATACAAAACTTCAAGAAAATGGAAGCAAGCCTCCGAAAGGTGCAGATTTTAAACCTAGAATAAACCATGATATTCCTGATTATGAGGAAATGCACCAAAAATTCGAAGCTGAGCTGGCGAGAAAAAGAAGAGAACAATCACTAACGATTTGCGAACCATTTAACTTTCAGACATCCAAAGTGCCCACACGGAGGTCACGTCAAATGGAAAGCTTGACCACTGAGACACAACGACGAAGAAGTCACTCATATGAACGATCCAGGGAGAGCAGCCTTGAACGTCCTCAGAGTAGCAGCGACAGCCTGCAGAAGAGTCGCACTAGCTTAACTCAAGAAGAGGCTCCACCATTTGCGTAAGTTGGTTGGCATAGTCGATATCACCTTTTCCAAGTTGTAGAACGTAATCAATCATATTCAATCAATCTTAATTGAAATCTAATAAAACCAGCTACACCAGGTTGTTTCGCTTTTTACACTATCCTCGATGATTGAGTAAGAATTCAAATCAAAGAATTTGAACCATCTCTAACAGTAACATGCCCCATCCGGGGAAAAGCATTCAAACATAAATTCATGAAAGCTCGTAAGTTTAAAAACCTCGAAATAGTACAATAAAAGTTATTGCATACTGATAAATAAATATATACTGTTGTAGCCAAAGACAATATCATTTGTAGCCTTTATATCACTACTCAGTGACGGGGTAAAGCTGTTTCTTGGCCCAACGTAATCAGGATTTCAAATCTCGGATTCCTTCTGCTTGAAGAACAATGCAAATCAGAGTCTCTTCTGCTTTAAGATTCGTGTAGGTATCAGTGTTTACCTATTGAAAGTGCTCCTCGTCGTATTGAGACATTATTTGTTGTAGATTTAATGTAATAGCTTGACTTGATGTCATTACCCTGTCGCATTTGCGCGTCATTTTAATTGGACATGACAGAACTGATTGTTTCAAAGTAGCACGATAATACATAATTTAATAGTCCGACAGTAAACTGATTTCCATCTTAGCAATTTGAACGATCTAGTTTCATAAACTTGTCTAACATTATATTCAATTACGCGATTTGTTTTTCGATATTTACACGTATTTTGTTGCAACGAAAATCAATCATTTGGCAAATGTATTAGTAAGTTTTCCAGGTATCTAGAACCTTTAGTTACGAGTTTTGTGATTGGCTCGTTGCTTATAGTGGAGATTCCTTGGGTGTTCGCGGTGGTCATATTTGTATACATTTTCATTGGTTATTTCAGAGAATAGATTCTTCAAGAACAATTAACTTTGCAACATCAACAACTCCATAGTCTTAGACCGGCACTGTGAGAGAGGTTAGAAATAATGGCGCAGTGGCAAAATTACACGGAGGAAACTATCTAAGAACTAAACAAGGCTCATTTGACCAACGAAAGTTAATGACATAACAGCATATAATATAGGTAGGCCCTTGTCTTCAGTTTTTCCAACAAAATATCTTCGGATGCTGGAGGAAATATTCGGATGCACTAGCCAACACTCTCGACACCCATACCACCCAAAACACCCATCACACTATTCATGTGTACAAGTATATACATACTATGTACTAGCCAACACTCTTGACACCCATACCACCCAAAACACCCATCACACTATTCATGTGTACAAGTATATACATACTATGCACTAGCCAACACTCTTGACACCCATACCACCCAAAACACCCACAACACTATTCATGTGTACAAGTATATACATACTATGCACTAGCCAACACTCTTGACACCCATACCACCCAAAACACCCATCACACTATTCATGTGTACAAGTATATACATACTATGCACTAGCCAACACTCTTGACACCCATACCACCCAAAACACCCACAACACTATTCATGTGTACAAGTATATACATACTATGTACTAGCCAACACTCTTGACACCCATACCACCCAAAACACCCACAACACTATTCATGTGTTCATGTGACACTCCAATTAGCTGATTCATTTGAATTCTCTGTTACTGAATATCACAAATATGAATTTAGGGGCAAGAATTTGTAACAATGTTTATTACATAGAATAACGAGGGGGATTCCCGCTAAGCCAATCAGGTGCATCGTAACTAAAGGTTCTAGGCAACCCAAGTTTTCAGGGTTAGATTATGTTTTATGAGCACTTCTAAACGGGATTATTGACTCACGCCCAAAACTATGTGATCTGGCGGTTTTTATAGCTTATGTAACTTGTTCCGTTTTCTATTATAAATTTAAAAGTTGTTCAAGTCTTTGAATCTTTAACCAAGAAATTGTTCAATCAACCGTAGCTTTTGTAGCCCAGAATCTCTAACTCTGGCATTCAATCTTTTGGTGGTACAAAGCTTGTAAATGGCTTTGAAAAAAGCAAACATTTAGTAAACTAAAGCTTTTCGTCTGACACTCTTCAGAGTTTGAAACGTCAGAACATAGATCGAAAACTCTACGCTAGGAAATATATATACCCAGTTGTGGATCGAAATAGGCCAATCAGAAACACGAGCACCTGACTGTATAGGTTGACCAATCTGTGCCGCTTGCCTATTGAGAATGTTACCAATGGAGTCCTAAGGTGAAAACGAACTCCTTTTGTCTACACAGTAGCGGTTTTTTCGTGCTTATGTAGATAGATTCTAAAACTGCTAGGTGGAACGACGATCGGGCTTTACCAATAATCCGAAACATGTCGCCATTATAGTTTTTTGCACAACTCTGGCATTCTTTGATCATGGCACTTTATAAGGCTAGAATGAAAAATACATCTGGTTCTGTTTTCTTGAATTGTAGCATGACGGAGACAGCAAGGCTGAGGCATCTGCTGAGAAAAAGCTCAATCGAGAAAAAAGCGAAAGAAGAAGAGGATCGAAGGCAGAAGGCTGAACGCCGAAAAAGGCGGGAAAATCAACTTAAGAAAGAGGTGGCAAGAAAGTCAATTGGCAACGATATGAGACACGTGCTGGAACGACAAAACAAGGAAACCATGATGCGTTTCAAGTACGTGTAAAAGTTTTTGTAACTGTAACAGAATAACCACAAACCCTTGTTATTTGATTAATGATAGCAACTTTGCTATTTTTATTGGGTGGAGACTCGCGCTATCGATTACTTCATTTTGATGATTGAATGGTCGTTTTCGTTAATGTTGATCGGTAGGCAGGCCCATGACAATATAATTTAAAAATGGAAAGTATCAATTTCAAAAAGAGTTCAAATTCTCCTTTTCCAGTATGTTTGGTTCTCCATTTTTTTTAAAAATCTTAACAGTTGCCTTTTTTCGTCAAGGCTACCTGTTATGCTTTGTCGACCAGGTTGGTTTCCTTTCTTGGCTGAAAATGTAAGGTTCAAATATTAATTGCTGTTTTTGCTGTTTTCTTAACAAGACGTCTACACTTACGTGACAAAAGTATTAGGACGCTCGCCTCGAAGCAAATGTGGTTAATCCTTTGCTCAAAGAACAACATAGAAAATCAGTGGAACATAACGAGGTTGCTGGTAGAAATTTTCGATTGCAATTTTACCCGATTGTAAAAATAAACATAAATTTAATAAATTGCAAAAAAGTAAACTTTTTAGACAAGTAGCATTTGCTTTATTCTATATTTTGTCAGATGACCTCCAAGAATCTAGGCAGCCGCCATTTGCATTGAAACTCACTGAAATAATTTTCCAACGAAATATCTTCGAATACAGGAGGATATCTCAACGAAATTTTAAAATAGCTTATTTTGGTCTTAGAAGATCCCATTTCTTGTATTTTTTAATGAAAACCAGTTGTTTTCAATTACATAAAGGCTTTGACTTTGACGGGGTTATTGAAAGACCATTATCTTATTGTTTTTGGAAATTTATTTCACAATTGCAACATAACAAGGTTTAATGTCTTGCTTGAAAATAAATAGTCTTTGCAAAGAATCATTAGTTGTTTCTGTACTTGCCTGGGGACTTTCCACAAATAATTTAACAAAATATTCATGATTGATTGACTTCGCACACAACGCCAGTTTGCAGATGATATTAGGCCCAACCAACAGTTCGGCCTTCCCTGGCCTACCATTCTTTTAATTTTAGTCGGCATTAATAACTTATTGTACTTGTAAATAACATGCGTTGCAGACTTGCTGCAACCAAACTTTCTTGTAGTTTCAGCAAACAAATGACTCTCTAGACCCAAATATTTTATTGCTTCTCGCTCTCTTTCTGGTCGTTTTTGTGTTTTCGGCATTGAAACTAAAACATTGATATTTTCCATTTTTCCCTGAAATTTTGTTCCTTTTCTATCATAGAAAGGTAGGAAATAAATTGAATTTGTTAGGAATTGCGTTTTTGCTGACGCCATTTCTAGAATCCAGCCAAAACAGCAAGCTTTGTTCAATCAATGTTAGAATGCTAGTTTTGGAGCCGCCATTTTGTTTTTCATCGTCCTAATACTTTTGTCACGTAAATGTATATGGATTGCTTCATCTCACTTTGAAACCAATATTTATCTTCTATCACAGAGAGTCTGAAATTGAGAAGAAGAAAGCTTACAAGCAGTATCTGAGGGATATACAGGCAAAAGTAGAGCAACGGCCCTTGCTATTTGAGCAAGAATCACAGACCAACGCGAAGAGACTAGCGCAAAGAAAATACAAACAAATTCTGCAAGACGCTGGTTTGGATGATGACGTAGTTGAAGGCCTGGTAAACAGTGACGGTAAAATAATAGATGCTGAATCCGACGACGACACGGATGAGCTTTTTGCTGAAAGTGATGAGGCCGACCAATCACTGAGAAGCGAAAATTATCCAAGATCAGGAGACCCCGAACAAGATGAACCGCTTTCGGAAACAGAAGAAGCCGATGCCGATACAGCATAAGGATCCTTAAGATAAGAAACGCTAAAGTTACGCGTAGTAAGGCATGTGCTGATTTCTCTCTATGACGTTACGATTCCACTAACCAGCCTAAAGCATTAGACGGATAATGCTGGAAAATATGGGTGTTTTTATATAGGGATAGAGATAAGATGTAAAATTACAACTTATATGGAAAATTACAACTTATGCGTTGTTGACAACTCGTGAGCTATGCAAGAACGTAGCAATCGTGTATGTGGGGATGTAACACCTGTATGCTATACATTTTGGTAACGAATTTATCCCGTCCGAGCATCCTTTTCTAAGCAAATAACGCGTGGGCCTTTGAGACCCGATTCTAGTTTCATGTTTACAATACAGAGTGCTGCAACCACAGACACAATTTATAGCAATAATAAAATAATTCCAAACCCCACGTTCCTTCTTTTCAACGTTCCAGTCCTAATTTCACCCACCATGCAAGCACTGTACTTATAGAACGTAGCATAATGTATCGTGGAAAAGTTGTAAATCAATTTATTGTTATCATTGCACCATTCTCAACAGTTCGATTTCTGTCCTGTTTACAACCATTAAGAACTAAACCCTTGCTCTAGATAACCTGCAAGCATGTTTTTCGAAGGTAACGTTTATTCGTAAAAATATTTTCAGAATAGACCGACAATGTGAAGTAGTGAAACATCAAATCATACATGAAGTAGCTCGTACAAAAATGGAAGCTTTGGCAAATTTCAACGAACAATATTGAGGCTAGATATTGAAAAATTAAGTTTTGTGATTCCACTTTTGCCATAACAAAAGCAGTTATACTGGAAACGTAGATATTATTAACTCTGGATCTAGTCAAACTAGGCTAGGCACACTTGAAATAGGCAAAAAATAAAAAGTGCATGTAAGTAAAAGTAAATACTGGCATAATATATAAAAGCAAATTGTTATAAAGAAAATTGCTAAAAGTTATAAAGAAAAAACAAACGGCTTACATGGGCGAGGCATTGAATCTCCAAAAAGATCTGTCTTTATTGCATGATTTTATTACAGTAATTTCTTGATAAGAACAGACATAAGCGGACGTTCTTGACAGATTGTGCTATTGTATCAATATGATCTTAGCCATACTCCTTGTTTCTTCATTTCATTCTTCAAAGAACTGTCGTGGGAAATCCATTTAAACTTTTAATTAAATATTCTAGCAAACTGGCTGTTCATCACTTCATCTCTTTATCCTATTCCCACCTGGCACATGGCGGAATGGAAGCCAAGCAGATTTTCTGCATGAAATAATCAATGTATTGCCTATATTTGATAGGCTGTAAGACCGTGATACTAATCTTAGGGTTTACTTGTCCTATTTCATTAGGCCAGACATTCATAACGGTAATACAATTTACCAGCATCTTAATCCAAGTCAAACTTTAGTTTATAAAGATAAAGTCTTTGGTGATCCTACAGTTAGCTTGTTGCACAAAATTAAGGCATTCTTGGTTAAATTTGAAGTTCCAGGTTGATATTCCAACAAGCGATGTTAACCAGCCCTTCTTTTTCCAAAGGAGGTAACTTTTGTCACTGCTGCAAGTTTACAGTCAGTTAAATTAGCCACAGATAGACAGACAGACAGACCAAACGGTTAGCTCATCATCCATTCGTGCTACAACAAGCATCGGAACCTAGGAACAAGGTTCCTTGGAAATCTTCAGAGATGGCAGAAAAATCTTCACTAAAGTATACCTGCGAAATTTTCCAAAAAATCTGAAGCAGGCTCGCGTAATTATTTACTTACAACATCTTTTGCAATGAAGTTTTGCGAACGCTTCCCCCCCTCCCCAATGGCAAAAAGTCTCTCTGAAAAAATGCGTTTTCTTGCGTTCAAAAGGGTGTTGACCCCCATTTTTCCATCGCTTGACTCGCCTTTGCCCCCAGTTTTACCATCCTGGCTACGCTACTGGTTTACTGCTTGCATCGGTTCTCTCCTCACAAAAAACTTTAGACGAAGGTCGACAAACCTTGTAAATGTTGGCATAAAGAAGAAAGCTGGAAAACAATCATTTAAAAAAGGTCTACATTCATTACGGTGAATCAAAATGGAACTTACCCGTCGAAGCAAAGTCCGAATGTTGTTATATGAAAAAGTATGTAGATTGTGATATTGCCAGAAAGTTCGATGCAGTATCATCATGCTGTGAAGAGGCTGAAATCATCAAGAGATCGTCAAGATACCAGCTGCGATGCTAAGCATGATGACGATGATTGTTCTCTCTGTTAGCAGAGAACTATTCTAATTGCATCCACAACACTTGAGTCTTTATATAGCATGACAAACAATCGGTACAAAATTACCAACACTGAAATAAATCCACTTACATACATACTCAAGTCGTCAAAGTAATTTTATATCTTGACCTTGAAGTTAATTATATCTTGATCTCAAACTTAATTTTCATCAATTTTTTAAGTTTCTGGTAAACACAATTTAGAATATCTTGCACGGAACTCTGGCAAAATTAACTGTTGTGTGAAATTATAATAATTTTGAAAGCAAGATTTCATTGTAACAAAAATGAATAGTGATTCTAGCATCCTTTGTCTAGTCTAATTTAAGCAAACCTACATTTTTGATCATTTCAATTTTCTGTTTATTGGAAGTACAACCATTTGAACTTTTTCTAATTCTTTGTGAAGGACGACGCGCTTTCAGTTCATGGGGACCTGCAAAGGCCCACTTATTTAGGACACTGAAGTACTGGTGCGAAATAAAACATGATTGATAAATTTTGAATATCTATGAGTTTTGCGTGGGCTGAAAAGATGTAGTTGTGACCGCGTCAAAACTTCGCCAAAGTGCGCCAATTCAACACTTCACTAAGTATTGAAGTAATTAAACTGTTGTGGATTTGCGTCTTTACGTGTCATGTTCTGACCTCTAAAAACAGGTCATAGCCAGTTAAAACACCTAATGAAGACACAACCACAGAATCACAACCTTCTTTTTGTACTCAGCTCGAATTCGTTTTATCCTGGTTTGTAGCTCCAAATTAAATTTCAGCCTATGAAATCGCAAAAATGGCTCGTTTTCCTCTATCATCGGCGAAGTTCGATGGATTTCTGAAGCATATTGCATTTATTTCAAATTATGCTCGACAAAAATTCAACAACACAATCTCCACTTTTCACGCCTCTAATCACCAGAGACTTTACTAGCTAATTTTTTCACTATGCTCCATTATATATACATAGAACTGTTTTTAAGGCATTACGTTAATATCTCCCTTGCTTGATAACTAAACTCTTGCTTGTATCACATTTCAGGGGCATCTGTTGGAGTGTGGAGATATTTGCAAAGGCCTTTTCTGGCAACTTACTGGTTGCAAAAAAATTCCCCTAAAATTTGTGACTGACTCCTTTCTTTCACAAATGCACATTTTCCTAGGGCCAAAAATGTCAACTTTCTAACCGTTCTGTTTAAAGATGAGTACATTCTTTAGATTGCACTAGAAAAAGTTTTCTAGACAGGGGAGAACAGTAAGAACGAACTTAAAAAAATCTAAATAGTGAATCTCATACTTCGAAACGGGCTTTATTGTTTACGTATGCTCAGAAATTGAAAATTTTGATAATGACATACATTTGTCTTTTTAATTGTAAACAGGGCATTGGAAATAAACGATCTACTCTTTTAGTGAATCCTCAGTCCACCTTCTTAAAAACTTAAACACTCGACATGTGAGCCTTACAGCTTACCAAGGGGAATACTCGCTCGGTTTTCATACACTCTGTACACAGTTTTGCTCTTCAAACCCGCCACGGTTTGTGCCTCGCTATGTCAAGTAGACGAAAGGTTTAAAATGAGTCACTGTATAGTACTTGAAATAAGTATGAAACAGATTATCCCAAAGACACAAAAACATAGCTGTAAAAGCTTAGGACCTCCTTTTTCAAAAAGAATAATGGGCGACCAGACACTACCGTCTGTTTTTGGCCTTATTTTCGAATTTCTCTTATAAGAACAAGGTCTTAACTGACTTCAGGTCAAACAAAGTCTCAAATTCCAGACGTTTGGGAAACGCTTGTAGAAGAAGCCAGATTTCACCACCCAGATTTCAGAGGTGACTGGCTTCACAGTACAATAACCACGTTTGGTGAATAACACCTGCGCTCAAACGGATAATCTTCTCCGTGACATATCAAGTTGTTATGAACAAATTGAATTTCATTTCCATACACAGATTACGAAAAAAATCCCGATCTAATGAGCCTCTCTGTGCAATGATATGCTTTTAGCACCTGGTAAGTTTGATGACTGTCCTAAGACCCTTACACGACGTCGTTAAGCGTATTGCAACTTTTTTATTCAAAACTTTGTTGAATACAACGAATTAAAAAAATTGCAATCTAGATATTTCAAAGAAATTTTAAAAGCCATACGAAAGATCCTTTACATTCCGATGGAGACGGGCCTTGTTATGAGTTTGTGAGTTAATGTAAAAAGTGGCCAACGAAACAGTGCAACTAACGATTGAATAAAAACATGAAGGTCAACGAGTACTTTTAACGTTAAAGTGACTTTTAAAGACGCGTTGAGTGGTAGAAATTTGGCTTTGATTCTTCACTTAAGACACAGTTCTCAAAATACTCTATAAAAGCAACTACATTCCACGCTCTCCCCAGGTGTATGTGCCATCAAGGTTAAAAGAGCAACAGAGGAACTAGACATACCTTGAAAAGTATACCATGCACTTGAAGAAAAGAGAACGATCAGAGATGTCTTACAACGATCAACATGCATAAGCTAATTAAACAGCCAAGAAAACATGGCAATCATCCGCTCAAAGATCGCGAGAAGGGCCAACTATTACAAAAGAAGTTAAATGCCACGATCCAAACTGTTCTTTTTATTTTTGTTTCCTGGGTTTCTAGATTTTAGCTAGGGTAATCGCTTCTGAAACTGATCAATTGAAACAGAATAGCAAGAATAATAAGTCTCGCATAAACAAAAGAAAAACTGATTCAAATAATTCTAAACGTTGTGCAAGAAGAGACATAACATTGTTTGCAATTAATCTGAAACAAAAAAAATTCAAAAATGTGATTGGGTTTCTTAACATTTGGTTAAAGGTTTATGAAAGCAAAAGGTAGGTAGTTATTTTTCTTTTTCTTTGATTTATAAGATCTAGACAACAACATTGTTTGGCTATCAAAAAAGTATTCTCATTTCCACAATTGTGATCTGGAGAAATAAATATTAAGACTAGAAAATCTACAATCAAACACAGTCATATATGGCTGTCTTTTGCAACTGCTAAAATCATCCCTTGTGAAGGCAAGGCTCCTGTTGCAATCACTTAAAGGACATTGGGGTCTTGGTACCCACCTCTTCGAATCTTGCGGATGTCTTTTCTGTAAACACGGCAAGTTCTGAAGTAGAGTATGCTGTCAATCAGGAACAAGATCAGGTTGATGAAGCCAAAGAACTGGGGAAAAGAAAATTTATTTATTCATTATAAAGATATCATGTTTCGGTCTTCATCATAGTTAAATTGTATGGAAAATTTGCTTTTGCTCTACTGATCAAATTTGCTCTTTTCTGGCCATTTGTAGCAGAAATTCTTAATTGAAAGAGTAGTTACTACGTTAATGGAGTATTTAGTAGTTTATTGCCAAATGTCAAATATTATCATCTAACCTAACTATTAACAAAGGATGTTTTCTTATGAAGAAAAAAATTACCCATTTTAGGTATAAAATAATTAAAAAAGGGCATTAGTACAAATATAAACAGTGCCTGTGCAATGTATTGCTAAGAATTTTTTTTGATTTGGCCCTTTTGATGAGCATTTTGGCCTGAGTTGCTCACCCAATCTGGCCTTCCTTTGTAAATCCAATCTGGCAACCCTGAACAATATGATAGAATTGCTTTCTTATATAAAATAATGTAAAGCATATGCTGTATAACATGTGCCGAAAGTATATTAGGGTAAGAAATTGACAAAGATGCATGTGGATCTAAAAGAACCTTGACAAAACTTAGATGAAAATCAAGAGTTAAACATTTAGGATGAAAATTCTTATTTTAATTACTATAGATAAACATTTACTTAAAAGTAAACATTAATTACACAACAAACTGCTATCAACCACTAAAATTATTATTAACTGTTTTATAAATAATAAATCCTTGACAGGAAACAATATGATAAGAATATGAATAAAATGGCAAAAAAATAACTCTCTGAACAGAAAACTGAAGCTCTTATTGTTCAATAAGGATTAAAAACTTTTTTCCAGATCTTTAAACATACATTTTCATCAACAGGTTAGAAAAACCCTATGTTTACACTTATGTTAGCAAAGCATGACACACATCACAGATTCTAAAATAACAACTGTTTCATAAGTTGTTGCTATGGTAATGGTCTAAATAAAACTCATTAGCTGTTATGACAAATGATGTTGCAGTGATACCAGAGAGTTTCAAAGGGTTATAAAGGAGCTAGAGCTTGACTGAAAAAGTAATAATGTGTTTTAAAATGTTACTGACGAGATTGAGTACAAGTAGACTGACTGACTGACTAACTAAATAAGTAAATGAACGAGTGAATGTATGAATAAATTTTTACTTCTAATGACTATTGTATGATGCAGAGGAATGCCAAAAGATAGAAAAAGAAAAAAGAAAATTAGAGAAACAAGGGAATAGATGAATAGGAAAGACAGAAAAAAGCTGTTTATTAAATTTTGCACAGGTAAACAACAAATACCAGCTTTTAGCATTGTGAGACTTTAAATAATTGGATACTCACCGAGGCACCTGCATTGCCAGCCCAAATGTGATAATGAAAAGCAAGCAATATACCAGCAACAGCCCAGAAGAAGGTGTAAATTGCCGAATATGCCAACAGATGGATGTACTGAAAAGCAACAAATGATTAGGTACAAAAATTTGCTCATAGAATAAACCTCAAGAAATTTTTATTTAAAAGAACATAGCCAAAAGAGGGCTTAGTAATCATCACCTCTCACAATTTGCAGACAGCATAGCACAATGGAAACAAAATTTGTATAACTTCATCATCTATTGTATCCTTATATAAACAACCAATCATTCTGCTTATTTGAGACTGACTGATACGAGTTTTAATTTTGCCATGCAAGATACATTCAAGTATATTTCAAATATGTAACAAATTATCTAAGGTTGCATGATTTTTTTTAAGAACTTATATGCAAAAATATTGATATATGCTCATGTTCATGTGTTCATGTCACCCTTGGGTCTGTAGTCAGCACCTCTAATAACTGAGCATCCTCATAACTATACAACTATACAAAGGGATGGCAATCTGTTGATGTGTGGTACATCTGTACATAAAAAGCAACTGATCATACATTTAAACTAAGAAAAAAAAAATCTATGTGCTCATACCCAGCCAAAAAGTCTAAAGAGACGTTTGTTGATCCATTTGTTGAAACAGCCACAGAGGTTGAAGGAAATCACAAATATTGTAAATATCCATGAGCTTATGCCGACAAACAGAAAGTAGCCATAACGAGATACCAAGGACTCATTAAGGTGCCGGTAGGCTAATGCACAGATGACCCAAGCAACCAGAGTGGTGAACTGCCAAAAAAGAAAGCTCAATTAAATTACAAAATTTTAGCCTTTGTAAACTAAACAGTTGAATCATGTAGCAAGGTGTTTGAAATAAGATTTTAAAACCAAAATTGTTGCTGTTTTTATTGTGAAAACTAAATACTATTTTACCAGTTAGAATCTTTGCTACAGAGTTCTTGACAATTTTGCTGAGCAATAAAGATACAGTATACAAATTACATGAATGTGCTTCTTAGAAATAACAAAGTTCCTGGCAGAGGAAAAATAATGAATGAAAAGATTAAAGACAAACTTATTGCTTTGTAGGTGAAATAAATTGATTTATACATACAAATTCAATGATTTTCAAAGCTCCTTCAATAGAGCACAAGAATGCTGTGTTGCACGAGCATGTCCCTTGGTTGGCATCTTCATTTTCATCCTGAACATTTCTTGGTGGTGGTGGATTTCTTGCTTCCTTTTTTCCTTTATTCTTTTTGTCCTTTTTTGATTTTGGGTCTTCTGAAGATGTAATTGGTTCTCTGTCATCTGCCATAATTCTTGATTGGCCTGTCAACATAATTTTGAGGTTATTAAGCCTGGGTCACCTCTTAAAAAAGGATCAAAATATTATAAGAAGGATGAATTATTTGGTCTCTTGATTTTAAACATTATAGCTTAACGTAAAGTAATATTTCAAACATTAAAGTTTGGACTAATTTTCCTCAACAGAGTATTCTCGAGTTTATTCACAGAAACATACACGCTTTACAAGAACTGAGAAAAGGGGGTATCAGCCCTGGCCGTTTGAGGTGGGCGATCGCCGGTGCGCGACTCCACGCTCGCCTCGGGTAAGCAAGACGAGCTATTCATTGCTCGCCTCAATGTCAGTTCGCATGTTAACCGCCTGCCTTGGTCTTCTTTTCATTTCTCGACACCTCTTGAAGTAAAACTAAAATATTGATAGGAACTTAATCCCCTATGTTTTGACTTAGAAATAACGTTTTAATCTCTCAGAAAGTCATCTACTCCTGTAAACTCGTTAACTACTTAACAAGTCACGCGAAAAACAAACAAAACATTTTTAAATGCAATAGGGAAGAAAATCCTTTGAATGGTTTCATTTCAACCAGAATGCTATTTCGAAGGCCAATTGAGTATTTCCTAACACATGAAACCCGAATCATTTCAACATGGCGAGTAACCAGAAAGGATCGACTGTTGAGCTAAGAACTTTCGAAAAATACGACAACAGGGCTGTTCTTGGAAGAAAAATTGAGGAGAAAGACGGAAAAAAGATGGTGACGTTCGTTTGGTGCAAACTTTGCGCTAAACATAAAGCTTCCATTTTCTTGAACCTGCTTTGCAAAGGTGGCTGTTGAAGCCTACATCAATGGAACAAATTTTGAATGTTGTTGATTTGTGATTATATGAAACTATCGTTTTATTTTTGTCTGAGAATCGCCATCTTAGCTGTTAACTTAGCTGTTAAAGAATGTTGTTTATTCATATACTTTTATTGACGATTTTCAAGAGACGCCTGACTTCACCGAGGAGAGTGATGTACCATGCGCCTGCTAAAATGCTCACAGCCAGGCCTGGGTTATGTGTCTTATACACGGTAAGACATATTAAAACCTATTTTTTTCAGAATTCAAACATGGAATTAAGGGTGCCTCTTATGCTTTCATTGGAGAGAGGGGATCAGATCTTGGACTTTAAATACATGTTACCTGGCACACATTAATGGGTTGGTTCCAATTGCTTTGTCCAGATTTTTGAGACTGATTACCCCCTTGATTCACCTTCCAAGTAGAGGCAACCTAATACAATTCCTTAATGTGATTCTTTACATCCAAAACAACTTAGATAAACATTAAAATAAGTTTGCTGAAACTGCTCTTTGCTTCACAAATCGTACAGCATTTGGCAAGTCACATCTTATCACTAAAATTCAAAATTTCATAAAGGGAAATCGTGTTGAACAAAATCTTGTATCTTTCTAGAATTGATCAACATGATCTAAAGTATCTTCAAAAAACCAGTTTTGCAGTATAACAACAGTCAGGCCAAATAGCAGTTGGAAACATTTCACTCAAAATTATTTTACTTATCAAAAGGCCTTCTCAGAAAAAATAAAGCTATTCAAATTTATTGACTCAAATTTTTAATTTCTTTCATCAAACCATAAAGCTTGAAAATAGCCCCTTTCTGGGAAAAACAGGAACTTATAGAAAACATCTATCTTGTTTTACCTGGACTCTTTTTTTCTGTGAATTTTCTGCTTGCCAGGAAACCATAATGAATTTAAGGACATTTAATTTTAATTAACTTCAGAAAACAATCACTTTGTCTTAACATATACATCAATGAAATCTTTATCTGAGTTGAAAATCATTCAAATGAATACCATGTAAGCTTGATTAGATAAATTTTGTCACGATTGTGACCTGTTTAGCCTTTTCCTGGTCACACTTGCAATAAAAATGCTTTTCAACTATAGAAAGAAATATGGTACCTATATAAATTGTTAAGGTATAGGAAAGGAGCTTTCAATTTCTTGGATCTGCATGAAATAAGTGAGTTACTCAAAACTCGCACATATTCAAAGTAGGTGACAAGGAGCCTTTGTTATTTTCATTAGTCATCATTCCATAAGGATGATGGGAGGGGCATGAATTTACTTTTCAACAACTCGAACAACAAATGTTATTAAACTTTAAAAGACACACTTTTCGAGTTGAAGATGTCCTATTTACAAATAATCAAAATAAGATTAACAATAAATTGAGCTTTCTAGACAGACTGTGGGGTATTTATTAGCTACAATAAAATAGTCAGAGAAATTATAAAAGCTGGATACAGTCCAGGCAACACGAGGGACAGGTGTAGGCCTATCCAACATTTTCAATACTCACTCAAACTCACGGCTTATTTCAGATCGATCCAGATCACGTTATTCAGTTTTTCAGCTTGTTCTTCAATGCACAGATTCGTAACCCGCTACAAATACCGCATATGAGTTAAAAAGTGCATCAATTTGTTGTAACAACTTTCCCCACCCGCCAAAGTGATTCGATCAAATAATACTCAAAACAATGGATGTAGACAATGGACGCTGAAAACACCTTACAAACCCGCGAACGACACGTACATTTCTGCGGGATAACGTCAGATTGGCCCTACAGAAAACTTTGCTGTATGATTGATTCAACATTTCAACAAATAAATCAAGGAATTGCATAAGAAAATGGCATCTAGGAAAGTAGGAAAGTAGTACTTGGTTCCTGAAAAAGTTCAGTACTGAGTTATGGTTTTTCAGAACTTAGAAAGTATTTAAACGAAGAACAAGGTGTATAGAGCAAGAACATTTATTACCCAGTGTGATTTTTTTCGAAAACTGTTTAATTCATCGGTACTTGAAATTAAAAAAAATTACCTCCCTAGAAATATTCACGATGTTATAAAATTTCTGACAACATTATGAAACTAGGGACGGACTTAGCGGTGGAAGCGACACCCCATTTTGTGTCCTTCGAAAAGTTTTGCTTCCATTCGGTAAAAATCATTTTCTGGTATTCAGTAGTAACAAAGTAACGCCAAGATTTTACTTTATCTATCTTCTTATCATCTTTACCTTGAAGCTAGAAACCGAATTTTAATAATGGGTGTTTCCATCATTTACCAGTGACCTATAGGGTGTGGCACACAAAATTCAAACAGTGCATAACACCACCCCCCCCCCCTATCATTATTGCTAAAATCCGTTCTTGGCTATATTACAGTGTGTTTAATTGTGATTCGAACCTGGTGTATGAAAATGATTGGCAATACTAAGATAAGGTGACTTTTCGTTGATCAAATCTCAATTCACAATCAACAAAAAAAATTTTCGGTCTCACCCCCCTTATATAAAACTTACAAGTGATCCTCCTAAGGCTTTGATGCCTCAAAAGCATTTGCTGGCACAGAATATTCTGTGCAAGAAGCAGGTATTCTTACATCTTCTCATCCTGCATCCTTAGCCTTGCGGCACCAGTGTCCATAGCCAGTAATTATTTCTTTACCAAAAAAGCCATGCTCCCGCCCCCAGGTGGTGTAGGCCCTGTTGCAACTTAAAAAGTAAAGAAAGGATTTCCATCATATTCCAGCAAAACCTGAAGCATGGTGGCACCAAACCCCAATTGCTAGGGCCTCGAGGTCTAAGGGGCCTCATAAAGTATTGTATTCCGTTTTAACATGGAATTAATTAAAAGTAACAAAATTACACTCAAAAGAGTAAAACATTTTGAACGAATAAATGAATTTAAGCTATTCTAAAAGTCGTGGTCGCAAAAATTTCTGCTCCCTTCGCGCGTAAGAGGCCTAGTCTTCTGCCTTCCCCCACGGCCTCTAAAAGCTTTCGGCGGCCCTACTACCCCCCCCCCTCCCCTTCCTCCTAGTTATTGCCTCTAAAACCCTTTCTGGTATACGAGCAATTTTTCAAAAACCAAAATGCTTTTAAATCTTTGAAATCAAATTATAACTGGTTCGTTGTGGAATTTATTAATAAAAGCTGGATTCAACTTTTTTGGCAAATTCTCGTGGGTATGAGGCTAAGCCTCGGATTGCCCATTGGGCTTAGCAAAATTTGGCGGGATATTAATATTATTTAAAGGTTTGTAAGCGTCTGCCATTCGACGGTAACTTAAAGAACCGAAAAAAGAGATCTTTTTATGGGATTGACTGCCTTATCAATTGTTCTTGTTTTCATTTTAATGGCAATGGGATTATCGGCATAGTGTTCGACCCTGTTGCAGCGCAAACTTAGCTGTTGGGCCTAGGCAAAAGGCCCATGACTGAAGTTTGACTCTGGAATACTATTGCTGTTTAGAACATTGCCGATTTTCACATTTTCCGGACAACAACTTGAAAATCAAGAAATGATAATGTAATTGGTAAACGTAAAATGAACATGGAAAATGACCCATCATACGGTGTTATGAATGCCTACAATGTAGACGGCAAGCCGATTCGAATTCATAAAACAACCAGCAAGTTGTTTTCCAATACCAAAGTTGAGGTTATATGCAGATGTGATCAGTGGGTGAAGAAATTGGGACCATTCATTGATAAAATTTTGATTTTGTCACTTCTTGCTTTATTTTGCCTAGACAGGCTTTTAGGTATTCAGGTTAGTAACTGAATTTTCTGAAATTGCAATGCTGCGTATATCATATCACCCCAAAGTTTAACAAGTATCTATTAAGTTTCTGACCTTGTTCCTATTCTATTCTTATAGATTTTGAAAGCTGATCCAAATAACAGAATTTAGGTCGCACTGATTAGAGTTCACCAGCGCAATAGAGTCATTTTGCTCCATCTCAAAAGAGCTAACAGATAACAAGCCAAGAAGTTCTTCCAAATTTTTCAAGAACAAAAATTATCCTTTACATCATTTGAATCTAAACTTCTTATTGTACAGGAATTAAGATTCTTGTTCTTTATGTCTAACTTTGTTTCTAATATTTGAAACACAATTTTTTTTTTAATTTTTGTAGGTTCAAGAAAGTTTTTGGCTCATTGTCTTTCTTTTTTCAATACTGCTTTATGTTTACTTTCACTACTATTTTATACTAGAAGGTAAGAGTTTTGCAACTTATTTTGAAGGTAAAATAATTTGTTCATGTACCTTGGTGAAATTCATGTTAATATAAATGATTAATATTTTGAAATAAACTTTTCTTTTTGAAACTCTATCAATTTAAGACCTAGAAAACTTGGGAGGTACAATAAAACCAGCATCTCTCATAAAAAAATTTTCTGTGAAATTTTGTTTTATACCATTTTTGTATCTAAATCCATTTCTAGCAATGCAAATTTGGTACTTTATTCAGTTTTTAAACCTAAAAGCAACTAATTTTTAATTTATTGAAAATTACATAAAACCTGTATATGTGGTGTTAAATAACAGGTAAATATAGTGAAAATGCCTTCATACTTTCCAGAGGAAATCATCTGTGTGAAAAACCTTGGAGTAGAAGTTATAACTAAGACTATCACTGGCAGAACTGCTGAAGAGTTTATTCCAAATTTGCAGATAGCTGATGTTGTAATAAATGAAGTTATTCACATGGTTGGTACAAATCATAAGGCACATTTTTGGTTTTCTTGTAAACAGCTTATTATAACTTTGGGTCATTGGTCATCTTAAGCTGAGTTTCCAGTTTTCTGGATGAACATCCAATTAATATTTTGAATCCCAGTTTGAACTCAAACCTTGCTCAAATGATCATCTTGTGCTTTCATTTCTCACATGCCTTAACCATTTCAACAATTACATATATGAATTGACATTGTATACCATTAATTTAAAATCAATTTCAAACATTGTGTAAATACCTTATAGCAAAGATTCATCTATGCACTTTTTATATTGATTGGTGATACCGATGCTGCACAAAATTACCACAAAGATGGTTATTCAAAAATCAACAGAGTTATTACATTTTTCAAGGTATGTGATTTTACTTTACAAAATTTCCCAATTGAAAATGTTTGACAAAATGTACCCAAATTATCATCCACAACCCTGGTACCTATTGGGCTTTACTATAACTTCTGTTGACATGTGTTCAGACCACAATATTTAATCATATTTAGGTTAATTCCCCTTTACTTCCCATTCAAACACAACAAATAGATTGAAAAATCATGACAAAGGTTGTCAAATGTTTGGTATTAAGTGAAATGATTACTTTTAATGCCATATCTTTCTAATGCTGTATCTTTTTTGCAGTTTACAAAGCCACGTCTTCAAGAACTAAAGGAAATCCTTAATGACACACGAACAATTCTTATATGTGACCACTGTGTTCAGGAAAGTGATGAGATGTATGGTAGTAACTAAAATAATATAGAGTTGAAGAACTGAAACATTTCAAAATTGTATCTTAAATACATATTGGTATTAAAAATTTTAGACCGTAAAGAAATGTACAGAACCATAACAAAAAACAGGTTGCCATTTTTAAAGATATATTTTTTACCTGCCAAAATCACAGAATAATGTATCAAAAGCTGAGTGAGCATTGGGGGAGGATTTCGAAATAATTGTGTGTTCAAATTTCTGTTAAATATCATTTTATGTTGCATTTTCTGCCCAGAAAATACACATTTATCAAATACATTTGCTTTGCTGAATACTGTCTATGAATACAGATACTGTCTATACCAGTGTATAGGTTGACCATGTGTGCAAGTTGTCACCTTTGATAATCTGAGACAGAAAACTTTAAGCAAGATAATAAATATAAAAAGCCTAATTTAAGGTTTGAAACCTTGACTTAAACAGCAGTATTTAAGATACTGTTAAAGCAGGTGATCAATTTCAATAAATTGCAGAAAAAACCTAGCTTACCCAGTTAACGTTCCCACACTGGAGTGCCCCCTGTAGTAATTAAGTACAAATCTATGGTAAATTTCTCCTGTCTCCAGTCACCTTCTTTGAGTTGGACAGGTAAAAACAATTTTTCTCAGTTCTAGAAAACATTTGGTAATTCAAATTCAGTTACCCTTAAAAACCCCGGAAAAGGTACCAAAAACAGTAGATGTGAACAGAAAGTGACTTCTTTAGATTTCTCTTTGTTCTTCCAATATCTTTTTAAAATAGTTGTTTGATAAGAGGCTTACTATTACAAGCAATATGGTAATAAAATTATGTTGGGCTGCTCAACAATATATTACAAGAAAAATAGGACAGGTGAAACAAATTATCGTTAATATTTGTCTAATAGCATAAAAAGTTTCTTTCAATGAAAAGATAGTGTCTTTTTGATTTAGTTGTACAGTATTTACTAGTAGTGAAAGCAACTGCATGGGTTATTCTCATTAATAAGGGAACATGTTCTTTCAAAACCAAATAGCAAAGATAGGAAATTCCATGGAAATCCACAAATTTACAAACGAATATGACCTTAGTTTAGCACTGTCAGTATCTCTCATAGGTGGGGGGGGGGGGGGGTAGGGTATTTAAATACAGTTCAGCCTATAGGGTCTTTGATTGATCGAAATACAACCAGGTTTGTTTGACATGCCCCAGCCTGACTCCAGTCTGCACTATCATCAATTAAAAGATGCAGCTTTTGAAATAAGAATCCTGGGGTCTGCAAACTGGCTTTCCAACAGTCAACCTCCAGTCAGATCATCGTTTGCTTCGTTTTGAAGACTTGCTGCTTTCTCTGAAAAAGAAATGACAAGTAATTATTGGATATCTAAATGGCTTACATGAACAAGAAAGCTGATATTATTATTCTGTTTAAAAATTGCTATGCACAGATATTAGGGATCTCAGATATAATGGGCAAGGAATTTGAAAACCTTCAAGCAAGGGCTATCAAAATTCAACTTGGGTTAATGAAAATATTAAACCAGAAGTCGTTTGAAAAAGATATGTTGAAGCAGTTACGAGTAAATATAAGCATCCAAGGGTGAAAGATTTAAGTCATAATTATGGCAAGGAAGCACACACTGCATGTTCCAATGGCAAGAATAATAAATATTGAAAAACCCTTTTACATTATATACCGATTATTATGGTCACTTAGAGGGGGAGCAAGGGGGCAAAATGCCCCAGGACCTTGAGGTCTAGAGGGCCTCATAAAGTAATGAATTCTGTTTTAAAATTAGATTATTGGATTAAAGTAACAAAATTATGACTTTAACTAGCAAAAAAGTAAAACAAATGAGCGAATTTAAGCTAATCTAAATGGCATGGTCGCAAAAATGTTCTGCTCCTTTCACTTGAAGGAGGCCTCATCTTTTCGTTTTCCCCGCGGCCACAAAAACCTCTAGGCAGCCCTGCTGAAGATTTTACTTCTTTTGATTTTAAGCTAGGTCCTTCTTAATACATGGACATATCAAAAAGAGCATTGCCCACCTTTCTCTAGAGTTAAGAGGGTGTGATCTGAAAACTTTTTAATGGGGCTAGCTTGTGCGACCAAGAGGGGCCCAGGTGGAGGAGTTGATTGCCTCAAGGACTAGGGGACCTCATAAAGTAATGAATTCTTTTTAAAGAATGGAATCAATCAAATGTTACAGTAGTATAGATAAAAGATAATAAAACATTTAAAACGTTTGCAAGAAAATTGTGGAATTTACTTCAAGCTCATCTTAAAGGTATGATCAAAAAAGTTTCTGTTCACCGCAGCTGGAATCCTAGTCACCATGTTTAATCTATACTTGGCTTAGGTTTGCAAGAATAGATTGTGCCCCCGAATCTAAATTTTCATATTATGCCTTTTCATTTCTAAAAAGGACCCTTAAAATAAGCAGAATTCCAAGTCAGGTATTGTGAGGCAAGCAAAAGCTTTTGCAAGCTTAAACAAACTGTGCACTACTCCATTGAGTTCGAAAAGGCAAAAAAATTGATTCTCTAGAATCTTTTTAATCTATTGCTCTATAAAAATAGCATCCTGTAACCTATCAGTTTTGTAAGAACGATTAACCTATCCTTGACATTATTCCCCATGCATGACGTTATATACATGTATAATATCATTATAACATGGTGCAAAAACAACAGTGCAGTGGTGTAATAATATGTTCAATTAAAAGCCAAAGAACAATAGAATAACTAAGGGAGGGCTGCCCATAAAATCTAAATACACAAATCGTCCTTTAACTGTCTAAAAACGTAAAAGCCTTTACTACCATTTCGAAGGCAGAAAGAAATCATTTGATGACATAGTTTTTTCGCAGGGAAATTAGTTGGGAGCAAGGCTGTGTTTACAAAAAGAGAAGGACAATAGCCTATTTTCTAAAAGGATAGAAGGTCACTAGCTATATGGGCAGTTTCCCCCTAGTTAGTTTGTTAAAAAGACTGTGCTTGACTTCATATTTATATTCAGCTATATATTTTGTAGATCGTAATTGCAATGTTCTTTCATATTTGTCGGATAAGAACAAATCGACTGCAATTCCGAATCTGTTACTTTTGCTTCATATCAAAAGGGTATAGTTCTTGCTCTTTTCTAAAAGAAACGTTATTTCATAGAATACTTCAACAATAAATTTTTCTGCAAGTTACACCTATTGTTATTTTATAGAATTTTCTTGCTTCTTAGTTCATTATCATATTTAAATAGCTCGCCTTAAACATCGAGGCATGCAAAATTGAATATGAACACGTTATCGTTTTTTGACGATAGAAATTGTGTGGCTCTCCAACTTGAAGCATATCACACAAAGGATTATCTCAGAGAGCCAAAGAAAGATTGTTTTCCACACAAAATCAAACTGAGTGTAGTGCAGGAGACAGTGTCTTTTGCCTTCGTAGATTAGGACAATCAAAGTTGGGTCTAATTTGTTCATTCGGTGGACTCAACTTAATCACCAATCTGTAAGAAATCTCCTGCCTTCACAATCATATTGCAGACAGAACTCTGCTCCAGCCTAAGGGTTTAGTTAACTTGTCTGCAATTGGGGACAAGCAAATTCCACACCAACTGTGTATTATGGAAGTAAGTTTTAAAAAACGACTGATTCTAGAAACATCAACTTCATAATGACGAGGATGTCTAAGACTGTAATCGCGTCACATTCGGGAGTTAAGAAAATCACATCCTTCTGTACTAATGGCGTGCAAAACCCCTGAAAAGTGTTAATTGAGGAGGTCGACAGTGCCATTTTGAATTGAAATCGAACATTTAGTGATTTAAATAGCAATCAAACATCTTTTAAAGGCGTGTGATGGATCTGCCTACCCTAAAACCACCAATACCTTTGCATAAACGTTACGTCTGTTCAACCTTATGCATAAACGTTGAGAACATTTCCAGGTCAAACTTGAAGTGAAGAATGTGTTCCGTAGTGTATGTGAAGTCTGGCATATTACTTGGTTCAAACTATTTTCCAACGTTTTAACTCAAACAATTAACATTCTATTACTGTTACACATTGATTAGCCACAAAAAGGTTTTGCTTTCAGAGAATTACAGATGCAGTCAAACAACGACAGACCGAAATACACTAATAGTTTACCTTTCCATAGGTTCCGATCTTTTGCCACCTCGCTTGGCGTCTAAGAAGAATTTATCCAACTCTGAAAGATCCTCTTCTCCAAACTTCTCGAATTGCACTGGCCCATCACGTTTATGGGTGCGATCTGTACCGGCAAAGTCCTTGTCTGGAACAAATCTACAACGAATAGAATTTTATTCTGGTTAAGGAGCTCAGAAGATTTAAGGTACTAAGTAAACAGCGACAGAATATAACTGTCCACCTTATCCCGATACGAGACTCAAAGGACTCACTCACATCTCTTTACTTTAACCTTCTACATTTGATAAGTATAATGAGAAAGTCCAAAACAGGCACATTTATCACAGGCACATTTATCAGAGGCACAACTGCCAAAACTCTGTCTGAAACAGAGAGCCACAGCTGCATTTGTTAATTGAAATTTTTTCAACTAAAAATATTCTGAATTTCACACCTGTTGGTCTTTATTAAAGTTTCTATGTCATCTCCATAAGTATCTTTGTCTAGGTTCTTAGATGGACGATACACAGATGACGCAGAGTCTGTCTTTCTCCATGCTTGATCATACACATTGTAAGAATCTTCCTCTCCGAAGCCACTATCCATCCCCTGCACGACATAGTGATCACTTTTGAAAGCCTTACTACGAATTTTCTGATAAAGTTTTAAAAAATTCAAGGGAAAAATCCCTCAACATCAAACAAAGACGTTGGTAAAGAAAATGAAGCTTTCAGGGATTAGGGAAACAATAATATCTACTTCACTTTATGCATGAATTTGCTTTGGTCTATACTAGTGTCTAGGTCTACTAAAATTATGTTCACCATACATTATTTGTATAAAAAACATTTCTATTTTAGTAAAAACAAACTACATATCATTTGCATATCACAATCCTATATATAACATGTATGATAATTATATTTTTATACATATTTCCTCGCAATTTATAGATCAGTTTCCATTAACCTGACATGAATTTGCCTGACAATCACTGCATAGCAAATTTCAAAATTTTGGTTGCATAACTAACAATATTGTTTCAATTTTACCTTGACAGAAAATTCTGACTTCTAAATTATTCTGCTACATGAAATATACTTCTAGCAACGACTAGTTGTCAAAAATCATTCAAGATGTCAAAAATTCTGTAGCATAACAATCAATGCCCCAAAATCCCCCCTCCTTCTCCTTTCATTCATCTTAAATCATTCAGCCTCAGTGAACACAAATTTCAAGCTACCTGGCTTCTGTTGAAGAGCCTTTGATCATACATGCTTTCTTGGTTCCCAGCATTAGATGGCATTCCAAGAGCGATTTTCTCGCTTACGTCACGATCTTTGTCTCTCATTAATTTTGATCTAAAAAACAGATACAGTACACGGTTATTAAAAAAGCGAATTTTTTTGGATAATTACATGTCTAAGCTGATCCAAAAGAGACTCTCGAATTTTGAGGCTTGTAGTCTCCATCACACAAAACATATCTACTTGCAGCATGGTCATCCAAGTTAACAGATCTTCAATTCAGGGGATACCTCCAATGCATTAGACTCTATTAAGATAAAACATAAAATAATAAGTACCACTAAAACATATAAATTAAATATAATAGAAAACACAGAAAAACATTAAAAAAATTATACCAAACCTTTTATCTGGTGCAGCCTTTGAAATTCTCCTATCCCTTTCACGATCTTTGTGTCTGTCATAACGTAATTGATCTCTTTCTGCCTCTTCCCTATCCTTTGAGGCTTGGTAGAAAAGAGGGTTAACAAATCATAATTTCATCGATGCATGATACGATAGCATGGAATAAAGAAGTCTTAAGGATAGACTTGAATATGCTTGTAAAACAGTTGTTAGCTTAACATGCTGAGTATAATTATCTTTAACAATGTTGCTACTCAAAAGAACCTTGCATCCTTTATCTGAACTCACTCCAACAAAAGTCGGAAAAACGTTCCCTTCAACCAAATAAAATTTCTTTATTAGAAAAACTATCGCAATTAAACTGTTAATTCAACGAAACCATTAAGCAAATTACCTATCAAAATACCAACAAACTTAAAAACGAGAAAAATAAAACTGGATGGCATATAACAACAAATGTAAGCAGTAAATACATGTAAGCAGTTTTGGAAGAAAATACTGTTCAGTTCAAACTAAACTCCATTTGCATGGTTTTTCAGAGTGTGTATCATTAAAGTGTATTGGCAATACCAATAAAAAGTTTTAGGGGAAGCTTTCGGACTGACTTTCAAGCACAAGTATCTTACACTCCAGCACTTCTCAAAACAAGCTGGTAGCGTTCAATTACTGTTTTAAGTCCCTGCTAGGCATACCTGTTTTAATACCGGCTCTTTCTTCCCTCGCTTGTTGTGCCATCTTCTTCAAATATTCTTCCTTCTTTTCCTTCTCTTTTTGCGCCATCTTCTGCTCCAGTTGGGCTCTTATTTCTACGGCTTCACGTGCCTAAATAGAAGGTTCATCAAGCACATTGACTATTATCAGCTATTTAAGGAGCTTTGAATCAGATTAAACCATGAAACGTAACTGCATTGTACAGAGCAAGATAATCAATGCTAAAAAGAAGAGGAACACTGTCCACTCATAATCAGCAATTTTTTTAATTTAACAGCTACGTTACTAAAGTACAACTATGATCTACAAGTACAGGTCATAACTACAATCACACTTTGATTTAAAAAAAGTCTAAACGTTGCACAAACATCTTAGCCAGTGCAACATAAATATAAAACTTTCCATTGAATCCATTTACCAAATTAATGAATCAACATTACACTCTCCACCACATTACCTTTCTATCTGCAATGTAGAGAGCTTCTGCCAATTTTGCGAACTTGTCGTTGATATGTGGGTCTTGCAAACCTCGACCATCTGAAGCTAGTCTTTTGTCAAGAGGTATTGTGTACCCCTAAAAAAATATAGACAATTGATATACGCAAACATGAACTCTTACTAGCCAAAGAACAAGCAAATGATCAAATAATTTTGTTAACTCTAGACAGGCTTAAAATAATACCAAAAGACTATATCCTGAAAAAGTCGAGGTGTTGACAGATTTCGGCTAAAATCATATATTTTCAAAATAAAAGTCAAAAACATGGGCGAGAATATTCCGAAACCTTTCTTTGTGTTTTGCTAAAGGTAATATCATTTTGAACTAGATAAGTGGCTTAGATAACAAAGATCGTTTTTCTCCACGTCAGCTACTACTTTAGTTTCGAATATGATGTGAAAGATAGCTTAAAGAATATACTAAGCCATTTCAAAATACCTTAGGATTCTTCCAGTTGGATATACAAGGAGGTATTTTCCACTCTTGCTGTTCTTTCACTGTAACCTGAGAAAAAAATGTCACATATAATGTTAATAAATGGTTCTAGAAGCGAAATGATTGAGTGCATTTACAGTAAGTTAATGGTTTGGTCTTAAAATGTGAAGAAAAAACCAGCTGAAAATTGCTGTGTTACATTTCCTTCGAAGTTAAAATAAAAAAGAAGTACTGAATTACCTTTCGTGTTGGCGAGTGCATGACAGGAGCTGGTGGTGAAGGAGGGCCTCTTGGTATCTTTTTGTTTGTTCTAAAAATATAAACAGGGAAAATAGAAATAAGGTCAAAATCTGCTGCAAATGCACCTTTTCAACAAAAAAAATGGATAAAAAATTAATCAAAGCAAACATGCAGTGGCGTAACAGAGACATCTGGGTCATTAAGAAAAAACCCCAACGGACTGCAAGAAAGTCCCTTCTAAGAGTGTAGAGCATTTCTAGCATAGAGATGTAAAAATGATATTATTTTCTCATTAAATAGGGGGAGCTGAGTTATATGCTTCCATAAAGAACTTTTCAAGTTTTTGAAAATAAGGTGAATATGGGCCAAGTCTTAAAAACATTGATATAAAAATCTGGAACCCCTTTTTTGGTCAGAGGACTTGAGTGCCCTAAAATGTTTTACGCCCCTAAAGACAAGACTTGTTTTGTTCTGATTTAATGGCTGACATTTTAGGATGCATACTTCACCTGGGGGAAAAAGCATTCATTTAAGCTTTGTGTTCCAGATGAGAGGAGGTATAATTGTTTAAATAGCAATTCTCTTGGGTATCAAGAGAGACTCAAACAATAATAAACATGTATGCACTTACTTAAATCTGGGTGGCTCCATTGGATCACTCTGCATCTCAACCATTCGAATGACACGCTGCTTGGCACCAGAATTATATGTTATCCCTTGCTGTGATGGGGTATACCTAAATCAAGAAAAAACATAGTATTCACTCATTGAATTTTTAATGCTAGAATTATTTTCAGCAACAAAAATAAGCATACCAATAATTTATAGTTACCTTAAAGTGATCAAATACATAAAAGGGATAGGGCTTCCTTGACTAGGTTCACTTTAGATGCATAATGCTTTGTATGCATTTATAATTTGAAAAGAAATTCAGGTAGTCTTATTTGTGCAAAGAAATTCTATGTAACCTGAATTCCTATAAATCCCTTAAAACTCCCAAAAGGAATCTGGCCAAGACAGAGATTATCAGCACACATGTCTAATGAGATTTAACAGCTCAAATGTCAAAATTATAAACTATCTCTTCAAATAGCATATAAATTGTGTCTTAAGATATTATTGAAGTACGCAATATAGAATGTTTTTCATCACAAGTAGGTCTTAATTTGGTTAATGTTTATAGTTTACATTAAATGTCTCACCTGATGTACTTTGCAGGTTCCAACTTTTTGGCTGCTTGAGCTGGCTGTGCTGCAGCAATTTTGCTATTAACTTCCTTCTCTAAGGCAAGCCTAGTTTTCTCTGTTGTCTGAGTAAAAAACAATGTGTTGGTAAGGACAGTTCAGTTCAGTTCAGTTCAGTGCATATAATTTTTAAATTACCTATATACAAATAATTTTAATACATTAAAAAATATTATAAACATCACAAGTTACACAAAATGGTGTGGGATGTCTTAGCAGGTCCACTGCATATTGTAATGGAAGCTGTGATGAATCACTTGTGCATTCGGAAAAGGACAGTAGTTTACATGGGTTGCACAGGTCTCCTTCACTATATAACTGATAATAAAGTGGATGACTTGAAACAAAAGAGGATCTTATTTACTTAACATACCTTACAAAAAATCGAGAAATTGTCAAATAAATCAAATATGCTAATAAAAGTGTATCTTCTCAAATGCAGGATGACTGGACATGAAATAAATACCTCTTTAATTGCCTCATCATCTGGTCTTGCTAATTCAGGATCATCTTTTTTTATTTGTGCTGGAACCAGATCTTGGAACTTTGAATGGATCACCTAGGCAAAAAGGTTACAATAAAGTTACTGGTACTGCAATAAAGAACAAAAAAAATAATACAGGCATTCCCCACAACTTCTTTCTCTTCTTCAAAATTCAACCCTATCTCCAATGATTCCTTCTAATTTGAAAATGTTACTAGTTTCTGAGACATTCACATTCCAAATATCTTCTTACACTCATTTCCTACCTTATCATATGACTGTCTAAAAACTCAATGCTCCTTTTAAATAACCTCTTTCTTCAACAATTTTCGTGTCTACGCACATTTTCAAACCTAAAAAAGGTTTGCTGAAAATGGTAAAATGAATAGCCTTCCCAATGCTTCTAAAACATCTATATATTAATAGGGCTTGCAGTGGGTGGGGGTGGGGTGCAGCGCCCTAGGTTATCTTTGAGATCCATTAGTCAAGCGCCCAGTGATAAATATTTTTCTTGAAGAGCACGATTACTGGATACTGATAGGTCAATCCATTTGAGAAACTCTTTTTAGAAGTTTTACATCCAATCCTTGTTTTCCACTACTCTGTTTTCGAATGTCTCCGTTTTCCAATTATTCAGTTTCCGTTATTCTTGTGCCATTCCCATTGCTGGCTTTTATAAATATTTGGCTTTTATCAGCTGTGCTTGTAAACATTTTATCTTATACATGTATATATAGCTATTTTATACCTTTTTTATGCGAACATCATAAATAAAAAGTTAATAATAATGATAACTAATTGCACTGGTCCACACCGTTTTGGCCAAAACAAAACTGAAGGTTTTCCCAAAACTCTGTTTTGTCCGTTTTTATATCCTTTGTTCGAGCTCATCTTGAAACTGAAGATGAACAAATTTGTTTTTAATTGACTCCGTTTTTCAACTCACTCATTCAAACAATTCATTTTTAAATGACCCCGTTCTCCAATGACTTCGTTTTTGCTGCTCCCATTAAAATGATTCATTTTCAAACAACTCTGTTTTCGGTTGATAACTTCAAACATCATTATCAAATGTCTCTAATTTTGAGCATATCAATGGGACCCAAAATCAAAAATGATTCATTTAGTTCCTTTTTCCTACAAAAGTAGAGTAATAGGAACAGGACCTGATCTCCAACATTCAAAAGCAAAATACGTACTTGATGTTTTAGTTCTTATTAAAATACCAAAATAAATTTCTACTACCCTACCTTATCTTGTTTCTGTCCACTTCTAAGCAAATCATCATACTTTATCTTTCCTTCTTGATCAACACGGATTGGTATAGCAGTTGATGCTTTCTACAAGCCAAAATTAACACCAAAGAGATATAAATAATAATAATACAAAGAGCTACAGACTAAGAGGGCCAAAAAATTACAAAAATGAGGATAAACTTATAGTTATAACCTATTGAAATAAGGAAAAAACCTACTGAGGATAAAGTTATTGATGCTTTTTCTCAAAAACCAATATAAGCTAATTCAGTCAAAAATATATTCAGTCAAAAGTATATAAAAAACAATTACTGAAGACTGCAGCTTGGGCTTAAAATTTTCAACCAGACCTCCTGTAAAGTGAATGGCTAGAATTCTCTCTTTCTTAAGTTCAGAATTCTAACCAGCTTTCTAAAAGTACAGATGTCTTCTAAGTACATCTAAAACTGTTTAAAAACAATGTGCACCTCCTTTTGTGAATTCAAATAGTACATCATGAAAACTAATTTGATATCATCTACTAGCAATCAGCTCTTCATAAGACTTGCATATAAAGAACTTGCAAAACTCTAGCCAGTTTCCACCAGCAATTTAAGTGAATTGGACTTCATTCTGCTTATCCTTAATGACAATTTTAAGCTAACCCCAAAGAATGTATAGTAAACAAAAGTTTTGGGTTCATCTCATCAATACTTTCTACCTGAGGGCATTTGCATTATGATTTATCCCACTCAACCAAACATTCCCTAACCTATGATGCTCTTTATACATCCATAATCTGACATACCTTTCTTTCTTTTCCCATTCCAAGTGGATATTGAGCAACATGAATTTCTGGAAAAGCGCCCCCATCCCCAAAGTCCTAAAAATAAAAAATCAAATCACATACCAACCCAGAACACATACAAAGTCATACTTTGCTGAAGAAAAATTCAGAACTATTATGGTTTTCAGATATATATATTTTCTATTTTGGTTGGTGATCATTAAATCAAAAAGTAGTACTTTCATTTTAGATTAATATTTTAGAACCAAGCGATAATGTCAGTGATCTTCTTTATTTGTGTTAGTGTAAGGAGTTATATCTCAATGAATATTGTGAGAAGCGTCTGTTTTGCATGGGCTGAAACATACTGGATCTGACTTAATGCAATAATACAAAATGTGCTCCAAGCTCACAATATATATAATGGTTAGTATTTAAATGACTTACATGCTGAGATATCAGTGGATACATATTGGATGATTTCAACTTTAAATTTCCAGGTAGTAATAATGCATAGAACAATCTCCGAATTAAATTATATATATATCAATTTATTTTCAAAATAATAAAATAGCTAGCAAAAACATATGATGTTATAATATGTATAATATGTGCAAGATTTGAAATATGATAACTACAATTAGAGCAAACAAATGTATATCAAGCATATATTGATATCATTGTATACTTCACTTAAGTGACATCCAATCTAGCTATATGGTTGAAATTTAAATGAATATATATGAACTCAAATTAGCCGGTAATTATTACCTCTGGCCTTCTTGGAATCCATCCTCTTCTTTGCCCATATGGTGGGTGACTTGATTTTATGGCCAGGTCTTTCACCTGTTATGAAAGTGTCAATCATTTACTATAATTTACTTATGTATGATGTACATACTGTATTTGAGGTAATAATAAAATGATTGATTTCCACAAGACCAGGTAGTATCACTGAATACCTAATACAAAGAAGAAAGATGGAAATCTTTTATAGTCCAAACCAAGCCAAGAAAATCCCACTACACACTTTAATAAGAAAGAAAAATTTTCCTATAATTTTCCTGAAGTTCTGAAATTGTAATACATAGATATGCATAAAAACCAATTCAAGCAATTAGTATCTTGCAAATCAATATAAAATCAATTTTATGCCAGCTTATTACAGTATTCTGTTAAGATTTTTCAACTTCAATAATTATTCAATTAAACATTTTTACCCTTGATATACACAAAAACCTCTGTTCTAATGAAATAAATATATTTTTGAGGATAAATATCAAAATGAAAAGAAGCACATGGTAAAACAGACTTACAGCATTAAATGCGTGTTCCAGATCATCATCATCAGCTTCCTGTTTTGTTATTTGTGTAGGAGCAGGTAATAACCTTGATAATAATACAGGGTAATAACAATTAGATAACAATTAGATATATAGATAGCATGAAAAAATATCAGATACCGGTTTTTTTCTGACTTCTCATTTACTAATGTACTAATATTTCAAAGTGCTCACAAATAATCAATTTAAAAATCTCAAAAAGATTAAAATTGGAACTTTTTAACATGCCATAACGGACATACGACTGATGGCATGGAGGTCTGGGTAGCACGCATTTGGCCTAAGGTTCTTGTTGTCCTTCAGCTCAGTTGTGGTTAAATGTATTCTAAATGCTCATACTGAACACTAAATCAAATGAAGATAGGACCGTTACCTTGCTAATGCCATACTGACAAGCTTTGACTTTAATTTAGCAGTTATTTTACAAAATATATCGTCTTTTTGAATAGGCTTATCTCATCAGACCTGCGGCCATTGCCAATCCAACTAAATGTCTCAACGAAGGGTATTGTTTATTGAGCTATTGCTCCACCGCAGGTGATGCAATAAGAGTTGTGTGGGTTCACAGTCGATTGGGGGCTACCGGTCAGTGGGGCTACTTTTTCCAGTGGTGGAAACAGAGTTCTTTGAGTGATGAGCCAAGTTCCTTTGTATTTCTGAGTTTCTCACCTGAGTAGCCATTTTCCTTTGATTTCCTATGCTAAGATATTGAGGTACCATACAATGTAGGGGGCAACTGACACTCCCCTAACCAATCAATACTTCCATTACTGGCCTTCTCTCTCTATATTCCCATTCACAGTCCCGTGTATTGCTAATGCATTTAATAATCTGTGGCTTAGATTAACTGAAAAGGCATGGTAAATATATTACAACTAACTATATAATGTTTTGTTTCTAATAGACTTAGAAGTCAAGACGTAGAAGCCTGGTATTTGCATCCATTTTACCCAAAAATGAAAGTTTATCAAGAAAACCCTTCTGTGAACTGCAAAATGATCCAAAATAAAATGAAAAGCGACTGAAGGCAGAAAAATGCATTGTGATGTCGTTACCAAATCCTCTTCTGCATACACGTCAATTTTTCTGGGGAGGGTACAAAAATGGGCTCACTTCATTGGCCAGATGTAAATTATGCATTTCGATCTCAATAAATCGCAAACAAACAAATTAACATCATAGCTTATTCTGTGCTGGATATGAGCCCTTTTTTGGAGCTGGAATTTCATATGTGGAACTGGATCTGAAATACTGTGGAGTTGGGAAATACAAATAAAACAATAAAGACATTCATTGTTTTCAAAGTATCATACTTATTCATATTATTTCGAATGAAACACTTTGACTGTGCTGATGTTGAAAACTGTACCGATCAGCTGATATGGCTGATTCACCTTTTTGTTATGGGATATGACAAGACTAATTACCTGAGCCGTAGATTTTGCTATTGAACTGAACTGTAGGACAACAAGGTTTCGGTTTGCGAATGTAGAGCAAAGGCAATACATCTAGAATACGGCAGATTACAATAGAAATTCAACCAACAGCCAGCGCCGCCGAAAGGGGGAGGGGGCAAGGGGCATCATAAAGTAATGAATAATATTTTAATGAATGCCAAAAATTGGTAAAAGCTCCATTGATTAGAAAAAAATGACTGCAAGAAATATTCTAAAATGTACTTTCAACTAATATAAAGGGCGTGGTTGCATACATTTTCTGCTTGCTTCGCTAGCAGGGGCTTCCAGTTTTGCCTTTGCCCCACAGACAACAAAAGCTGTTTACAGCCCTGCCAACACCTGTAACAAATTGATTTACTATACGGTCTAAAAGGTAAATAATGCTAAAAAATAAAATGCTGGTTTGAGGAGCTGGAAATTTTTCTTAGAATAAGCTCTGATTAACATGGTCCTTTCGATAGGGAATTGCGACAGAGAATAGCACCACACGGTCTGCCGTTACTTAAATAAAGAAAATAAGTTGTCGTAATATCCTAACGATGCGTTATGCATTAAAAAAATCAAAGCATTAGCTGAGGCCTATCTTCAGGATTCCCAGGGAGTGCTCGAGTACTCAAGCTTTCATATATGTCCTTCTCCTACTGAGCAGCATTTCATACCAAATTATTTACCATTTCACACCGTTTCATAGCATCTTTCGTTGAAATACAATTTGAATTGAAATTTCATAGCATCTAAACTGTACTGGCTGTTATTGAAAAATGTGTTTTCTTCAAGAAAATTGTTATTTGAGTAATATTCTTTAGCCATAAAAATGTTACATTTTTAAGAGAATGACCTCGAAGCAATAGTAAAGTACCAGTTTTTCTACAATACATTTCGCCCTTTGCTGCTGAATTAGTAACTAAAATAACCAATTCAGTACTTTTCACCCAACACTATTCAGAGTATAATGGTCAGATAGTGACCGAAAGAAGACAAAAAATTTATATCCTGAACTAAAATTTGTAACTTGAACTTGATAGTGGTTATCTCTATCATTTTTATCCTTTTAAAAAAATCCAGCTGTTTACCACTCGTTCAACTCCAATGATTTTGAAGTTATATCAACCACTACCAGGAGATAAAACATACATTGCACTCAAGTATCTGAAATATTCAGCTCCCTTTCAGGAGGATCATAACAAACAGGTCACTGTTTTCAACTTTACTGGTATCAAGCAAATATTAAGAGGTAGTGCTCATACACTTTGAGAGTGAAGCACAATTGCAATTGATGAAATCACAGACGTAATTTGGCATAATTGTTCAGATATCAAATTCATCAGCATGTATCAATTTTTTGCGTAAATTCATCAACCAGCAACAAACTCCAACCTCTTAAGAAAATAAGAAACGTAGAAATTGAGTGTCCTTCTTGTGGAAAAATGTGATGTTTACAGTTACCGTTTTTCGAAAAGATCTTTAGCACCAAACAAAGCACTACTACAGAATTATAAACTATAGTATTGGCGTTGAGAACTGCCTTGTTTCTTAAACAGTTAGCATCTAAATTCATTCAAGGGTAACTTTAGATATATTTCTTTGCCTTTAATAAACGTATCAGAGACCGTGCCTTAACGTTACAGTGCCTAGACATTAAAGTAGAAAAGTATGGTTTCTAGTGTTTAGCCCAACAATAATTACGTATCACATCGATAAATACGCATGACCCCTGCCCCATGCCCCCTCTCGCTTGACTAATCCTTATTAATCATCTTTGAATGCAACTTTGAATCAATCTCACAAAAGTTTGTCTCATCTTCCAAGACAATGTTAAGAGGCCAACCCCAAAAAAGTTAAGAGAAACCCTTTTCATAATTAAATGCAAGCTGGCTTTTAACATGTTCTTTTTTTGCTGCTAATTAAAATGAACGAAAAAAATCCGATTTTTTTCCATATTTTTCTTTTTAAAGTAAAAATTTCTCTTTAATAAAAATCTTTTTCTTTAAATGCTTCCCACGATTGTACCTGAAAGGCACAACTTTCTTTTGTAGTTTCCTTTGACAGTAACTGTCACAGTCATCTACCTTTACTATTTCAGAAATGTGGAGACGGCCTGTTGGAAGTATATACCAATGAAAAGCACCATGGAATGCAAAAAGCTTTCTTATGATCCATATCCTAGTCTACAAAGAGCTTATTTTTTGCTTTGAGACTGCCTGATTTAATACTAAAATGCCCTAACAGTCATTTCAAGTTTGACCCGGAGAAGGGCTTCAGATCTAATTTTGTCTTTACATCTTTCCCTTACCAACAGATAACTCCCTTTTTATTACAGAGTGTAAGAATTTGTACACCCCGTGAGCATAGACGTTTCGGGGTGCTTGACTATGGGAAGGCTGCTTGAGCGACGATTTGACCCTACATGCAGGTCCCATAAAATAGGCCGTATTTTACTAGGCCTTAAGAAAAACAACATTCTAAGCTTTTGCTTACGATTCAGTATTTTAATGAAACTGACACAAATTCTACAGAATTTTGTTCGTACTACTATTGAGCACATAATGTTTCAACATATTGATCTTTCAAAGATAGTCGCAACTTGCAACGAAAGATATAGGCCCATTATTACCTATTTGCCCTTCTATTCAAGTGACCTGCCTCGTTCAATTGGCGTGGCTAGACTGTCATTAGGTTTGACCTGGTGCCGAGCAATGCAGACTAATTCTGAAAGAAATCAGCGGGTCAAATTTATTCTAAAAATCTTGATTTTACATCAAATCTTACATTCATAAATTATTACAAATTCATTACGACAAGATACCAAAGCTTTCTCACCAGTAATAATTATTATCACATAAATATAGAACATCGGCGGTTATATCACTTCATTTATTATTGAGAATATTTATTTCATTAATATGAGTCCTTTTTAACTTTTGATAATTTCAGTTTAAATCTTGGTAAGAATTTAAGAAGAGTAATTCCCTGCCAAGCCAGAACTGAATGATTATTCAGCGGAAAGTATAATCTCCTTGTTCTAGATTATGTTTTACACCTAATATAGGCAATTAAACAGATGATAAATACATACAATAATATTCTATAAAAAGCAATCATATAAGCGGTCGCTATTATTAGTTATAAAGAAAGTTGAATTTAAAGGATTCTCGCAAAGAATGGGATATTCAAGATAAGGAATGCGGGTTATCATCATTTGGCGAGGTCCTGAGTATTTGAACTTTATTAAAATTTACAGTGATCTGTTACTATTTGTATGAAAATTAAAAAAGTCAATGATTGTTGATATTTTTTAAGGATCTGCATGCGTATTTGTTACTCTTTGCCTTGTTAGCTTGTTAGGAAGTTGGTGTTGTTCATTTTTGTATACACAACATGAATAGCTAGGATCAGCTTAATCTACTAAAGAGAAGCTCAACGTAGTTAATTCCTCTTCATCATCGACAATTTTATACCCCAGGAGATTCATGACTTCGTAACATTCAGTTTCGATCACCCTCACAATAGAATATTGCATCTGCACGCGCCAGTTTTGAACTGACCCTGTGAGGTTCTTAGCGTAGAATTCCTCGATTGATCCTGAAGTTGAAGAGCTGTACTGTGGAGGTTTAGTTGTTGTCCCGTAAGCTAACTTATCGAGCCACATTCGAACTTGTGGGGCTACCGGGACACCGACAAATTTATAAACAAGTTCCGTTATCTGATGGGGATTTGTGCCTAAGTCCTCGTAACGCAGCAATGTATACTTGCCTTGCAGCCAAGAGGGCGCAGTAATAGCATACTTTATGTTTCTCAGCATTTGAGAACACAGTGACCTTGAGAATTCCTTCACGGCTGCCGCAGTATGGTTGCCAGTAGAGTTATCGCTACTCATTAGATGAGTGTAGACAATTGCACGAGGATCACGAACAAGATGCACTACTTTCAGAGAGTATTCCGCGCTTTCCTTGTCCATAAGATAAGAGAGTTTGTGTACATCGTTAAATTGGATTGTTTTTGTGACTGTATGTTGATGCAATCTGCAAATTGCCGAAGTAGTCTTTGGTTTCAACGGTGTGCACATCCTTATGTTGTACCAAGGATAGTCGTGGTTTCCAGGGCATAACGGTGGCACAGATAAGGCTCTGCTTGCTAGACGGCTTCGCAAAGAGCTGTACTGGAACGACATATAGTTTGTAAAGTATGTTAGTTCGTCAAATTTACAGTGAAAGATTCCATCGAGCAAATGTGTGACCATGGCATCATAAACATCTGGGGGCCTGTTGTCTCTGTAATAGTCAAGTGAGCGCAAAGGCTCGTAAAGGTAAAAAACCTGGGGGTTTTGGTTAAACAGCTCACCGAGGAGAGAGCTTCCACAATGTTCCCCGGATAAAATCAATATGTTTTGTCTCATCTTGCTTCCGTGTTGGCTCATCCACGAGTTGAACTCCAGCATTTTGTTTAGTCTTTCATACATCGAGACTTTTTGTCGTAAATCACTGAGTTCCTTTTCCAAAGATGTGCAGTTAGGGCAGAGCAACTCATTTCTCAAGCAATTTGGGCCTCTGCATTCCAAATCTGCCAGTTCCTTGCTTTTAGACTGATCATTTTCTGGAACCTGATCACACAGTGAAGAATCTGTGTTGAATCTCGGCCTTGATCCACTGAGGAACAGAATTATGAACATAGCCAAAAGCAAAGCGACACATAGAGCAGTTTCTCTTGGCCTTCCAAGCGTTTCCAGTACCATGTCTTCATAACAGGCCACTGAGCGTCAAATGTTAGGCTTTCTCAAATTATCGAAATTTCTTCAGGCTCCCTTCTAATGTAAATTTATTTGAAATGTTAGAGAGTCTTTCGATCCATCGTATAATTTAACAATAGAATACATGTAGTGATCTATGACTCCGGTGTAAAAAACTCCGAAACAGAATACTCGGTTATCGATACTCAACTCTGTTTTCGATGCTTGAAAATCACATTTATGAAAGTAACCTTAAACGAAGAAGCCACTGATTACATTACCAACGTTGTTCAAGCGTACATTTCCTTGGAGATGCTCGAGCATGACCTCGGAGGCATCTGAAAATGTTGGAGAGTCAAACCTGCTTGATCATTCATATACACACACAGGTACCGACTGATAGCCGCTAGGGCAGTTTGAAACTACCACTCTCAACAAAAACCAATCAGAACAAGCCATTTCCCGAATTGACCAATCAGAGCTCAATGTATTGATGTTTGACGGTATGATATCAACTTTGTTTATTGGCAAGCTAATGGTTTAGGACTCACTATTTTATCGAGGCAGTGCAGTGACCTTTTCAATTAGCTGGAAAACTAAGCATTGACTTCGAGGGTATTATGGGAATGTCCAAGGTCTGCTAAGGTCGCAGCAGCAACAATAAACTTTCCAGTTGACCATCAAAAAACTGTATTTGTTTCACTAGTTTGAAAATGAAAAATTATCTATCATTATTCAAAAAGCTTAGACAATAGGTGAATGGTGGGCTTTCAATTAGCCTAGGTAGACTTACACAGAAGAAAACTGTATAAACAAGGCATAATCAACAAAAACACGAAAAGGCCTAACTCTACTGAGGAGCTTTCGGATGATTCAAAGTTCTCATAATTATAATTGTCTGGCAGACAATGAATTTGAGCAGGGCACATTGCTATCTATTTCATTCACTGCGAAGGAGCAGGCGGGTCTATTTCCCAGAATATCTTTGCACTGCAATATGATATCTTTGCACTGAAATATTTTGCATAGACAGGCAATTAATGTATATTCAACACCTAATTGACTCAATTTCATGAAATAACTGACCCGAGATACCCAGAAAGTGATCTTAAAATGAATCTAAATTTGTTCTTGCAAAGGTTGGGTCACTAGATAATAATGTTCGTTCAAGCATGTGCACATAGACTGTCAACATTTAATTTGTTGTATACTTGCCTAATCGAGACCAATTACTGCGCGTGACATCAGTAACACTTATTATAATACACTGGGCACCAATGATTTGAGCCTGGGTTGCCAGAACGAGGTAAGAGCAAGGGTTATCTGATAGCTAGAGGGATAATGATACCAATGGGATTGTGAGCAACGCAATCACTGGGAATTATCACGCCAACACTATTATGTAATAAGAAATAATAATTTACCAAATTTCAAATGAACTAGAATGAACGAGACGATGATGTCTGGCCTATTTAGATAATTCAAAGAAACGTTTTGCACGTGAAATGGCAGAAATGTTAAATGTTTGCCACGCACCTGAAGGTGCAAAACCCTGCTTGCTTCCCATTTACTTTTTGTAGATTGTGATTTGCTTCTGATAAACTGTCGCCGGGCCAACGCTTTTACTTAAACTGAATATAAATTGATTCACCACCATATTTCCTGGCATAAAAGTGTTTTAAAAAGCGATAAAGATATTCATTTTATGATTTTCATCCTAAAGATTTTCATCATCAAAAGATTATCGACAACATGCATTTATGAATTGAAGAAGTCACTTTATTTGGTTTTTAATGAAATAGATGAGTTGGGACTGAGAAAGCAAGTCAAGTTGCATCGGGCATTTTCAGCAAAATAGAATGTCTACAAGTTGAGCAACATTTAACAACTAATCGTACCTAGGGAATGCAACAGCATGGTGGCCATAGAAATTATAGCAATAGAGAGAGGTGGCAGAAATTGAAGCAATGATACGAAAGCAAGCACTTGAAAACGTTTTGTAATTTAGAATTAAAGGTATAATGTAGAATGTTAACACTACCATTAGTTAGGCAATACTAAATAAACATTTGCTAACGAAAATAAAAATCTGCATTTTATATCACTGAAAGATCTCAGTTTGTTATAGGTGTATACGTTGGTTGACGATGTGGTGGCATGAAAATAATGTGAAAATGTGATGGGTTTAAAGATTCAATTCCTATATGCCATAATAATGTGAAAATGTGATGGGTTTTAAGATTCAATTCCTATATGCAATAATAATGTGAAAATGTGATGGGTTTTAAGATTCAATTCCTATATGCCATAATAATGTGAAAATGTGATGGGTTTTAAGATTCAATTCCTATATGCAATAATAATGTGAAAATGTGATGGGTTTAAAGATTCAATTCCTATATGCCATAATAATGTGAAAATGTGATGGGTTTTAAGATTCAATTCCTATATGCAATAATAATGTGAAAATGTGATGGGTTTTAAGATTCAATTCCTATATGCTATAATAATGGTTGTTTAAAAAGTAAACATTAAAATTTTTGTGAAATCATATATTATTTACACAAACACTTTTGACTTCAATACAAATACCATATAGTTTATTGTGGTACCTTGACCAAAGCGTGTAACTTTCAAAATACCCATAGATTAGCCTCAGTGTAGCAACTGCTTAAAGATTTGTTGCTTTTTCACTGTTTAATGGCGTGACCAGATGGGAACTAGGGACAATATCAGGAAACAATCGACCTTGAATAACAGAGGCCTTACTCAAACTGACCATTGTAACACAAAACTCTTAGAACCCCTCTCTTTTAAAACCCTGGATACACCTGTCGTATCAGATTTATATTCATATATCTATTCCTGTTCACAACCAAGAAAATTACCATCTTAAATACTTGATAAATGAGAAATGGAAAGATGTCCTCAAATTCTATGTATTTTGTCACTGAGATGTGAAGGTCAAAAAAAGTTGAACATTGATATGGTAAGCTTATTGCCTTACAGTGCAATTAAATAGTGTAAAACGGTGCCACAGTCACTTTTGACTGACGATATATAACGATAACTTGCATAAATTAAACTATGTTATCGAGCTTAGGCTATTGAGTATAATCATCTTGCTTGAAGTTTCATTACATTATTTCGGCTGAGCTTCCAGTAAATTACAATAATTGCACTGCAGGTCGCTTTTAGATAGAAAAAGCTTCCAAAAATATGGCTGATTAGTGGTTTTTCAAAGAAGTACAAACAACATGGAAATCTAAATCTGAGAAAGTAAAGTTGCTGACAATGAAAAACGTCTGTCTACACAAGTAGTGATTAAAATAAAATGATTAACAATTCATACTTGAACAAATCAACACTCGATGAACACGGCACTCTAACATTTCTACAGCTTAATTTCGCTTGATCAAACGGCGCGCACATATTATTTTCGACAAAAAGGTTAAATCACAACTTTGATTTCAAGATAGGCATGGCTGGGGTAACAAATACCTCGGGTGAGAAAGTACCGTGGAAACCATACGGAACATGGTGCTTCAAATTGATTTTTGCAATACAACCCTTGTGGACATTCTTGGCATCCAGCACACAGAAACTGGTCAGATGCTTACCAGGATGGTAGAGCTGCACCAAGACATAACCATCATCTTCGTCACCATGATCACGACCGTTGTATCCAAATCGGGGAACGAACGTCGGCTCGCCAATTATGCCTTCTGAATACCAAACTTGCCTAATCTCGCCAAGGGCATCGAACTGAAATGAATCATAAACATCGTGAAAAAAACTCATATCTCAGTAACTAAAAGTATTTAGGCACAATAAATATATCATAACCAATATTTACACTGTTGTAACAACACATTAACCGATAAGATGCAACAGTATTCATTACCAGGGGCGAAACTTCACTATTTTCATTAGGGGGTATGAAGCTTCGATGCCCGACGAAAGAGCGTGTCATGCTTGATGGAAGGGCGTGCCATGCCTGAACATAATTTTTAGGGCACATCGCCTCAAGGGTTGAAATCATCGGGGACCCCGAGAGAGGGTCACTAAGTTTGTAGCCCTTCAGACTCAGGCTGTTTTTCAAAGTCAAAAAATGCCCCTAGGTTTTCTGGTGTTGGCTATAAACAAATGTTTCCGAAAAGCAAGCATTTGTAAGGCCTGGCTTTTCTATAAAAGAAAAATAGTTTTCACTTGCTAGATCTCCTAGCTATAAAGAGAGCAATTTAAAAAAGAGATTGAAGTAGAGTCTCGATTTGATCACAGTAGAACAACAAACACAGCTTAGCAATTTTGGAATTTAGAAACAGACTAAAATGATTCAACAAAAACAGTAATCCCATAAAAGAGCATCAGTTTTATTTTCTGAGTTTGATTTTCAACTTTTGGCTGCTCCGTAAGGAAATTAAACATTTCTAGACACCCAAGCACAAACTTTCGGCTTAAAACTTTTTGTTACTTGTCACAGCTATTTAAATTTTATTTAGTAAAACGGCCTTTTTGGCGAAGGGTGCAATACTTTCGGACTGTAAGTGTGAAACCTTTTTCGTGGCAGTTTTTGGAGAATTTCGGGGGACATAACTCCTCAAAAATGTATAATGAAAGTTTCATACATTTGGAAAAAAAATGTTGCTTAATTTTTCTCAACAACGTATTCCGAGATGGCATATCCTTCATTCTTTGATTTATTATGCTTAAAAAATGGTCAGTGTTCCATGGGCTGCGACGCAGGATGAAAAGGAGGCGGGGGTGGTCAAGGGAAAATTTAGCAATCATAACAAAAGATTTTGAAAAAAGCTATATTGTTTTGCAAAAAAGTGGGGGGCATGCCCTGTGTTCATTTCCTTCTTGCATCAGACACATTTTTCTCTCCGTCTATACTTTCGCTGTCGATCACTACTTCAGATTCTACTTCCTCATCTCGAGGCGAAGATAATTATGTGCATGTCAAGCTCGAGGCGAAAGATGGATATGTAATTATGTTGCTGTTGCTTGCCTCGTTTCTGTTTTGTTTTCCCAGCTGGGCGGAGATTGATAAAAGATGAGGTAAGGCCTCCTCCAGGCCTTACCTCATCCTCCAGCCAGGCCTTCAAACGTTTTGAATAAATTGGTGAAACAAACAACATATTTCCAATCTCCCCTCCTCTCTCTAGAAATAGTTTTCTTCTTTTCGTTCATTTTGTATCTTTAAATTGTAGTCAATTTAGTTTCATATGTTGAATGTAAATTACCACAGGGTTGCTATGTATTCCCATGCTCTTTGTGGTGTCGTCTGGTAAATTTGTGTATGTTTTTGTAAACATTTTATGTGAATATAAAAAAAGAAGATGAAGTAAAAAAACCATTAATTCAAAAACCAAGCTGGGGCAAAAAGTAGCAATAAATTGCGACCTAAACAAAATTTCCAGATTTGCCCGACCGATATACTGGCAGCCATAAATTTGTCCGACAAAATCTGCTTTTTTGAAGATTGGGGAGGGGGTGCAACCCCCGCCAGTAGTTTCGCCCCTGCAATCATTACCTCTTGACACAAACCTAAGAAAATCGAACTGGATAGAAGCGAAATGTTTCCTACCTTGATGACATCTCTGTATGGGATATTCTCCCCTGGTCGATCATTTGCCATTAGATAATTGTACCGTGTTCCTGACAGTCCTTGCCTGTATGGATGGCTTGTTGGAAACTCAACAGAAGCATCATCTTTGATTTCATGTTTACATGTCTTGCTGTTTAAATCTATGACAAAATTTGTGACTTTCCCAGGTGCAACACTGGTATTGCTTAGCCACACCTCGCTATCAAAGTCCATATTGAATTTTGGACCCAAACATGGAGCTGTAAATTTCAATAAATGGCCTTCTTGCTCGGCTGTTCCAAAATGAAAAATCTGCCAGGATTGAAATAAAGAGACATTCATATATAATTCTCTTACTCTTAACAGCATAACTGCGGCAGTGATATATTCAGGTAACCATGTCCTACATGACTAAAAAGCCAACAATGGACATGATATACACATGAAAACAAGCAGGATAATAAAAAATTGCTAAATATATTGAAAATGCAACATATTGAAGGAATATCAAGCACTCTTTAATGAGATACACTGAAGATATTTTCGACAAATCGCGACCAGAATAATGATTTCTCATTTGGTACAATCCCATAATGATTCCCGATACTTGTGACAGGAACCTCAATAAATGTGGGAAGTGCTACGAACGATGAATAAATACTTGTTGTAGAGTGACAAGAAACATATATTAAGGTTTATAAGCATTAATAACGCCGTACATGAAATGTTCCGGTATCAACTGTTACAATCTGATCACTTTTTGCTGGATCTCGTGGAATAATGACGAATTTTGAAGGAAGATCTTTATGGTGTTCCATCGCTTCCCCAGGTGAAGTCCATCCTGCTGCAATTTTGAGCGACAGCCATGTAGTTACCTTGACAAACGGAGTGATATGGACAATGTAGTACTCGGGCAAAAGAGCAAAGTCGTGCATGTAATTTAGTCCTTCTATTAAGCGTCTTTGTTTTTGGTGCAACGACCAGTCCTCGTTGAACTCGAAAACATCCAGGCATGGTGATCGTCGAAATCCAGGGCGTTGGCTGAAGCATACAAGACGCTGAAAGTCAAAGAATTGTAAGAAAGATTAGAAGAGAAGCACGGAGTTAAGTTACCACCAACATGATAAGCGTTAACTCCACAGAGAGATTAGATATTCAAATGAGGATTCTGGTTGGGAGCAGGCCTTTTCAACAAAGATACAGGAGACAATTTCCGTTTTTCTTGACCATGCACCATTTTCCAATTTTCCTTCTTTGATAAAGGATAATATTTCAAAATACCGACCGGTGGTAAGCTGCTACAAAATAGAAGCTAGGAGGGGGGAGGTTACTGAGGAAGATCCAAAGCAGAGCAATTCTTAGGGCACACGCCTTGAATGGCCTTATTGTTAATTATTCCATTGCAACACTCTTCTTAATGTGCTTTCTTCCATTGATCAATATCAAAATCAATATCAAATGACCTACCTCTCTACCCAATTGTAGAAGAACTCGGGGGACCACTACTGGACAAAAGTGGGATAATTTCCCCTTAAACCCCCTTGTCAATAGAAAGCTTAAAAGCACAATAGCTTTTTGCTACAAAAGTTTTTGTCTATAAAACTTGGGTCACTTCCCTCTTCCCCTTTTCATTTCCCTCTGCATGACAAGCAAATTGTGAGGAACAGGATAGGAAAAGGTCCTTGGAAAAGGGGGCAAAAATTCTTTCACAAAGAATAAATCATTGTTGCAATGTACCACCTTATTAACTGCGTCAATTTTGAAATGTGCACCAAGGCATCCAAGAGACAGATTTCCATTCAAGTTGTCTAGTCCAAGTGTTTCTAAATTGCGTGGGTCAAGGCAGTACGGCAGTGATGTTTCATAAAGAGACAGAAGCTGCAAGAAGAGAAACTTAAGTTATCATTAAGAAGAGAAACAGAAACTGTAATATTTTATAGATATGCTATTGGGAAAATGGCTGAATATCTTTGAAAGTATTTTCTAACAAAAAACTGCCAATCTTATAATAAAAGCCAGTGAAAAATATTCTGCTCGGTTCACTCGCCGGGGACCCTCGCCTGTACGTCTACAGAATGTTTTACAATTTCCCCTCGTCTTAGGGTTTATATAGGAAAGTCCTTCATATACTTTAGACATTCCAGATAGAATAGAAACTAATATGCTTCAATCCTTAAAAAACTGGATTCTGAAATGCTTGTCGGGCATTTTGCAGATTTTTCTCCAAGGAAAACAGACTTGTTTGAAAATTTCGAGTACTGTTTATTATTTTTAGACATTTACTTACAACTTTTGAAAATCAGTTTTTACACGCAGAGCCTCCAGTTTTTACACGTAGAGCCTTATTCAATTCAGAATATTAACATTCATTTTTCATTTGGGTGAAACCCCCAAACCCCCTGCCCCCAATCTCTTTCTGCTCCAATTTTCCAACCCTGGTATGCCACTGCTCCTACATGCCAATACAAGCCAACTTTAAAAACAGCAAAACCAACTGTAATAATATTAAATGATAAACAGTTGCAGCTACAAGCTTTATGCTTCTGCTGCAAAAAGCTGTAGTGAATCCCTGTCAAAACCTAAGTGCTTTTCTGATAGTATCACCAACCTAACCATAAAGCCATATGGGTCAGACAATTTGCAAAGAGAGGAAAATTTAAAGGAGGGGAAAAAGTTTAGATTTAGAAGTTTAGATAACATATCAACATTAGAGATGAAATAAAAAATTCTTCTGACATATTCAGAAAATTCTTGTGCTATATTCAGCTTTAAAAACTTTTGTCTCAAAAATGTAACATTTATATAATGAATAGAAAACCAAGTTAAAATTCTGACAAGATTTGAAGCTTTTTGACAAAATAGCAGTTTCTGACCCCCCTCTATCTAAGCCATTGGGTCAGGCAGTATTTGATGAAGCTACCAGTAGGATGGTTTTGGGGTGCTTCAACTTTAAAAATTATAGGGTAAACAGAGGTTAAAGGTACCAATATATTGAAAAACAGAAAAAACAACACTAAAGATTGAACTCTGATAAAGTTGCCCTTACGGTAATAAATATTGTTATCCCTTTGAGCAAATATTAATTAAATTATATTTTTTTTCTACATCAAACAAAATGTTTTAAAAGAAAATGCAAATGTAAACCATCTACCTTTCCACCCCAGTAAAAAACATTGGTATTTGATGGATTACGAAGCTGTAAATTCAAACTCTTTCCAGTAACCATGGAAGACAGAGCCTTCAAACTGTCACCAACAAGTCTTTTATTTCTAGTTCCCATTTGTCCTGCATACAAAAACTTTTTCTTTGCATTCTCCTCCAGTCTATGCTTTGATAAAACATACTTTGATTGGAAATGCACTTGACCATCAATAAATGTCAAGGAGCAAACCATACCATCACCATCAATGGCTGGAGAACAAATGCTTGTGTATATATTCAAATTTTAAACATATTCTCAATATATAATTTCAAATATATTCGCAAAACATAACTTTAAATATATTCTCAATACAAAACAGCTCAGTTAGAAACCATGCTTGGAAATGAAATCATATTGTAACCTTTCTAAGGCACATCCTAAATGACACAACATGTTCACAGCACAAAGGCTCAAGCAAAAAGCATTCAGTCCATTGACTGAAAAGTTCCTGAATGTCCTCAAAATTATAGATCACAGTATCAGATATAACTATTACTTTAAACACCAACAAAACCGATTAGGAAACATGCAAATTGTATAAAAAAGAAGTGACACCAAGGCAAGATAAGTTGGAAAAAACTATGCAATTATTCTGGTTTCTGGCCTATAAGCAGTGGTGGCACTAGAAATTCTCTGACAGAGGGGCTTGACCTTCCAATAGGGAGGCTAGGCAATCAGAGTAAAAACATGGAATCCAAGACACACAAACATTGAGATTGTGACAGAATATGAATTCAACAAACAAGAAAGAGCAGCTCTTTAGAGCTGGGATATTATTTTATGTGGGGGACTCGCCTTTTTAACAAAATAACTATTCTCGTCATTCACACATCCAACTCTGGGCTTTGGTTCTCACTGGCTTCAGTTTGCCATTTAACAGTTAAAACATTAACATGCCAATGAATGAAGAGGATCAAATCGAAATGAAAAGAAAAACAATCAAATATACCATCGACTATCATTGATTTTTAATATGCCACTGCCGAGTTTGCCGAGTAAACCCCAAAAAATGCTGAATCTGCCAAGTTAAGAAAAGATTCAGAACTCTTCAGGGTGGAGGGGGTGTCACCAATGGAGGAGGGTGAAAGGGGTGCCCTGCAGACCTCAAAGCAAAAGGTTTGTCTATAGGTTACTAGTGAAAGCTTTACCAGTGTACATTTGTCTTTACCAAGGACAAACTTCTAAGCAATAAAAACAAACTTGAAACTTCATTGCCTATGAAATATCTATTTTTCTATGTGAGCGTAAATTAAGTGTCAAATTTGGTTTTCCTTTGTAATAAAAGCTTCTATCTCACGGCATATGATTTTTGGTGCATTATATGGGCAGTGCAAGGAAATTGGGCCCGGGGGCTAATAATAAAGTTTAGTGAGGCAGGAGGACCCACCATGGTTAGGGCCAACGTGAAAGAAAATTTTTTGAAATTACACCTTGAAAGTATCAAGTAGGGCTAAAAAGTATCTCCCAGACTGAAATTTATCTTGACCAAAGTGTGGGCCTTTAGCCCCCTAGCCCCCTAGCCCCCCAGTGGGGCCGTGCCTGTCATGAAAATAATTTACAGCTTAAATTAATTTGTGTTGACACAACCTTGACCTCGTAAATATATGCATCAATCATATTTGCATCTATTGGCTATGACTCTCTGTAAGAAATACTTTTATGCGTTTCTGTTTCAAAGTTCATACTTAAATGCCATACTTTGAAAGTTCAACTGCACAGAAATGTTAATACGTTACAACTGTTACAAAAAAGTTATAGGCAGAGTACAAAAACTGCTTATTTTGCCCGACAACAATCCTTAATGTGCCGACGGACTGAAAGTTGGGGAGGTACCGCCCTCAAACACCAGTCTGCAGAGTGTGGCTGACGCACGCGCGAGGTCAGGATAGTGCTGCACGCCAAAATTTTCGGATTGAACACCAAATTTACTATAGTGCTATTAAAAAAACTTAGATTTGCACGCAAAATGATTAATAAAGAAAGGTTTGCACGCAGAAAACATGGCGTGAATGAGTACTGCACGCGCGAGATCTCGTCGAGAACTGCCATACTCTGCAGACAGGCTCAAACACCCCCCCCCCTTGGCGACGCCCCTTGATTTCTGGTCTGCCGGAGATCTCACATATAAAAACGAATAAAACGAGCCGGGGTGGTATGGAGCCGCAGAAAATAGACAAGCGGTAAAATAGGAGAATCCGGTCTCAGGCAGAAAATAGACAAGTCCCTAAAACCTCAATTTTTTTTTAAATAATCATTTATTATGTTATTTTAAAGAGCTTAATCGCATTAGATAGCGCTTTTTACGATTAAGAACAACATTTCAGGCCTTGATAGGAATTCAGCAGTTTTAAAAATGAGATTCTCTAATGTTATTACTAGCAAAAAAAGTCTTATCGTAAAACTACCCTGTCATTTTATGTCAGAATGATAAATCAATCTTTTTCTAGTTATACTTGATTGAATTTAACAATAAACGTTCTATATTTTATAAAAAGCAAACGAAAACAAACCTTCCTTTGGCAGGCCCCCGTTCGCCGCTATTGTCATCCCTCTCAAGGATCTGAATTACCGCGCGGTACAAGATAGTTAATGATAACCAAACATTGTATCATTAAATCAACATTAAAGGCAAAATATTCAAATATTGCCACCCTAGCAACAGTTTGAAGCTAATCGTGCTTCCATTCGTCCGTGCTTGCATTTCCCCCGAAGAAATGCGTAGATTTTAGCACGGATCTCCGTGGCTCCGAGCAGGCAGAAAATGGACAAGCCGGCTCCGACTTTTAACACAAAAAGTTATTTGCAGATTTTCTTCTCACCTCGCTGTGATTTCCATTCTAATCGAGTTTTTAAGCAATTCTTTGCAACATTTACGTCTAGAACAACCTTTTTATTTATTTCAAACAAAATATTGCCATGTTTTCTTTCACTGTTAAGATAGGCATGTAGCGGATGATAAGATAGGCAGATAGCAGACGAGAAAACTACAATATATGTTTTATTATACTACAATATCATTATTATGCTAATTTTGTATTATACTGTTACGTCTTATTTACAATTATATTTCAGCTGCTAATTCTAGCATTAGAGGACATCTTTGAAGACTTTACAGCTATGTAAAGATTATAAATGTAATTTTTGTCTCTTTCGTTTGCTTTTAGACGGCTCTTGGTTTTTGCTACAATTACAGCATTTCCAATTCTCTTCTTTAAAAAGACCTGTTTCGCAACGATTGTGAAACCATGAATCGCAAACACAACATTCAGTCATAGGTTCCTTGGTGTAGGGCATATTACAGTGGCAGTAAAGTCGTACATTTATTTCGAATAAGGCTTTTGGAATTGGCTTATAGATACAGGGCTTATAGATACATTGTCGAAAGACTCATTTTCTAAACTTTTTAATAAGAGCCTTTTAATCGTTGGTACTGATAATGTATCCTTCTAGGATCTAGTTTTCTACACAGACAAAGTGCATGAAAAATAGCGGCAACGCCCGTCTGTGCCATCTTATTAATTTTCGTTACTTTAACAACGTTGATCTGAAATTGCTTGAGGTTGTCCTAAGGAGTTTGGCAGCAAACACTTCAAGGGACACATGATAACGCACTTCTCTTTTTTCATGTACATAATACGACCTTGTTGAAGAATCATAAAGATCAACAGAACCTTTTATCGAAAAAACATTTGACAATACCGCCCATGTAGTCTGTCCAGTTCTACTTTGCTTTAAAGGTACTATTTGAATGAATAGGCGACCATCCCCAACACAATCTGACAACCTAGATACGCAGTCTAGTCCGTAAAACTCTGAAAATTCCGAATGCATTAAAGTTGAAGCAGCATCTACAATTGTTATTGTTAAAGACCCTCGCATTTCCAATAAAGCTTTCTCGTGATACCCCAGCTTCAAGTTTTGAACCCAATACTCGCTTTGGTCACTAGTGTTGTCACTTCTGAGGTTATTAAGATTATTTTTTTCCACGCAATAATCAATTTTTGGTGGTAATGATGTTGATAAGCAAAGGAGCATGAAAATGATTTCGATACTTTTTCTGTTTCTGGATGTCTCAAAATACTAACAGTAGGGTCGCAAACTCCTGGTGACAAAATCGAGGCCCCCGAATCTGAGTTCGTGTCGATACAATTTTGGTCATCAATCGACAACGAACGGTACACCGTTCTTTTATCACACAACGTAGAATTTTTCGACTGCAAAGAAATTAGGGCATGGTGCTCACAGAATGCATTCTGTGCATTCTCAGGTGCTATATTCATAGAATGGATACTGTTCATAGTTCTTTCGGTCTGCATGAACGACCAGCTACTGGCATTGTCAACATCATCAGTGAAGTTGTGTCCAAAGGTTGCCCTCCCTAGGGAGTCCAAATTTAGAACCAAATTTGTTTAATCTCCTTTTCTTTCGGCGAAAGTATGATTCAATTTTTCGTTATGCAAATCTATTATTGATTTAAAAAGAAATATATGGTTTGTTGGGTCATCTGATTAAGAAAGTGCTTATTTCTATTGAAAACATTATGTAATTGCTCAACAACTTCACTGTTGATCTTGCCACGAAGTTCTCTTACACATCCTATCCGCCTCAGGGCTTCGACTTCCTTATTTGTATTGGATTCGTGGAATCTATCAAAGAGGGCTAAATGAATGTTACTTTTGGTCACTGGGTGCCCCTCAGACCCATCAACATCTTCACCAGCCTCCTCGTTCCGATCTAACCATGGAAAGGATATTTCTAAATGCCCATTTAAAGCAAGACGAACACTTTCTTGTGATGGTTCGGCAACCCTTCCTTTGTTTGGGAAAAAGAAATCGGTCTCGAAATTGTTTCCATGTGATGCAATTATATGTGCCATGTCGCAAATAAAAATATTGGGTTTGAATTTCAGACTCCTTAAAACGTCAATATAGTTTCTCGGGCTCTCAGCTCTAAGGAGGAACTTTATCGCGTAAATTACGCCATGTTTGCAAGCCATTGTTAGCCAGCCTCCTGAAAACCCAAATCGTTGTTTAAAAATTTTATTAAAGCCTCCTTTATCTTTCCCAAGAGCAGTTTTAATTCCGTTAATTATATCAAACTTCGATCCAATGGCGCTTACATTTGCCTCACGTGCTAATTTTCTTATATCTGGAAGCTTACTTTCACAAAGATGCCCAAGTAATCGTTCTTCCGACAGTTCTCGACAATCTGACTCAGGTTCACCGTTGTCTCTACGAATTTTTCTATGTTCGCTATTAACGACGAAATGACCAGACCGAGTATCGGCTCCAATGAAGGGGGCCCAAAATGATAACGTCGGTTCCATTAACAGCCCTTTGAAGCTTCTGCCAATAAACCCTTTACTCAGTATGTCTTTACCTACGTTTTCCCAAAAGTCCATACAGTTCACATAATCATCTTCACTTTCATCTGGTAGATTTTCATTTAAAGCTTTATACTTAAAAGCCACTTTTCGGTTCAAATCACCTACCAGTATAGTAGGGTAGTATCCACACCTTATGCAGAAAAACTCGTATTGTCTTTGACTAAGCGATTCAAAATGAATATATGCATTTATGACTTTGCTCGAGTCTACGCGAGAATCAAAAATTTCTTGTATCGCATCACAGAATGAGGCAAAAAGTCGGAGCCATGCTAGAAAACATGGCAATATTTTGTTTGAAATAAATAAAAAGGTTGTTCTAGACGTAAATGTTGCAAAGAATTGCTTAAAAACTCGATTAGAATGGAAATCACAGCGAGGTGAGAAGAAAATCTGCAAATAACTTTTTGTGTTAAAAGTCGGAGCCGACTTGTCCATTTTCTGCCTGCTCGGAGCCACGGAGATCCGTGCTAAAATCTACGCATTTCTTCGGGGGAAATGCAAGCACGGACGAATGGAAGCAAGATTAGCTTCAAACTGTTGCTAGGGTGGCAATATTTGAATATTTTGCCTTTAATGTTGATTTAATGATACAATGTTTGGTTATCATTAACTATCTTGTACCGCGCGGTAATTCAGATCCTTGAGAGGGATGACAATAGCAGCGAACGGAGGCCTGCCAAAGGAAGGTTTGTTTTCGTTTGCTTTTTATAAAATACAGAACGTTTATTGTTAATTTCAATCAAGTACAACTAGAAAAAGATTGATTTATCATTCTGACATAAAATGACAGGGTAGTTTTACGATAAGACTTTGTCTGCTAGTAATTACATTAGAGAATCTCATTTTTAAAACTGTTGAATTCCTATCAAGGCCTGAAATGTTGTTCTTAATCGTAAAAGCGTTATCTAATGCGATTAAGCTCTTTAAAATAACATAATAAATGATTATATAAAAAAAATTTGAGGTTTTAGGGACTTGTCTATTTTCTGCCTGAGACCGGATTCTCCTATTTTACTGCTTGTCTATTTTCTGCGGCTCCGGGCCACCACTGATGAATAAAACTGATGATTTCATTCAAATTATTCCCTCGCTTTTGGGTTTTTAATAGTTGCACATCATAAGGTAAGCAAAAAGTATTTTATGAGGTCAACGGCGGTGGACTTTGCACTTCTATACCATCAAAATTACATGATCCGGTCGCCAGACGGTTTTCTTGCGTGATAGTTCATCAATGAAAAAAAGGAAGATCATGCAATCTGTTTACTGTCTTACCAAATGAACATAAGAATCCCAGCTATACTATAGGACCGCATTGTCACAAGAAACAACTAGACAACGAGCGCTGCACGCACGACAACAAGTTGTTTACATACGCCATAAGTAACTTGATCCCTTCTCTGTAACATAAAATCTTATCAAACTAATATCCCCATAACTCTTTTTCTTGGGAAAACTTGTTTAAAGTTGCATCAACTTAATCTTTCAATGGCTTTTAATTTGAATTAACCAATCATTTAATCAAATATAACATCAAAGGCAGTAGTCGAGCTTTAGATGCTTACGATGTTTGAGTTTCTTTCCGTAAACTTCACTCAGTCCGGGTCCATTTCGAAAGAAAGTACCATGGAGTTCCTCAGGAACTCGACCTTCAATATCAGCTTGAGGAACCCAATAACAATATTCTATGTTTAAGCTCTCCCATCCTCTTTTACCATCTTCTAACAAGTCCTTCGTCAGTACACCGTGCGCCATTTTGAGCTTGCCTTATTCAAGTGCTGTGTATTTTTGTCGGGTATTTGAAAGAGGCTGTCATAGCTAAGTTGTCAATTTTCCAGGCCTCTCAAAAGGCATTTCCTTATAAAATTTGCTTTAAAAAATGAAAAAAAAACAAAATTATTTGATAAAAGAGTTCTCATTTTATACAAAAAAAAAAATCAAAGCATTCTAGAAAGTGTTTGCAAATCGGAAAGTTCAAGACCTCTAACTTCACTCTGTAGTGACTCTACTCAGGCCTGTTTTTGTTATTTTTTCCCCTTTCATTCATTCCATTGCATTCTCACTCACACCGCAGCATAGGCATCATCTGCGTCAAAATTTGATAAAATAAAATAACGACTTTGTACAAGAAATGAATATTCATAAGTATGTTAATTTGTAAGTAATTTTAGCTCAGTTCAGTTCAGAGTTCAGTTCTGATACAGACAACATACTGTCTCTCTTACTAGCTCCGTATTCTCTGCACATAAAATAAGACTCACTGGGTTTGGAAATGAAACGTTAATCGATGGATGGTTTTATTTTATTAGTGAACGAACGCCATCAAATAAATCCACAACAATGCGCAATTCTCGTTACACTAAAACTTTTCTTTTATCGCTTTGTCAAGTCTCATCGCCTTTATGCCTTTGGAAAATGCAAAGGTGTGACCCGCAACAAAAACAAAGCTCTGAGAATCAGGGGCGGATTTAAGCGAGAAGAATTGGTGTTTGATAAAAATAATGGGATTTTGGTGCCACACCCTTCAGGTCACTGGACAATGATGGGAATGCCCATTTTTAAAATTAGGTCTTTAACTTTTAGATAAAGAGGATAAGAAGATTGATTAAGTTAAATGTTTCAACAGGGCCTCCGACGAAGGGGGGACCATTTTTATGATTCTTACACTTTCGCTTGGCCCCTCTATTTCCAACCTGCGTCGGAGCCCATGTTCAATGACTGTCACACTTCAAGTGCAAAGTTCATGTAAGCATGGGCTCAAGGTTTACATTAGTCCCATTGTATTGTGAATCCATTAGCGCTTGCATAGACTATGGCATCTGTAAATAGATATTTTGTGTATTACGTAGTTGTCGTTTTAGGTTTGAGTAAGGTTACAAAATGGTAAAAAGAGAGTGTGCAAGGTTTTTAGCCATAGGCAGGCCCGTCGGAGCCTGTGAAGTTAAACGCCTGTTTTGTTATTATCTCATTTCATTAGATATCTTGAAGCAACTCCCCTTTTTACAAGTTAAAACATTATATGTAGTTATATGAACAAAAGAATAATTAACATAATTAGCATTGTAAGAAAAACGAGATAGATATGAAGACGAGGTTATACAATGTAAGAATTATCCTGCTACAAACTGGGGGGCTGGGGGGCCCCAGCCTCCCAATAATTGTCAAACTGTAGTTGTTTGGGAGATGAATCATGCCCGTCTTCCCGACATGCACTAGCCCCCGTTTCGGGGTCATTGCACATGCGCATTATCACTTGAAGCCCTGGCAGGAAGTTCAAGAATTAAGTGGTCGCAGACAGAACAGCTGTGCGGATACTGTTATTAATGCGCATGTGCTATGACCCCGCAACACTGATTGGTTTACTCTAATGTCTCTAATAGACGGGCCCCCCGTGTATTAATTTCAGAAGAATTTGCCCTCCCCCCGGCGCTTACTAGCACCCCCTTCTATTAAATTTTACAAATCAAGTCATTTGATTTTCTTTATTCGTTGTTTTTCGTAGTTTTTTTGTAAATTCTCAACCGTACAAAGGAAACCGATGATTTTTGACTTGGAAGTTAAAGGCTGTAAATTTGATTTATCTTTGTATGATTGCATTTTTTCTCTAAAACCATAGTCAATGCTAAAACTAAGCAAGAAACTGAAACCAAATTTTTACAGTACATTCTGAAAGGTACTTCAATTTCAAAGGAGGATTGCCGATATGAACACCCCCTTCTATTAGCACTCCCCTTCTATTGAAAATGGGTCGAAATGGACACCCCCTTCTATTAGGCCCCCTTCTATTAGAAACACTTGAGAAAGACGGTATTGTTTCGAAACAAGGGACTGATAGTTTCATCTCCCGAACAAGTAGTATGTGTCCTTTATAACAGTGCACTGAATGAGATGGAAAACAATAGGCAGCCCCTCGATATGAGCTTTGTTCCGACAGCACTGATATGTACTCTGATACTATTGACAGGGCCGTCGCTAGAACATTTTCATGGGGGGGGGGTGCAAAACCAGTGGTTTGCCGACAAAATGGGCGTGGCAACAGATACGGGCGTGGTTCTCAAATGATTATAATTATCATTGATAAAACTCTGATACTATTGAACCAAAAATCGATAACTGGTGTGAAGTAAGAGGTTGCTGTGGGGTGATCTGCGAGAACTGCAGATCAGGGCAGCCATGGTGTGTAAATCATTACAATGGTTTTAGTCAGACTTTCACACGATTATCTGATATTCAACTTTAACACTAGTACTGTATCATCTTAACCTACAATATGGACAGCTTACAGGCAAATGTCTTTCAGATATTGTTGAGTTGATGCTGACGCATGAAATAAACCAGATTCGGGCAATAAATAAGGCTCGTCAATCCTGTCTTTCAAATTTAAGCTGAATTTGGAAAATTATAAGAGGTGGTAATTTTGTAAGGGTTGATATTTCATGAGGGTTGAATTTTGTACCTGTTTATATTTTACAAGAGTCAGTATTTCAGTGTATTCAATTTTCCCAATCATTGTAGGTTTCTTTCTTTTATGAATTGCCATTTGTGAATCATTTATTGTGACTAAATTGTATCTGTTTATAAAGAATTTCAAAATTAGAGATATTGCAAAAAGCACTAGGATTGAAGTTCGTTCACTTCTTCTCATTTTTATATTGTTTTTTAATCCAAATGTCTGCTTCTGTTTCCATTTTAACTGTTTTATTTTTATCTCAATGAATCGGGAAATACTTCAGTTCTTCATAGCATCCTAGGGAACATTATATTGCAAAACTAATTCAATAGTACCTGTAAAATTACCCTTTCTATCAACGATTAGCTCACGAAAATTATGTCCTGTGATTTTGCTTAATTCCAAATTTAAATTTCGATTTACTAGTTTCTTCTGTAACTTTCTTTTTTGTGTTTAAAACGGTGGCTGAACCTTGGAGCCCCTCTACCATCCCCTTTATCTGTTTTTTCATTGGAATGTGGTCACAGGATAGAAAAAATTTATTTCTTTTCTGTGATATGGCCCTACTATAGAAATAGGGACCCTACCCTAAGCTGCCCCAGTCACTGATCAGTGGCCTAGTCAGAGAAAAGAGATTACCAGTGTTCTCACTTTGCTTCGTGTAAATTTCCCTAAACTCGCACGAAAATTTCCTCAGATTTCGGAGAAATTTCTTAGATTTACGAAAACCTGCCTTTGTTATTGTTATCATTAAAACAATTGTTGGCGTAAGTTTAGGTGTCAAATCGAGTCAGCAATTAACATTTTTATCCGAATACTTTTGGACGATCAAATTTTTGGACGATCAAACTGTAACTTTATTTGTCCGAAATCTAAGTTTATCCGAATTTTTTTTCGCCAAAGAGTTTTAAATTCTTAGCAATTAAGGAAAAAAGAAATGCATTAAAAAATACTCTTTCATTGACTAATTCTCTATACAAACATTAATACTATAGTTTGGAATAAAACATGATGCAACAACTTCATTGATATATATAATTCTTGGTTATAACTTTTTGTGGTTCAGATTCGTAGCTTCATATCAAGTCATCACTAGCAGTAGATTGTTCTGATCAAGGATTTCTCGATCAGTGCCGCCTTCATCAATTCTGAAACTGACATTTTTCTCTCATATAGCTTTTTAAAAGTTAAATACTTTTAAATAACAATCAATGTAAGTAAATTGTACCAGGAAAATTTTTTAAAATAATTAACGACGTTTCGAGCATAGCCCGTTAACAAGTAAATTAGAAAAGCGATGATAGAACTAAAAAACATTAAAGGAATATGGAATTTGACGAATGGAATAGGAAGACGGATGTAAGAGCATGGAAAAGAAATATATGGAAAAAGCTAATAAAAATATATATATATAAACATATACGAAAATACAGAATTTATGTATATGTATAATATGCACACTAATATGAAGAAAAGAAAAAACAAAGAAAAAGGAGGGGGGGGTTATTGAAGATACGTAAACTGTTTATTAAGTCCAGAAGGATAAAAAGTTCCAAGTTTGAAAATTATCCGTTTTTCCAGTGACTTTCTCTTTGCACTGTCCGTTGGGGCAAACAGGAGGCCAAGACCTACCATGTCATCTTCTGTGTGATTCGCCAGGTTAAAATTTTTGGAAATGTTGCTATCAGGATCACGGGCTATGCTCGAAAAGTCGTTAATTATTTTTAAAACTTTTCCTGGTACAATTTACTTACATTGATCATTATTTATTCATCATATTGTACCGCACGCATTTTAGTATATTAAATACTTTTATCGACAATCCAGCATTTTATCTTAATTTCAAAATCTTAGTTGTTAGAAACAGTATTCTTGTGTCGACGGAGGTACCTCATATTTTGGTCTGATATCTTGTACTTAGAACAAATTCAGTCCTTCACAAGGAAATTGTGATAGGTGATTTTTGATCAAGAACGTTCCATCTCTTTCAAGAAGGAAACATTAGCCCTTGAAGTTTTCTCAGTTTTCTTCTTTTTTGGCTACCCTTTACTGCCAAGCACAAAAAATTTCAAGACTCGTTTCTTCCCAGCTTTTCTATTACACCCATGTTATTGACGTTAAATTACAGTTGATATTGACCTATCATATAAAAAGTGTTTGTCTGAAAGTTCTTGGTCAGAAATTCTCAAAAATGTTTTTTAAAGACCCATTTGATGATTCATATCCCTCTTTTGCTTTACTTTTAATTCAATGCTGGATTTGGTTTAAAATGTGTAATTTTCCTTTATCATAGAAGTAATCAAAAAAATGTCTCAAAACTTTGGAATTTCCTTTAAATTTCCTTAACAAATGAAATTCCTTAAAAAATCAAAAATTTCCTTAGTTCAAGGAAATTTCCTTCAAGTTAGAACACTGGAGATTACTGTGGCTCAAATAGGCCAGCCTCTTTTTCAAACAACATTTCTAGAAACGAGTCCTTTATTTTTTTCCATTTTAGATTTGGTTGAAACTTCAGATAGTAAAGATAGCAGACAGGAAAAGCGAAGAAAACACAGTAAGTGTTCAGGTTGTTTATTACCTTTTGTCATCAATTAGCATTAATCTTTCTAGTTTTTATACCTGTACTGATAGATTAATCATCTTTCTGAAAATGTTACACTGTTTTTAGCAATTTGACATACCGGTTATGTTTTGAACTTGTATTTTTATTCAAATGTTCTGTTTAAATAGATCCTAAATACATTGAAATGTTTTATTACCCTCAAGGAATGTAACTTGAGCGATTCTTCTTCAAATGGAACAGCATCTTTATTTATGTTAATTCAAACTTGTAATTAACTGCTGAAAATATGAAATGAAATGAAAAAATGAAATTTCTGAATATACGGAGGTTTTTTGGAGGAAGGTAGGTGGGAATGAAAAAACTTTTCAATTTCTCGAAATCTCTGAATGTCTTCATAGCCTTATAACCTAAAAAGTAGTATTTGAATTTAGGACTTTGGTTAAATTTTAGATTTTCATTCTTCCGACTGAGTCATTGATGTACTGACAGGAAATTTTTGATGGATTTCCACAGAATTTATTATGGATCATGAGAATATTGGAAATGAGATCATTGATTTGAATGTTGGAGGGAAAAGGCAAGTTGAAATATTGTTTAAATTAAAGGATAACGCTCATAAGATATAAAGTTCCTCAATCATCTGAATGGATTATAGAAACAAATAATTTTTATTACTGTCCCAAATGCAGAAAAATTATCATACTATTAAAAATTCTGCATTTCTGACAAAAATTGAAAAAGTTGATTTTTTGTGTTAGATCGTATTGCTAAAAATTGTCAATGACAAAGTTTAAGGTTGTTTAAGCTATCATAAATCATCTTAAAACAAAATCAAAAATGGTCAAATCAAAAATGGAATTTAATGAACTTTTCCAAAAATCTGAGAGTTTTCTTTTGATAAAATTTAAAGCAAAAACAAATAATCATTTCAACAAGCAGGAGTACAGCTGAATTGTCATAATCCTGTTGTATTTGGAATAAAGAAAACCTTTTTCTAACTTATTATATTGTGAAAAAACACTTCTGCCACGCCCAAGTGGGTTTGTGATAAATAAAATGCCAACTTTGTGGAAAAAATAAAACATTCATCCCTGATTACGAACCAGGACTAACCTAGCTTTTATTGAGTTGAATTCATTAACATGCCCACGTTGTGGTAAATACAAACAGTCCCTCATCCAAAAATAGAACCAGGACTAACCTGATTCAAGGTTTGTAATCACTAACATGCCAGCATTATGGCAAATATAAATGATTTTCCTCACTGTAGTCAGGTGTCCCTAGTCAAAAACACGTTTTTCAATTGAAAGTGAAACATTTTCCTCACTGTAGCCAAGTGTCCCTGGTCAAAAACACGTTTTCCCAATTGATAGTAAAAACATTCTCTCTTCTGAAACCAGAACTACGTGGTCCAAAACAAGTTAGCAATTATAGTGAAAACATTCTCCCTGTTGAAGCCAGGACTAACCTGGTCAAAAACAGGTTTGCAATTTATAGTGAAAACATCCTCCCTGCTGAAGCCAAGACTCACCTGGTCCAAACAGGTTCGCAATTTAAAGAAAAACCTTCTCCCTGTTGAACCAAGGTTTAACCTGGTCCAAACAGGTTCGCAATTTTATAGCAAAACATTCTCCCTGCTGAAGCCAGGAATACCTGGTCCAAACAGATTTGCCCTGAATAGGAAAAAAAATATCCTCCCGGCTGCAGCCAGGAACAACCTTATTCAACCCTTTTTCTATAAAACTGGGATGTTGCCTCATTGTAAAAAGTCCGAACGATTTGTAAAAACTTGCTTAGATAATGAAAATCAGCTGGGCAGTGAAAAATGAAAGACAATGCCAATCAGCTACCCAGTACAAACGAAAGAGAGCAATTGCAAATATATTCCCTGTCAATGACAAAAAGATTGTAATTTTGGTCCAAAAACAGGTTTGCCATTAATAGTAAACATTCCCCCGCTGAAGCCAGGCCTGACCTGGTCCACAACCCAAATAATAGTAAAACATTCAGCCCGCTGAAGCCAGGAATACCTGGTCCAAAAACAGGTTTGCAATGAAAAGGAAAAATATCCTCCCTGCTGAAAAAGGGGGGAGGGTCCAGGTATTTTGGCGTGATTGTGCCATAAGCGTATTTTCGACGCATGAATTTGCGAAACAAAATCCAATCATGCGTAAATGCGCGGGTCGATATTGGAGCGAGACCTGTGAAACAGCACCACTCATGGCGCGACCGCGTGAAAATGATCCTGCAAGCGAATTCCAAAATGGAGCGCTTTCGTTTTTACATGCAGAAAGTCTTGATTTCCGGTACCAGACCAGGTAAATGTCTCAATTATTCCAATGCTCCGCCAACAACAAATAACTACTCTTTTAGACTGGTGTAACGATTTACACAACCTGCTTAGACAATGCAAATCAGCTACCCAATATAAATGAAAGAATGGAATTACAAATATAGTTCCTGAAGGTTGCCAATTTGGCCCTAGTATATACCATATTTTGAAAGCGCATAGCATATAAAGCAGGATTTTTTTTTATGATTTATTTTTTAAATTTGGCATAATTTTGACATGTTTGGAATAATAAGGAATACCATGCCTTGCCACCTTACCAACAATCTTGGTTAAGAAAAACACATTGTCCTTCTTTACAAAAAGACGGGTATTGGAAATTTTTTTCATTTCTTTACACAGCTTGAATAATTATCTCCATGTGACAGTAATTGACGATACCCGATTTAACATTAAACACAGATCCCACAATAACCTCTACCATCCAACAAAAATGGATTGAAGGCAATGCTGACATGCCTGTCACTGATGAATGACCGTTTTCCTACTATTTGATAAATGTTTAACGCTATAAATAGAAGAACAGCACTTTTATGGTATTGAGTTTCAAGTGGGAACGACGAATGTCTCCTAAATAACCTTCACAGCTACACCTAGCGGGGCGTTTTTGTTTTGTTTTGTATTATTTAAACCATGCAATTTGGCCAGTTTCTAGATATGTAATTGGCAACTGGGATTACAATGACATAAAACACCCTATTAAATTAGTGTGTAAGTGAGCCACCACCCTTGCTTAGGCAAAGCAAAATGCAACCAACCTGACACTTTGCCACAAGAAAAAAAATAACACGGCAATAAGCCAGTGCGATTTGTACAATATATTGCTAGCGAATAGCAAATTTTTAATGTGTCCATATAAAAGGACTGCCTATACCCAACTTGTCAAGTAACATCAAAATAAAGGCTTGCGATTGGTCAGTATGCCTGCAACACAAAACTGCTCACATGAGAAGCTAACCTTGCAGCAGGGTAGATAAACAGAACAACCATAATAGCTGGGCGATGACATGAAAAATCACATGCTTCCGAAAAACCCCCGCAGAGTTGCTTGCTTGGACACATTACCTTAATGTGATTACCATGACAATTGTTGTCAATAGCACATAAAGAAAAACAAAAACAATTTATCCAACAAGCATGTGTAATAAGAGGGCAGAAAAAAAAGGCATGACACTTTAAGATCCACTTAGGCAACGATGCATCTTAAATTCTGTTTTAATAGCCAAATCATTTAATTCCATTAGTGTATGGAGGCAATGACTGTACTTTCGCAGGCAAAGCAAAAAATGAAACCAAAATGACACTTGAAAAAAACTGCTAAGGTAGTGCGAAGGCAACTACAAAGACTTTTTTCATTGGCGCTAAACCCAAAACAAATTCTTCGGTTATCAGTGTATACAGACCGTAACAATCATTGCTTAGGCAAAGCCAAAGGTGTTACAGATATGATACTGTTGAACAAATGAAAACGCGACAAATGAAAATGACTGTAGGTACCAAGACACCTCTTGTAAAAGAAAACAAATCAATCAAATAAATGTGATCCGAAAGTAGCAATGAGCAAGATTCAGGTAACGATTACCCCTTAAAAATGACGTTTGTGAAAATATTTTCTTTGTTTTGTTTGTTTTTTTTTTTAGTTTTTTACAATTTAGTTTTGCCGAACCCTAGTGAAAGGGGTGTTGTTTAGGAAGTGGGTTGCCTAAAATGGCAGGTTAAAGAGCAAAACATGACTGAGGGGCCCCACCGCATGCATGCAAACTACTATTTCCAAAAGGCCTGTCCGCAAGCTAAGCGAAACGAGGGATAGTGGCAAGGGTCGAGGGACCAGTCTTAGGTTGTATAGTTACGCCTACTGACATATGTATGACGATGACTAAAAAGATGATAATCGAAGCAGGGAGCTCTTGCTTGTTCTGTACACCCAGGCTGCTTATTTAACGCTTCGAAAGCAAAAACGAAGTCGTTCTATGGCCTAATGGCGGGACACCAAATCACCGGAGCGCCCATTAACGGAAGGTCAAGGCTGATGACCCCTGACCTTTTAAGCTAGGTTAACTATGGAGTCATGTACTGGACATAATGGGTACCTTTGTTTCGTCGAGGCGATTGTCTGATCGTCGAGGCGGGTTTCTCTTCGTCGAGCCGGGTTTCACTTCGTCGAGCCGGTCCTGTATCGTGAAAGCTGTCGTTTCGTTGAGGCGGGTTGCTCTTCGTCAAGGCAGGATTGATTAATCGTGACAGGTCTCGCTTCGTCAAGGCAAATGTCACTTCGTCGAGGCATTGAATTGAATTGATCACTTTCATGTAGTCGAGTCGTGTTCCAGGGGGTAGTGCCGTTTATGGCTTATTGTATTTTGCGAAAATTTTCGCATAATGCGAAAATGCGAAATTTCGCAAAATACAAGTTTCGAGGTGGTATTTTGTAAAATGCGAAAACTGATTCTAAAAACTTTATTTGCCAAGATCAACGACCGAAAACAAGCAATTCATATTCAGGGCGACTCTGTTCATGCAAATAGCCTAGTTCATGTCCCATTTAACGTTAGATAACTCATGGACCCATTTTGGAAAATGGTTCGAAATCCAACCACACCAAGGCCATGAACGGCCTAATTGTGAATTGCCCATTCCAGCGAAAGACGATAACAGTAAGCATCCCGGTGCTTGCTAATTGGTAATTGGTAAATACCCAACGTTCTGCGTGTTCTGTGTTGTTTTAGGAGTAATTTACGCCTTTATCCACAAGGCCTATTTTCCTGCTTCCTTCCCGGTGAAACCCGCGTGGCTGGAAAAGGACGGGGCTGATGTCAAAAGATATATCGCAAAATACAAAATGGCTGGGGGTTTTTGTATTTTGCGAAAACTCGCCAAACATTGTCGAAATGTTAGTTTGTATTTGAGTAAATGTACGGAAAGGCTTTGGACTGTATTTAAAATTTTGTTTTTTTGAGTAGGCATCAAAAGATTCGATCAAATTGAAGAATTTTCGCAAAATACAAAATGGCTGAGGGTTTTTGTATTTTGCGAAAACTCGCCAAACATTGTCGAAATGTTAGTTTTTATTTGAGTAAATGTACGGAAAGGCTTTGGACTGTATTTAAAATCGTGTCAATTGAGTAGACATCCAAAGATTCGATCAAATTAAAGAATTTTCGCAAAATACAAAATGGCTAGGGGTTTTTGTATTTTGCGAAAACTCGCCAAACATTGTCGAAATGTTAGTTTTTATTTGAGTAAATGTACGGAAAGGCTTTAGAAAGAGGCTTTGGGTTTTTTTGATAGTGTAGCAGGAACCTAGGTGCATGCATTTTCTTTGGCGCCAGACAATGACTCACTTCTTAAAAGAAATTAGCAGGACGCCCATTATTTGTGTCATCAACCTGTGAAGACTTCTCTCTTCTCATTCATAATGACATTATTCTTTTGTTCTACTTCCTGGGTGCCTATTTGTGCCAATCTGGCTGGTGACATTCCATGTGATTGAATTTTATCGGTTGGGCGAATTTTCGCAAAATACAAAAACCCTCAGCCATTTTGTATTTTGCGAAAATTCTTCAATTTGATCGAATCTTTTAATGCCTACTCAAAAAAACAAAATTTCAAATACAGTCCAAAGCCTTTCCGTACATTTACTCAAATAAAAACTAACAATTCGAGAATATTGGGCGAGTTTTCGCAAAATACAAAAACCCTCAGCCATTTTGTATTTTGCGAAAATTCTTCAATTTGATCGAATCTTTTGATGCCTACTCAAAAAAACAAAATTTTAAATACAGTCCAAAGCCTTTCCGTACATTTACTCAAATAAAAACTAACATTTCGACAATGTTTGGCGAGTTTTCGCAAAATACAAAAACCCCCAGCCATTTTGTATTTTGCGATATATCTTTTGACATCAGCCCCGTCCTTTTCCAGCCACGCGGGTTTCACCGGGAAGGAAGCAGGAAAATAGGCCTTGTGGATAAAGGCGTAAATTACTCCTAAAACAACACAGAACACGCAGAACGTTGGGTATTTACCAATTACCAATTAGCAAGCACCGGGATGCTTACTGTTATCGTCTTTCGCTGGAATGGGCAATTCACAATTAGGCCGTTCATGGCCTTGGTGTGGTTGGTTTTTGAACCATTTTCCAAAATGTGTCCATGAGTTATCTAACGTTAAATGGGACATGAACTAGGCTATTTGCATGAACAGAGTCGCCCTGAATATGAATTGCTTGTTTTCGGTCGTTGATCTGGGCAAATAAAGTTTTTAGAATCAGTTTTCGCATTTTACAAAATACCACCTCGAAACTTGTATTTTGCGAAATTTCGCATTTTCGCATTATGCGAAAATTTTCGCAAAATACAATAAGCCGAATCGGCGGCCCTAAACTGTGTTACGCCACTGACTCACCCTCCACAACACTTTCTTTTTCAAGAACATTGTTCGTAAAAATATTCAAACTCAGAATCATCCAATTTATAAGAATATTCTAAGAATATTGCTCAGTCTCAGCATATTTGTGCCTAATTTTTCAGCATTTGCCTGTTTTGAAATATTCATAGCATTGAATCGTAGAACTGACCTTTCTATATCTCGTTTTTCAAAAAGCGTGGTTTTTTTAGAGTGAGGGGGGCCCCAGTGAGCGTTTTGAAAAAGCGTTTATATTCAGATTGAAAAAATAAGAATACTAACAGAATATATTCAGGGCCAAAACAAAAATATCCTAAGAATATTGAAGCTGGAAATATTTTATAACATTCTCATTAAAAAAGGGTGTATCACCTTTTTATTTACAGCATGCTAAAAACTAATATGGCTATTTTACAGCTTACTTAGGCCGACTACTAGGTACTTTCAATAAAAACGAAACTACCTAACGGAAATTGTAACCAACTTGATAAAAGCAAATTGAGGACCAAATATTTATCAGTCAGTATGTAATCTGTGCCCCGGCTTACAATAGGAAGTATCTGTCATCAAAATACACGACTTTTCTTCGACGTTGCTAAAACGAGGAACAAGCGGAACAACTCAGTAACAACCCAGTAACAAGCGGAACAACCAAGGAACAAGCAGAACAACCCAGAAACAAGCGGAAATGTGAATTATTGTTTAGTAAATACCACATGGGGGCGTTTATAATCCAACTCTCTGAAGTTCGTGTGGGCTAGAACTATCAAGAGGCCGTCAATCATGTCTTCGTCTGTTTCGGAGGCTTTGTGATTTTGCCAACGGACAGAGAGAATCTATCGACCCCGGATCGGGACGAAAAATAAATAGTAAAGCATGCGTATACATTCGATCACAACAGACACACTGTTGCAACAGGAGTGGCGGCATGGGGGGGCAAGGGGGGGCTTTAGCCCCCCCTAGATTTTTGTTAGCCCCCCCGTCGGCAGCCAATCAATTTTTGCTTTCTCAATACCGTCGGCACTTGATGGATGTCAGCCGGTTTACATGTTTTTGAATGACATAAATAATCGAGGAGAAAACTGCACTGGCTGGTTTATGGTTTTTCTCAATGGCTTTTCTTCGGCAATTTTATTATCATAGTGGCATTATATCCTGTCGCTTCCGTGAAAGCTGTGACTTAATTTCATGGTGCTCCCTCGCATGACCCACAATACCATGGTGCCCCTCTCAGTTGAAATCCCTGTTGCTGCTTGGAATTCATGCGAATCGTGCAGAGATGCTTGATTTAGATCATGTTTTGGACTGTTTCGAGGAAATTTACCCTAACAACAGCAAAATCACGCTGTCATAAATAAAGTCTTTAATGAATTTTAGGGATTCTCTTTTCGTTTAAGACATTATTATTGCCAATGAAAACATTTCGATCATGAGCACATTTTGCGTAATAAATTTTTCAAAAAGCATTTCTTGTCCTTTTTCATCAACTATTTTTCAATAGCATTGTTCACCGCATAGCTTGCGACAAACAAATGGTTTAGAGAAAACCATCGATTAACTTCTTCCACCATAGATAGGAAGAAATATTCAGTGTCTTAGGTAAAATTGTGCCTCGTGTCCATTTCTCCTAAAGTTTCTCAGTAGAAGCGTCAACTGCAATTCACTATGAGCTCCATATTTTCCTTAACATTCAAAAGGCATGCTAAGATGGAAAAAGGGATCTAAATTTAGAAGTAACTGACAACCTGGTATTTTTCAAGACCACGGCAAAGTTGTTGTTTTTAACTGCTGTAAAAAAGTTTTGCAAAAAGACAATAATTTTCAATAGGATTAGGAGGATTGCTTTAGTGAAATCTGCTTAAAAGAGTGCATTTTCCAGGAAACTAGAAGCATCACAATTCGAAAATTTCCTGTCCCTTCGGCGGCAACCATGGTGCCGCCTCAGGTATTAACTATATATTTTGCCCGTCCCGATATAGAGATTTGACAAGACTATTAGGAAAGTCGGTTATTATCATACAGAGTTAGATTGACAAAATGTATTGCAGAGGTTTGTGACACCAGCTAAAAAGTTTCAGGCAATAATTTTTTAATCAGGTAAATTTGCATTACACACCCTACCCCAAACGAGGCTTGCCTCGCGACGGCCCTGCCTGTCGGCAATTTGACACATTCAGCGTCGGCAGTTACGGAGAATATAAACTTCGGCACCTTGAAGGTTTGTCTCTAGCGCCACCCCTGTGTTGCAAATAGATGTGCATGCCATAGTGTAAATCTGTACATGTAGCCCTGTTGCAATCACATTTTTCAGGCCCGTCGGAGCCGGG